AGAAACCGGCCCTTAGAAGGGTATCTAAGCCATTTTTTGGCACAGGTTTTAATACAGTTGGGCAAAGACCGTCGAAGATATCTTAAATCAAAACATTAAATGTTGCTATTTTTTTCAAACCGCGATTGCACAAATACCACCCGTTAAACGCGAAAACTAAGTATGCAGATATGCTTATACCCGTCTATATTAACACAATTTAATGCCCATAGGGCTGCACCTTTTAATAAAGTCCATTTTGTTGACCTGTGTTATGTATCCTTTTTTTAAAGGCTACTTGGAAAGTGTTTGTATCGAGATGGAGATTTAAAGCCAAAAGACAGGTTTTTTTTCTTCAGTTCTATGATACTTTAAAATACATGCTATTACCCTACTAAAAACCAAGGATTAGCTTTTAACTCTTAAAAACACTTCTAATCCAATTTCCCTTTCGTTTGTTTTTAAATCAAAGCTGTTTAGTAGATGTTTATTCTTATATACTCCCAATTCTTCCTGGGAGACCTTTTCTTTTCAAAACATTAATAATCCTACTTGATCCTTACCTTTCCGAGTATCTCCACCTCCGGCCGGCTTCTCCTTTTTCTCCTTCTTCATCTTGGAAGCCTGCAAATCCATTGGAAAAAATCAATAAAACGGAAATAGCGAAGGGGCTCAAAATTCTGCTACGTATGCAATTAGGCAAACGCTTTTATTCGGTATCTACTTTCGACTGATGATGTCTTTCTTGTTTTCTTGTTGTTTGAACAATTGGGGACAAGGCAATGAGAGTAACAAGACGCTTTCGGCGCTTTTTGGCGAGCGACCTATCTCTTATTTTTATCGAGATGTATACAACTTCGTTACTTTATGGCTGATGCAATAGCAAGAAACTTTTTAGCACGAATGTTGAATGGTGGTTAGTGACGTCACAGCAGCCGGCACTGAATCACTGCAACTCGCACATGCACACACACACTCGCACTCAGACAAACAAAACATTTACACGTGCCAAATGCAGGAATTTTTAATCCAAATTTTAAGGTCAATTCTTTTAAACTTAAAAACACCAACCAAAGTTGCGTAGTTGTGTTGTTGTGGTTCTTTCAATTGCTGTTGCTGTTGTTGTTTTGCTGGTTTCGTGTGCGTCTGAATTTTCGGCGAAATTCGCTGGCAAATGCGGGCCAAGTGGCTATAATATCTGCCGCTTTGGGGCGCCAACTTCAACATTACTCGGCTATCTAGCACTTCTCATACACTCGAAAGCAGTTCGAAAGGAGTTTAACATGCCTTTTGCTTGTTCAAATCCAAGTTATTCAGTTCCGTCACCACGTTGTCACCCATTTTTTACGAAACAAATTTAATCAGAAAAGAAGAAGAGGAGGAGCGTAGTGTTACCAGGCGGGAAGAGAGCTTTTCCACCAAAAGGTAGAGACGAGGTGTAGCAGTACAAACTTTAAATAAAACATTCGCACCAAGCCATTAAAAAGTTTAAAAAAATGTTGTTTTAAAAATGTAATTTTCCCTAATATTAAGCTAAGATATACCAAAGAAAATAGAAACTCAATTGGATTTAAAAACTTGTTAGCACCATTTAATTTAAAACACCATATGAAAGAAATTGGTTTTGAATGTTTTCCAAATTATATATTATTTCATATTTATTATATATTAATTTAATTAAAATCTGTATTCTTATTTTCAAAATAAAATGTTAACTCATATTAAATATTACTAATTAGCTGTTTGCTGTTTGGCGCCAACTCGAGTTCGAAAGTGGCCCCAATTCGAGTCCTGCGATTCGAGGCAGTTATTGATTTTCTCACAGTGCTGACATAATTTCCTTGCCATCGACCGCAGTCGTGTTTACCTAGCGTGCTGCGCTAAAAATTGGCCAAACGGAGTCAAAAATTTCGGTCGGAGCGTAACGGGAAAACGGCGACAAGATTGCACACCTACTGGAAAACCCCCTGCATCAAGGCAACGGTGGAACGGCGGACCGTCTGGGCGTGGACTTCGAGTTCTACATGGCCTCGAAGGTGCACCCGAGTCCGGGGGCGGCGCGCAGTGTGTGGGCGCTGCCCCTGACGGCCTCCTCCTCCTGCAACATGGTCGTCGCCGAGGAGGATGGCCATGCCCATGCCGACGACATCCATTTGGATCATCGCCCCCATTCGCCTCCGCTGACGGGTCGCGGAACGGACGGTGTTCATGGCGGCGGTGGCGCGGAGGACCATGAAAACGTGCTCCTCTTTGAGGGATTGGATGGAGCCACCACCGTGAACCTAGACGACATTTTCGACATCATCAAGAACGGCGAGGTCAGCGAGGTGGAGAATCTGGTGGACAAGTTCGGCATGGAGTGCCTGTCGGCGAGGGATCGTCATGGCTACACGCCCGCCCATTGGATAGCTCTCAACGGGAATGTCCAGCTGATGAGGTACCTCATCGAGCGCACGGCGCCCATTGATCTGCCCTGTCTGGGAACTCAGGGCCCGCGGCCCATTCACTGGGCCTGCAGGAAGGGCCATGCCTCCGTGGTGCAGGTCCTTCTCCAGGCGGGAGTGGCGGTCAATGCGGCGGATTTCAAGGGACTCACGCCGCTGCATCTAGCCTGCATGTATGGAAGGACAGCCACGGCTGCATATCTTCTAGGAATGGGAGCGCTGAACAACCTGACGGATATCAACGGTGATACTGCCCTTCATTGGGCGGCCTACAAGGGGCACGCGGATCTGATGCGACTGCTCATGTACTCCGGAGTGGAGCTGCAGAAGACGGACAACTTTGGCTCCACGCCACTGCACCTGGCCTGCCTGTCGGGCAACATGACCTGCGTGCGCCTGCTGTGCGAGAAATCGCAGCTGGATTTGGAGCCGCGTGATAAGAATGGCAAGACGCCGATCATGTTGGCCCAGGCTCATCAGCACCAGGATGTGGTGCGTCTGCTTTATGGGGAGGTGAAGAAGAAGTCCCGCTGGATTCCCTCGGTTTCGGAAAGCTGGGGCTGGCTATTCGGCGGAGCAGGGGATTCCAAGGGTCCGCTCTTCCTATTCCTCTTCTCGGTGCTCCTCTGGGGCTATCCCATGTACATGATTCGGGCGATTCCCATCACCTGGAATATATTGCGACGATCGCATTACTGCTTCATCTACTGGAACGCCGTCATGTGGATTAGCTGGGCGATTGCCAACCGGCGGGATCCGGGCTACATACCGCTCAGTTCGGATGCCTACTACCGGGCCATCAAGCAGATCCCCTACTTCGACAAGCTGAAGAAGCGCAATGTGATGCTGACCCGGCTGTGCCACAGCTGCCGGTGCCTCCGTCCGCTGAGGGCCAAGCACTGTCGCGTGTGCAACCGGTGTGTCTCGTACTTCGATCACCACTGCCCCTTTATCTACAACTGCGTGGGTCTGCGCAACAGGATGTGGTTCTTCCTGTTCGTCCTCTCGGTGGCCGTCAACTGCTCGTTTACCATCTACTTTGCCTGCTACTGCGTGATGATCGAGGGCTTTACGATGCTCTATGTTCTGGGACTCATCGAGGCGGTTGTTTTCTGCGGATTAGGATGGATACTCACCTGTACTTCGGTAGGAGCTTCTTTTGTCACACAGAAAAAGAAACCGATATAAAATAGGGCTATTTCTACCTTATATCATATCAAATTTAAGATTCAATCATATCAACATGATATTTTATCATATCATCATATCATAAAAATATCAAATTTAGTATTATTCGAGCAAGTAATATACAAAAATACTAACATAATTTTTTTCATATCAAAATGATATGAATAACTTGATCTATTACCATTTCTTTTTCTCTGCAGATAAATTCTGTATTTAACTCTCTTTCTACTTCATTTGCCACACAGAAAAAAAAACCGATATGAAATAGGGTTATTTCTACCTTAATTTATATCACATTTAAGCTTCAATCATATCAACATGATATTTTATCATATCATAAAAATACCTAATTTATTATTTTTCGAGCAAGTAATATACAAAAAGACTAAAATAATCTTTTTTCATATCAAAATGATATGAATAATTTGATCATCAGAGAAATTCTGTATTAAACTCCCTTTTTTACTTCTAGATCCTCCATGCCTGCATGAACCTCACCACGAACGAGATGTTCAACTACAAGCGATATCCTTATTTGCGCGACAAGCGTGGTCGCTACCAGAATCCCTTCTCGCGCGGCCCCATCCTGAATTTGCTCGAGTTCTTCGTTTGCCTGCCGGATCGGAACGATGACAACGATCTTCTGCTGGAGGATAACATTTGATTAAGGATCTAGGATCGAGCCCCCGCTCGACGGCGTAAGCTGCCCGTGCGTGGATAATGATGTGAGGAGGCGGCCAGGGACCCACTCGGGTAGGCTGCCAGTTTGGTTTTGCTCCGCAGGCTTTGTGCTTACTCGAATGCTTTAAAGTTCGAACCGAAGGTCAGCAAGTGCGTGCGTTTTATCATCTACAATTGCAATCTAGTTGTCATTGCGGAAGGCAAAGCGGTAACGCTCAGTTAAGCCCATTTTGAGCCCTGTTTAAAGGGCATATTAGCCCAGTTAACAACTAATGAATAAGCCTTAATCAATCGAAAGCATTCATACAAAATTACAATGCTAAAATTCCATTATCTCTAGATCTCCTTCCGCAATGATATCCAAACATCGGCCAGCCGATCTTTTCGCTTTTCCAACTTGTTACCTTATAGCCTCGGATAAGATTACGCTTCTCTTGTTAGTTTTTGTACAAAATTGTTATTTATAAAATGTGTTATTTAATGATCTCTATATTATATACCTAATATAATAATAAATGGTGTAAAAGTTCACTAAATGGCTGGGCAGGGGAAGTCACCCGCACCAGTTTGTTCATTTTGTGTTCGGGGAATTGCACAAGTAATACTAGCAGAAGATCAGATCGGGTTATATATGTAAAGGGTACACTTTGGCATGTATCTTGGGTGATGGGAGTCTAGAATGAATTGATATTTTGTGTAGTATGTGTGCGTAATGCTTAACTCTCGAAGCAAAAGTCGTAGTTCTCGGGATCCTCTGGTATCGGCGGCGGATCCTTGCTGATGTCCACGCCCTCGGTGTCCAGCAGCCGCAGCTTGATCTCCATGGACAACAGGGTGTCGAAGTCCTCGTTCTTTTGTTTGCTGACCATCGGCTGACCCAACAGCGCGTTTATTCCGTCCGTCCAGTAGTTGAATATACTCTCGTCGGGCGCCACAAAGTCCAGCGTGGAGTGCTCCATGTTCTCGAACGTTATGGAAAAGGCCAGATTTACGGCGGATTTCCTAATGCGAGTTTCCTTCATGTGCGGACACTCCTTGCCCTCCAGCAACTGCTTGATCTCACTGATTGGCAGCTTTTTGGGCAGCTCCTCCATGGTGGGTATAGTCTTCTCATCGCAGTCGCCGTAATGAATCACCTTGTGGTTGGGCGAAAGGCGAGCGTACCAGAATTTGTCCTTAGTTCGTGTTCCTCGCAAATATTTGGCGAAATGGGTACCTATTACAAGATCAGTTAATAAGGTTTAAGTGGGAAAGTAAAGGTCATTTTACCTTCCACCAGAAAAGAAAGCCGCTGCTGCTTAATCAGCTCTAAAATATGTGGCGATATCTTCTCCTTCAGCTTCACAATCGCCGAGGCAGTGGAGTCGCACTCCTCCTTCGAAGTGCGCTCCTGCTGACGTAGCGTTGTGATCTGCTGATAGGTCAGCAAAGCGATCTTGTTGCGAAAATCTTCAAGATTTTCCGGCCTGCATTTTAGAGTGCGTTGGATCTGCTCTCGCACCACGCTGAAGGTTGTGGTAAAGTCCTCGGCAGTGGCGCGCATATCCTTCCACGTGCGATTCAGTGTGATGACGCATATGCAAAAGAATTCCTCGAACGGCGAGTCGTGGGTGAAGAACATGGGCTGGAAGTCACCGGACTGCTCGGCTGGCGGCTCGCCAATGCGCAGGATGTCGCACAGGACCTTCACCAGCTCAATGGAGGTGCGTCCGAAGGGACACTCGTGCTCATCCGCACGGCAGGAGTTCTCGCGCACAATCTTTGCATACTGTTGGGTGTAGTTTCGGGCAAAGTAAACCATGCAATCCAGCGCCAGTATGCCTGAAATGCAAGATATTTATTAGACATTTCCTCTAATATGTTAAAGGGGGTAGGGTCTTGCAAAAAAAAATTTTTATTTTTTTTTCTTGTAGATTAACATCTTAAGATTATACAAAAAAAGTTTTAAGTCAATCGGACAAAAACTTTAGAAGTGTTGCTAAAATTAGTACCCTAACCTCTTAAACTTTAGGTACGTAAGTTCAATTTCTAAACGGCTCAACCGATCGTTTTCAAATTTGTCGCATATTTTTCTGCATAAAAAGACCCCGCCTCCTATGAAGCGTTTTTTTTCTTTTTTAACTTTAAACATTTTCTTCTTAAGCCGAAAGTCAAATTTTTTAGGTGAAAAACGCATTTTTGACTTTGGACTATCGAAAAAAATGCTTAAAAATAAAAAATAAAAAAAAAGGGCTTCATTGGGCGCGGGTTTTTTTAATTCTTAAGCGAAATGTAAAAACGAAATGGAAATCCGATCATTTTTAGCGGAGGTACAGTGAACACTGCAAAACGTTTTTTTTTTTTTAAGTATAAAAATTAGTGGATGTTAATTAAATGACACTTAATAACATACAAAAGGTTTCAATTAAATCCATCCAACCAGTTTTTATAGAAAAAATCGCAATGTTAGTCGATTTTTTAATGCCTAAGCCCCTCCACCCCTTAAACAATTCCTTACCCGGTGGAGTCTCAATGAAATCCTGGGCAGGATTAATGTCGCATTTGAAGCCCAGCTTTTTGTAGTACTGCGAAAAGTTTACGTTGCCCGCTCCTGAGCCACCGCCACGTCGAATGTGATCATCGCTCTGGTTCAAGGCGTTGGTATGATCGTCGAAAGCGATGCGGCGCAGCTCCTTGATCTTCTCGTGGGCATCCTGATCCTGGGCGTTCATTTTCATGCGCATCCGCTTCTCCAGAAGGCCAAGCGTCAGCGTTTGCAGCACGTAGAGCTGGTGGGTCATCTCGGTGCCCAGTCCGTTGCCAATGAGCGCCAGTCGGAACTGCTTGGCGCTGATGGTGTGGGCGATGGTCCGGCGTCGCGCTTCGTCTGCCTTGACGAACAGAGCGTTCAGTAGGGCGATGGCATTCTGACGCATCACCGGCGAATTGACCTCCTGCAGGAGGCGCAGGATGTCCTGCAGTTTGATGTCCTCTGCTACTAGCACATGTTTATTGCTGCACATGACAATGTTCTCCAGGTTGGAAAGGGCACTCTCCCCACAATTCGTTGGATACTTTTGGAAATTCCTCACAATCTCAATGTTGCGGGCCACGAAGGAGTTCTCCGGCACTTCCCAGGACACCGTGCCGTGCTCCATCAGCTCCACGAAGCTGGCCAGGCTGTACTTGAGTATATCCTCGTTGGTCTGGCCGCCGTCCTCGATCATCTTGATGAGTGTGTCGAGACCCTTTTCCTTGATGAACTCCAGGGCAAAGGTGTGATCGGTGCTGAGCGAGGTGAGCTCCTTGAGGCGAAACGCTTTTTCCTGCGGACTGCCGTTCAGCAGGATCTCCATGGCATCGCTGGCCGTCTTGGAGGGCGAATACTGCAGTCGGAGTACAGAGCCGTTTTTGATCTCATTGCGATTCTTCTCGGTCACGTACTTTTGGTTGTTGGACTCGCAGAACTGAAGGGCGTAGTTTTGGTGATCACTGATGGCCCAACCATTGCATATGTCCTGGATTTTGCCTGAAAGGTAAAGAGAGATAAGTATTACTTCCTGTTTAACTCTACGCTTTGCATATTAATGAGGAATGGGGAAAAGGGAGGTCGCTGACATCACGATAACACTTGAACATATGTATAGTGAAGGGCGTTGGTTATGGGCTTCCGGTTTTTACAGGTTCTATATTTAAATATTAACACAAATCATGTTGTACCCCAGCCATAATCCCTATTTAACTTGTTTTAACTGTATTCTTTAAGTATTCCTTTCTAAAAAGGCTTATAAACTCCAATATTTTCTTTTATTTACTCACTTGCCAGGGGATGCCTCTGATCCAGATTTATCAGCTGCGCCATATGGTTCTCCCGCTCCACGGCGATCTTCACAATATGTGAATCCTTCACCGTCGTCTTTTTTGGAATCATTTTGGTACTTAATAAGCGATAACTGCAATTATTATTGTTTTTCTGCAAAAGATAGTTTCCCTATATTTTGTTGATTAATCCAGACAGTGTGCCCAGGTGTCGGTCAACATATAATGCCTCTATTTTTTACACACAATACCGTTGCGCTTTGCGGCATTAACAACACTAGGCGGGAAGAAATTTTAATTTTAAATTGCTATTTTTATGATTAGTCCACTAAACTATACGGGTTTACCATTTCTATGAAAATTATTTAATGCCCTCCCATATCTAATTCAATGATTTATTATAAAAATGTTATATATCATACTTGATAAGCAAGAAAACTAGAATAATAAATGCAAATAAACTTTATATTTTTTATTTATCCGTCAGCAATTTAATAAGTTCGCCCACAACCTTAACATTAATGCTATTGCCCAGCAGGCGGTATTTTTGGCGGTTCGTTGTCTCTGCGGGAAAGTCGAAATCCTCTGGAAAACTCATTAGACGAGCCACTTCGCGAGGTGTGAAATATCTTAGTTTAACTTGATGCAGAAGATCCAAGCGTTGCTGCAGGACTTCCTCCGATTTCACAGCATCCTGATTGTTTTCGTCGATTTCCCTGACCAACTCGAAGATCCTATGGGATTCCGATTCCGAGAGCGGTGTAAATGCAGATCCGGTGCCCTCGGTGTAGTGGGTGTAGCCCTTGGTGAAGCACATGGATCTGCTTTGCGTGGGATGAATTATGTCCATGACCAGAACCCTTTTGGTTAAGACATCATCGGGCACTAGAAATCCGGGGGATACATTTTCCTCTAGAATCTCGGAGATTTGTGAAAGCTTTTGATCCTGGGCTTTGCTTCCCGGCATTTCCTCCCAGATTTTTCCGCCCGGAAATGGAAAGTCCTGATCTTTGCGGGCAATGCAATAGTATCGATATCGGGTATTTGGAACATTAAATTGCGTGGGCGTGAGTATAAACTCCCGCCAATGGAATCCCGACTTCTCCAGCGCCTCAATGAACTGATTTCTCGCCTGCGAGCTCTCGAATCCCTTGACGTTCTCCATGAGGATGAACCGGAGGTCCTGGCACTCCGGAATGAGGCCACAAAGGTGAGTAAGTGCGTCGGATCGCTTGTCCTCCGTGTCCCTTTGCAATCCCTGGCGGGTGTGCGGCTGGCAGGGCGGGGACATCAATAGCACGTTGGCCCGCAGCTTCCCGACCTCCTTTACGCTCAGACTCTGGATATTCCTCGTCTTTACGACATTACTGCCGTAATTATGCGAATAAACCGCATTGGCCACCGTGTTGACATCCAAGGCGGCCACTATTTCACCTTCCAGTTGCGCATCTGAGGGGGAATCTTTTAGTTTTCTATTTGTTATATTAGTATTATATTTAACTCACATTTAAATGCATAATGCATGCCGCCAATACCGCTGAATAGTTCTAAAACCCGAAAAGCCATTTCAATTCCTTATTTTTGTTTACAAACCGCACGTTTTGACTGGGACGTTTTCCAACACTGCACCCAGCAGGTTGTCGACGTTTCCGCGCGAATGGTTTCGTCTTAAGCAGAAGAAGAAGAATATCAACACGTGCCGCTTGCATTTTTAGAACTCTTCTCCTAATTTAACGTAAAATGATTAAAATAAAGCGTAAGCCAGCTCCTCCACCGGTGGAACAGGACTCGGACAGCGACTCCAGCTGGGACGAAGAGGAGCCGCAGGATGTGGAAATCCAGGAGGGGCCAGTCACCGACAGCAGCGATGAAGAAGAAGCTGCCTCCAGCAGCAAAAAACAGCCAAAGAAGGAGGAAGCTGGTGAGGATCTGGAGGAGGAGGAGGATGAAGATGACGACGATGACGATGAGGAGGACGATGAAGACGACAAGAAGACCCGCATTCCCGTGCTCAATCCCCTCAGCCTGATGCGCAACAAGGAGCAGCGCCTGGCGCTCTACAAAAAGATGAAGAAGGAGAAGCACAAGAAAAAGATGCAGGAGCGACGTGCCCGTCGCAAGGCAGGCGTTCCCGCCAATCCGGGCCACACCATAGAGAGCCTGCGCGAGAAGGACCAGACGGAGGTGTCCAATCTGAACGATTCGGACAACGAGGAACTGCAAAAGGAGCTGGAACTGGATGACTTTAGCTCCTACTTCGAGCGCTCCTACGAGCCCAAGGTGCTGATCACCTTCGCCGACAATCCGGTGACCAAGACCCGGAAGTTTGGCCTCGAACTTTCGCGCATATTCCCCAATGCCCTGGTGAAGATCCGGAACAAGTCGTCGGTGAAGAATATCTGCAAGAGCGCCGTGCGCGAGGAGTTCACAGATGTGGTGATCATCAACGAGGATCGCAGGAAGCCCAATGGGCTGCTGGTCATCCACCTGCCGAATGGACCCACCGCGCACTTCAAGGTGTCCAACGTGAAGCTCACCTCGGACATTAAGCGCGACCACAAGGAGATTACGAAGCACAGACCGGAGGTCATATTGACCAACTTTACCACCCGTTTGGGTCTGACAGTGGGCCGCATGCTGGGCGCGCTCTTCCACCACGATCCCGAGTTCCGCGGCCGCCGAGCGGTGACGTTCCACAATCAGCGAGACTACATCTTCTTTCGCCACCATCGCTACGAGTTCTCCAAGGAGGGCAAGCGCGTGAAGCTGCGCGAACTGGGACCGCGATTCACGCTGAAGCTGCGCTCCCTGCAGGAGGGAACCTTCGACAGCAAGACCGGTGACTATGCCTGGATAATCAGCAACAAGCGGCACTCCATGGAGTCGCGTCGCCGCTTCTTCCTGTAGGTAGTTGTATTTCGAGGCATTGTATTTAGGTATATAGAGAACTTAATAAACCAACTGATAATACAAAAGTAATTAGTAATTAGCCACCGCCGGATTGTTTTGTCGGGGATAAAGTAAAATACAAATTGCTTAGCCTAATAAATGTGCAACACTCAACAGTTAACCAATTGGCACACCAGGATTGACGACCAGCAACTACATGGTGGGGCACTGGGGACCGGGAGCGCCGGCAGCCACGGCGGTCTGGGGATCCCCGAAGGGCAGGTCGCCGCCCGTCTCGGCGAGAATCTCTGCCGGCGGCTGGCCGTAGTCTTGCAGCCTGCGCATGTCGTCCAGCACCACGCGGAACTTTTCGCGCTTGACGGCGGCCGAATCCTCGGCCTTCTCGCTCTGTAAATGCCCCTCGATCACCTTGTACAGCTCCATTTGCTTCTGGTATCTGTAGATATGGAGGTTTAACTAATGATCTTATTTCTGGGATTTGTTATTAACATACCTCTCCTTGTCCTCGGCCGACAGCTTGTCGTCGTTCTCCTCGAGGTACTTGGGGTACTTCTCCAGCAGCTCGCGAATGCTGGGCAGCAGAATCTCCGCCGACAGCAGGCTCTGCATCATGCCCTCCATGAAGGGCAGGAACATGTTTCCATCTCCCTCGCCAGCGGCCTAAATAAAGGATTCATTAGCATTGGGGAGCAAGAACCATGATGGATGTAACATACCCCGTCCAGATTCAGGGAGCCAAACATGCTGGCTATGTCGTTCTCCGAGGCGGGAGCGGTCAGGTTCTCGGAGCCCTCCTGCAGGCCCTTGAGTGCCTGGGAAATGCTATCGGAATACTTGGAGACATCCTCGTCGGTGGCCGAATTCTCGCCGCTCAAGGTGAGCGCCGCCGCCTCGGCCATCTTCTTGAAACCGGCCATGATCTGGTCGGGATCCTGGGGCAGGGGCGGGATGTCGCCACTGGGCGTGTTCGGGCCTCCAAACAGAGTGTTCATGCGATCGGCCAGCACCTTGGCCTGCTCACTGAAAAAGCGGATTGCAGGTTGCAGGTCAGAATACAAAGTTCAAGTGCCTGCAATTCCGCAGTGGACTTGACTCACATGAAAAATGCATCGGGATCCTCGAAGCCCTCGGCTCCTTCGGTGGTCGCCGCATCCGAGGACGAGGCCTTCTCCTGCTTGTCCCCCGCACCACTTTTGTCGAAATCCTGCAGAGCACCTGTGCGGATGGAAAGTGGAGGAGGACCAGGTGGCCATTATGTAAGGCGTGCGAAATGGATCTCCAAATGGTTAGCCGGCTTGTACTCACTGTCCAGCAGGTCGTTTAATTCATCGCCGTTCTTCTTTTCCTCGGACATTGTGTAATTTCGGGCTGCTTTTACCTGATTTCGAGGTGGGTGGGAAGTGGTAAAAAATAAAGACCCGTAAAAAAAAACCTCGATGAGCTATGTATCGATGTTTTTTGCGATATTTTTTTAATGTCCTCTTGCTATCGATGTTTTGCAAAAAATCGGCGCCTAAGTTTGAAAGTGCTTGATATCTTTCCTACAGCTTATTGTTCCGAGAGTTTTAACTTTCGCATTAGAATTTCTTATCGAAAATGCTAATCCAGCTAGAAGGATTCGGAAAATTATTGGGAATATCATCAAAATATTATACAATGATTAAATTATACAATCCCTAAATTTTGTAAGGATATGGAGAAAACTATAAACAGATTTGAGAATCAATAGGAAGCACTGGTTTTCCAGATAAATGGAAAAATATAAGATTTATAAAAGAATATTTTTATCATTTTATTGACTTCAAATTATACCACAATTTTTGTTATTTTAAAAAATATTATGTTTTAAAAGTAAGAGTCACGATGTTTTCATCCGATGTATCATTAATATATAATTTTGGATGGCTAATACACATCTATTTTTAAAAAAACCTTTTTTTTTGTTGTGAAAAACTTTCCACAATCTTTCTGTCGTTAGATTTTAACAAAATTATAAAATCTTAATTGCTAATTTAAAGAAATCAGGATGGATATTGTATTAAACAATTGTTAAAGAACTAAAAGCTGAAATTCCGGATTTATAACCTAAATATCCTAACTACATATAAGCTAGGTCTAAAAGCAAATAATAAACGTCCATTTCAATCACTTAAATATCCCTCTGGCCAAACAAGACGAAACAATCCAAGGACATTAGTCGAAGATTATCTAAAATAATCACGCAAAATATTTACGCTTCTTCTGCGAAACTCTCAGCCAATCTCCCCGGGAATTGCACCTTGCTGTGCGCGGACGGAGATCGGCGACCAAACTGCGACCAGAACCCAAACCGCACATACTATGTGGCAATGAGTGGTGAGGGGTCGCAAATCCATCAAGGTCACGGCGCGACGCTGATGCGCGACCAATTACGAAACCAGAACGTCACACCCATGGACGGGACACATGGATTTTGCAGTAGGGAGTCCACTCCCGCCCGAAGGTCATCTCTCCGGAGGAACCCCGCCTGGTTTTTCGATTCCTCTCATATGGTCAATTGGCTGGGCTGGGCTCTTTTCGACTTTAACCGCACGGTTTACCAAAAGAGCAAAACGAATCTTCGATTCGGTACGCCCACGCAGCGAAGTATTGTGGTAAATTTTGTGTTTTTTTCTTCCACTTGGGGCGGAGTTTTCTTCGGGTTCCCGGTTCCCTGAAAGTGCCCAGCATGGGCGGAGCTTCGGCTGAAATATAATGCATAATTTGGTGTTTTATTTGCGGCTTAGGGTGGGCGATGCCGCCTTACACTTTCTGTAGAAATATGGAAATTTTACTTTTTATGGGGTGTAATCTCAAACCCTTTAGATTTCACTAAAAAGGGTAATTTCTTTTTAGGAAATATATATTTATTTAGAATAAAAATATACAAGACATATGGTTTAGTTTTCTTTTCTTTTTAAATGCAAAACAATGGAATATCTCGTCCAATTTTTATTTTCCAAGAACCGAAGCAGTTCAAAAAGTCAAGACAACCGTCAAAAAGTCAAAACAAAAGTCGAAAACGTAAAAACCCCTTCGCTGGCCAAAACAATAGATCTGGGCCACACTCACACCCGATCCCAATAAACCGGGACTCGCTCTTTTTTGACATAATTTTTAAGGTTCATCATAAAATTGTTTATTCGGATATAATCGGTTACTGGAGTTTGAATTTACCTGCGCTTGATGTACTTCCTTAGAAGAGAGTTAGAACGGAACCCGAGATCCTAACCGTCATAAAATATACATCAGCATCCTCATCCTCACTGGCATTTCACTTCCTCCCTGAACGCACACATTTTTTCAGGAACTTTTCGAGGATTGTGTGTATAACCTTTCCATATATTGGCTGCGATTTCACGGTCGCTGATCGCAGCGCTATTTTTTTCCGACTTTTCCGTATCCTTCCAGCGAAAGAGGCGCGATTTTATGATCCACTGATCAGGCAATAATGGATTCCGCGATTGTTCGGTAATGGCAATGATTGCGGTTTTATATGCACATCGTTAAGGTTGTCGATTCTGGCGTGTGACTGCATTTAATATGATGGTGAAGTAATAAAAATAAAATTTTAAAATTAAAATATTAAAAATTTAAATAAATGAAAACAATAAATACTAAAGTAATGTTAGTTTTCTGTATCTCACTGACTCGAGATACTTTTTAAGAATCTTTTTAAATTTTTTTAGGTCTCTTACAATAATTAAACTTTTAAGTAATTTATGAAAATTTTTAAAACGAATGAAAAATTTATTGGTTTGTAATAACTTATTACTACACAGAGAAAATTATCAAAAGTTTTAGGTGCAAAATCTGGGGTGAAACATTTTGAAAAGTAAAACGCGTGATATGAATTTTATTTTACTTCGGATTTTTAAAACGTTTTCATTTTTATTTTCAAAACGTTGTTACACGTTTTTACGTTTTTTAAAACGTCGTAACATTAATAAAGTAATATATGAAATATATTTATAAATTTATATGAAGTACAGCTCACTATCGCTATTAATATGTTTTCTCTATTTTTGGACAGGATCGCGTTATCTTTTGATATTTTGTCCATACAAATTGCGATTACAAGGCTGGCAGATATTCCTGGAAAACTGGGAGTTTTTCTTTGAAATCCTTCGACCAAAAAAGCCGGCAAAGACAACTGCTCGCAGCTTTCCAAAAGACGCGATACCCATTTCCATTTCCATCCACCATTGCGCAATGGGGCGAGCTCTTCATGCTCTGACACCCATCGCTCTCCATCAAAGAGCCCATGCAAATGAGCCCTTGCGTCTGTCGCACGTTTCCTCGAGGGGATTGGGGCGGGCGGTCGTCTGCTCCAGATGATGTGGGTTGATGTGGCTGCCCCTGGTCGCTGTTCTGTTTGATTAAGCGGAAATTAAGTGTGCGTTACGGTTGCAGCCTCCCAATTCGCCATGCCCTGACTTTTTATCATGAAATGCAGCACATATTTTTTATGTTCCTCGATCGATAAGATATTTTACAAATTTGGAACACTCGCTGATGTGACTTTTATGCAACTGCATCTTGTTAATGCGGTTGAAAAATTTCACATAATTAAGACCAATGCATAAAACTAATTTAAACTAAACATTTTAAAAAGGTTCTACAAGTTTTGGGCATTAGTAACAGCCCCAAAACAACATTTTTTTTATTCAAAATTTCTTAGCTTAATACATGTTTTACATTTTCAATAAACTCCTTATAATATCCTAATAATACAACGAAAAAAAAGATCACAGAAACTAAACTATTCGTACTTAAATTTTAACCTATTGATTTTAAAATATATTTAAATAAGATGAGTATTATATTAATACTTTCGGGAGTGTAATAGTTAAACTTTCGGTATAAAATATAATACAATTTTAATATAACGAGTATTAAAAGTTAAAATATGTTTTTTTTGATGTGGTCGTTATTAGTATATTTCTTATATGTTTATTTTAATTAAAAGGTATTATATTAAATGCATCAAAATAAAACCATTAAATGAATATGTTAAATTAAAATGCTGATCAAAACCCATGTAATCTTTGCTCACATCCTCAACAATATAAACGTCAGGACTAATGTATAAATAATCACAGGCTCTGGAAATCATTTTCCATTTGCAATGCATTTTTTAATAGAAAACGCAGCCCAGGGCCAGTGATTAATGAAACAATTGAATAATATTATTTAAATTCGCATACATCCGATGCGAGCCGTGGCGAATGGACAAACGCCGCCGAAGAGAAGATCCCCAAGCCCAGAATCCAAAATAAAAGAGTCGAAGACCCAAGAGATGTGAGAAAAACGCCACCCATTTTGTGGACTCTACTCCAAGAAAACTAATGATGTTCTTCGATCCACGATCGATGCTGATCGACTACAAAGCAGAGCAATTACAAATCGGGGAACTGGACAACAGGTTGCTGGCTGATGGATGGATGGAGGTGGATGGCGATGGGAAATGTGGATGTGGATAGAGATGGCGGTGGAGATGGAACCACTCGACGGACCCGGGCCGGAAAACAAATTAATCTTGTTGACGTCGCGGCCTCGTCACTTTCTTCGTCAGGTCGAGGGCCCAGGTGTTTGATCTCGACCTGATGCTGATGCTGATCTGCTGTTGGACAACGATGGGTTGCGCCTACCTTTGCGCCTTCTGTTTAATGATCAATTTGTTGGCCTCCGTCTCAGATGTGTGCCGACAGCGTTTAGCGGACGATTGGCTGGGATTGTTTTGTTTGGGCTCCGTTTGTTGTGCCCCAGGCTAATGAGTTTCTCGAAAGTGGGAGTATGTGGCAGGGGCTCCCCTTTCGGCCCCGGGATAAGGAAGCATCCCTGAAGGCACTACGCTGTACTGCATGACCTGCGAAATTTCCGTCAGACTGTGCGTCGTCTAAATACACAGGAGGATAATCCTTTTGAAATAAAGAAATTATATAAATTATCATGTAACATCGGTAGTTTTTTAAATATTTAAATTTTTATGTATTAAACTTCTTCTAGTTTTACTTTCCTCGAGTGAATTTACAATTTACCTTTTGCCATTTTAATAGTAATTTTTTGAATAGTGGACCATTTTTTGTGGAGAATAACTTTCCAAATTTGAAATGGAAGCAGGAACCGTAAATAACAGTTATTTGAGACTTTTATTTTAAAAAGACTACTGTGATATTTTGTTTTAAACGTCAAAAATAACACTCTTTTTTCTCTTGTCCACAAAGCATATGCATTTCAACAAATCTGGAAAGCAAATGAACTGTTATTTGTCTATGTCTATAAAGTGCATAAAAGCCAGTAAAATGGTTGATAAAAAATTGAACAAATCTCAGTAGGCCTTTTAAAATAAAAGTCTCAAATAACTGTTATTTACGGTCCCTGAATGGAAGTGGATAGAATAGAATCCATTACCCAAATGCAAAGCTGTAAATTACTAAGGAAATATCAGTATGTAAGATATCTTTCGAGTAAGACCTGTATAAAATTAAATAATAAAAACTTTAAATGATCATATAGAACTTTGTAACAGAAACTTTATATTTCATTTCCTTAGCTTAAATTAAAAAAGTTTTTTGGATGAATGTGCATAATTGTGGAATCAGGAATTGTGTGCTGCATTTCCAGCAGAGTGTTTTCCCTGAGTGCATGACGAATGCCGTGCGGTCGGAGTGCCAAAACCATACGATTGTGGGCAGGGGCGCGAAGTTTCCGCCGATCGAGAGCCATATGAAAGATGCTAATTTGAGGACAAAGCAGTTCTGCGGAAGCCACCTCGCGACCCACAAACAACTAATGCCTTCAATTAGCCCGGCTAAACTGCTACCAAGAGCAAGGGTTAATCGCCCGGAGATCGGGAAAGGCCCTCAGCTTTCCGCCCCCTTTTTTATACGGTAGGCGTGGGCTGCGTTAAGCCGCAGCATTTTTTTCTCCGGCATTTGGGTTATGGGCCATAACTACCTGGGATTCCTTGGCCCGGTTTAGCGTGTCCCACCCAAATGCCATGCCAAATCGTTTACAAATGTTGATCAATAAAACGTCCGAGTGTAATGCGATTATCCGCTATAATCGGGCGATCAACACTCGAGAACTTTTCCAAAATATTTGAAAAAGTCAACTGCCGATCTGCGGGATCCAGGATGCAGATTGCAGGCTGGCCAGGATCCAGGACCTAAGCTGGTGCGACTTTCCCTCTAATCTCGCACTTTGCCGCTATTTGTTTGCATGCTTTAGCGGGGATTTCGATTTACGATCGCCTCGGACTCCGGCAAAAACTGTGCTCGGGAGTTTCAGAGCTCTGTTTTTGGGATGGGCCGTGACCAGGGGGACTCTTTTGACTCGTATTTACTAAAACTTACTGCGGATTAGGAAAAAGTCAATCGCCGCCTGCCAGTCTGTCGGGCTAGTGGAAATATTTGAGGATCAGAGCAAAACCCGAGGATCAACAGTGGGCTTAGGATTTAAACAAGAAATTATGTTTAAAGGGGTACATAAAAATAAAAACTAAACTAAAAACAGATTTCGGGGTTAAGAGATAATTATTTAAAGAAATAAAAACTTTATTTTGACAAAGTTGAAAAAAGAAACATTTAAAAATAAGCAGAATACTTACAAATTTAACAATGAATGTATGAAAATTTCTTTTTGCTTATATAATGGAAACTTAAAACTAAATTTGAGGATGATTTATTACACTCCACAATTTAATATGAAGAACGTTTGAAATTTAATCCTTTTTAAAATTTCTAACTTAGAAATAAAGCTAAAATAGTTTTTTAGAATCTTTAGTTTGGATTTAAATACAAGGAAAAAGTAACTAAGGATAATATATGGCGCATTAGACATGGCACGATATGGTACGTTGAGATATTCTGTCCAGAATTCCCTAATTTCAAGAAATCATGGCTCTAAATAGTTCATTATCTAAGCATCCCGTAGTGCGTTCTACGAGAAGAGCCTTCTGTGGGCTGTGGGCAGAAGAAGAAATGGAAATTCGTTGCACACCGCAGCATCCAACAAGCAGCGAGCAGAGCAAAAACAACAAACTTAAAGGGCCTGATAAAGACATTAGAGTCAGGGAACGTGAAACAATCAAGGCCGTTCCAATGTGTGACAACAGACCGCATTACGTCCGGCCAAAGCGAATCGATTGCCAAACACAAGCAGCAGCAGAAATTTAGAGAGAAAAGTTGGGAAAAAATAGGTACTGTTATTCTAAAGACTTGGACATACCTTTTAGTAACCTACCCGTCGATTGTTTTATGAACTCTTTTATACAGTTTTATTTAACTGCACTTTATTTCACTTTAAGGGTATTTTACAGTTCATTATCTTGAAAAATTAAAAACAATATTTGTTACACAACTTTACACTCCTGTCTTACATTTTAGTGAATGCAAAATTAAGTAAAACTATTTTTTCTTTTAGAACTTTTACAATTTTAAGATTACAATTATTTTTGCAATATTGTTATATTATTTAAAGTTTAATTGTTTAATTATGGATTTTTTGTTTGGTCGCTTTTGATTTTTACACTGTATTATAAATATTGTTATCCAAATTTACAAAAAAATTTTGGAATGGCTCAAACTAATAAATGGCTCCAGTAAATTAAGTATTTTAATTAATCTAAAATAATTTAAATAGGATGTAGGTACCAAAAATTAAAAAAATATAGCTTTACAAATGTTCCAAACATTACCAAAGATATATTTACATATATATTTACATTTTATAGAAATATAAAATGTGTGATTGTCGTAAAATTGGGAATAAATAAAAGACACAATCTATTCAAAGTTGCCATCGATTATAGAGCCATTTGTTTGCATCGACTAAGCGCACGAGTCTCTCGAGGCAGGTCCTCCAAATCAAAGGCGATCCTTTTCTTGGAGGTTCAGTTTCGCAGGTACGAGAGATCTGTTGGCGAAAGTTGACGATCACGAGGAAGATTTTCATTCATAGCACCCTGGGTGGCATCATAAAAAGTCTCTTAGCATCCTTATTCTTTGCACGGATGTGTCTTCATTTTCCCGCTGTCCGATTCGTGGAAATGCGAGCGAAGCTGACTCGCTGCGTTTATGGCACCGATGCCTCCTACTGTTTCCTGCTTTTCAGCCAGGTCCCTTCTCTTCACAAAATCCCGATCCTGTATCGCCTTTTTCCAAGTGTTGATAGCGCGAAATTAGCGTTATATGAGTTGCCTTTTCAGCGCTCATTGTCTGGCTAAATTGTGAAATCAACAAAGATCGAATCGGATTGGGAATCGATCGAGAATAGAGGCGCCTCTTTAACTCTAAAGTTGATATCCTGCCTGCTCCAATTGAAATACTTAGCTTCGAATACTGGTTTTGCCATCAAGGCCATCGGCTCAAGGTCGTCAGCGATTTTTGCTATCCTGCCAGGCGAAAATGTGTGGATTCGTTACTGGGGTGCCTGGTACTCCGAACTCCTCCCGTTGGGTTTGCTTAACCAAACTCCCAACGGGCAGCCGCACCGAGCAGTAGAAACCCAACCTTTGTTGCCCTGCGGCCTCCGTTGTCCTTGATCTATAGCTGTATCTGTATCTGGGAACTGGATCTGTATCTGGATACGGATCCGAGCCAGGAGGATGCGCATTCGTCACGTCTCTCTGGGCCAATTTCCTCGCTGGCGTTTCGACCATCGGGGTCCATCATTAATTCTCCCAACACTTGGCGCTCTCTATTGTTCGCTGGTTTTCGGTTTTTCGTAGTTGTCCCGCTCAGCGCTTTCTTTTCCAGCGGTTTTACTTAACTTCTTTTTGAGGGTCTCTGTTGCGTGAAATTCCATAATTAATCAAACTCATGAGAGCCCATAGAATAGGGTCGCAACGATGCCATCACCTTGAGCACCATAGCATAATGGTTTCAAAAGCGTGACAAGGATATGGTTATGTGGATAGGATGTTTCTAACCCTTATGTTGAATGTTTTATGGGGAAATAACTAACAACCACTGATCAATATCACATGTTAATATGGCAGTCGAGTCGCGATTATCACTAAAGCTCTATAATTATTTTCGTGATCTTGCTTTTTTCAAAATTTTTTGTATTTTTCTTCATAAGGTATGAAGAATTAAATATATGCAATGCAACTATGGCCGATTCTTTTCTGTTCCATAAGTTTAAACTTTCGGCTACAGTGTACAATAAATAAGAAAATTAAATATCTTATCCTTGTCTTTTAAAATCACAATAACTTTGTCGAAAAGTAAATATCTTGCACATTCATCTATTTAATTAAATTTCTATTAATTTGGAATTTTTAAACATTTTTTAAAGGCTCTTTCTATAATATATCCTAGCACAATATTGTTGTATTAAATCGCCTTTTGCCCGGTTCCGATTGATATCTTAAACTGTCGGAAAAATGCCAGCTCTCAGGCCCTTATAAATGAAAAGCCCTAATGAGGTATCAATAAAGGATATATTACGCTTGTAAAGGGTGTTAAACGCGTATTCGATTGCATTATGAGTTCCAGTGAATATCTAATTTGATTTCCAGGGTCAAGTGGAACCCAAAGAATATCTCAGGGCAAGAGTAACCTTTTAACTTTTCTTTTTAATTATTTAAGATGATCATCTTAAGATGACTTGTAATAGGCGTGTAATTGTAAGTCATATCCTTAAAACGAGGTGTCAATAAAGGATATATTACGCTTGAAATGTGTATAAAATGCACTTGATTTCATTGGGTCTGCCATTTAAGAAAATGTTTAATTTCAGGAAACCAGTGAAACCTCCCGAAAAACACATAATATAAGCTGAATTATGCCCAGGATATAAATCGGCAATGCCAAGGAGCTTGTGTAAAACTGGGGTTCCCTTGTTCTCGTACACCCCATCCAAAGTTATTTCTTTCTCTTCCCCATTCCACAGCGTTTTCCCAGTTGAGACGCCCCCCGGTGCCGAGCGAGATGGGTGCTATAAGGCCCGATATCTGACAAAGAGTGCCAGAGCGAGAAACAGCGGCTGAGAGCTCTGCGATTGGTCCGCGTGGTGGTTACCTGCCAAGTGGCAATGGGATATGGCCGACGTCTGGGCCGGGGCTTCACAGAAAGGCAACGATCTTGGCCGACGTTCGGATGGTGAAGTCAGTCAGGCACAGACTGCGCAACGAGTCACATCACATCTCGTCTTCGTCTTCGTCTTCGCCTTATCGAGATTGCGCACTATACTATTCCATATTCGAACTGAAACTAATCGGTTAATCAACACCTCGCAACGCTTACTTATGACTTTGACAGAGTGTCCGAAAATCGTCTAGAACTAAAGTGATACGATAACCGAGTGATACACGAACTCCAAGACTGAGTTACCGCCGGTTTTGTGCCGGGACAACTTCGCGGATCTTGGAGCTCCAGAAACTATGACCGTAACCGCCTTTGCTGCCGCCATGCACAGACCCTTCTTCAATGGATATTCTACCATGCAAGGTAAGTGTCTGCTGTTTCTTTGAATTTAGATCTTGAGATCGAAGAATCATGGGATTAACCCCAAGATCAAGTTTCGAATTCTTCTGAGATTATTTTAAAGTTCCCACCTTCTCAAACAGATGATATCTTAAATATCTGAAGATTCTTTTTCAATAACCCATCGTTTAAATATATTATTGAGATTTCAGAGCTTTATCTAAAAGTTCAAAGATCTTAAAACTTTTTAACTTATATTATAAGGAGACATTCCTATCTCGCTTTACCTAAACACCTCACAGATATCTTCTTTTAATATATTTCTAAGATTTCAGAGCTTTATCTTAAAGTTCAAAGATCTTCAAAAGTCATCAAACTTCTCAACTTCATTATTAGGAATCATTCCTATCTCGCTTTTCTTAAACATCCCAAATATCTCGTTCTCACTGATCCCTTTCCAAACTAAGAGTCCCTCAAAACGACCTCAGTTGCGATCCAAGGCCGTCGGCAACTCTCTAATGGCCATTAGTTGGCCCGGCGGGAGAGTCGCGCGCCTCTGACCTTCGACCTTCGCTCCGAGTTTCCCTCTTCCCGGGAAGTCAACTCCGGTCGAAGTCGGAGGTGTCGTAAATCAAGTGACACGCGCTCCGCGCTACCTAGCAAATTGGAAAAGCCTCTAAAATTTCCATTTCCTCTTGCTTCCATTCCAGACATGAACAGCGGCCAGGGGCGCGTCAATCAACTAGGTGGAGTCTTTATCAACGGTCGTCCTTTGCCCAACAATATTCGCTTGAAAATCGTCGAGATGGCCGCCGATGGCATCCGACCATGTGTGATCTCCAGACAGCTGCGCGTGTCTCATGGCTGCGTATCGAAGATCCTGAATCGCTACCAGGAGACGGGCTCCATTCGGCCGGGAGTGATTGGTGGCTCCAAGCCGAGGATAGCCACGCCCGAGATCGAGAACCGGATTGAGGACTACAAGCGTAGCAATCCCGGAATGTTCTCCTGGGAGATCCGCGAGAAGCTCATCCGCGAGGGAGTCTGCGACAGGAGCACAGCGCCCTCGGTCTCAGCCATTTCCCGCCTGGTGCGTGGCCGAGATGCTCCGCTGGACAACGAACTCTCCTCCGCCTCGGAATCCCCCTCGGGTGGTGGTGTCACCAAGGCCTCCAGCTCCTGCGGCTCGGATGTATCGGGTGGCCATCACAACGGCAACAACAAGCCCTCCGATGAGGACATCTCCGACTGCGAAAGTGAGCCGGGAATCGCTTTGAAACGCAAGCAACGCCGCTGCAGGACCACCTTCTCCGCCTCCCAGTTGGACGAACTGGAGCGCGCCTTCGAGCGGACTCAGTATCCGGATATCTACACCCGTGAGGAGCTGGCCCAGCGCACTAATCTCACCGAGGCTCGCATCCAGGTGTGGTTCAGCAACAGGCGGGCTCGTCTCCGCAAGCAGCACACCTCGGTTTCGGCTCCCGGAGTCGCCGGGGTAACCTCTGGAGTAACCTCCTCCTCCACCACCCTGCCCAGCGTGGTCTCCACTGGAGTGCCCAGCATGGCGCCGCTGGCCATGATGCCCGGCTCCCTGGATGCCATTTCCTACCAGCAGCAATACGATTTCTACGGCACTCACGCCAACATTTCCGTAACCGCCGGAGGAGCTGCCATGGCTCCCAGTAGCAATCTGTCGCCGGGAATCACGACCACACCGCCGCACCATCATCAGTTTTATAACCCCAGCGGAAATACCGCCAGCTATATAATGCCGGGGGAGCAAGGCAACACCACACCCACTGGAAACATCCTAGTGTCCAGCTATGACACCCAATTGGGATCGGTTTATGGAGCGGCTGAGACGGATGCCCACCAGACAATGCCGCGCAACGAGAGTCCCAACGAGTCGGTGTCCTCCGCCTTTGGCCAACTGCCGCCCACGCCCAACAGTCTTTCAGCGGTGGTGAATGCAGGAGGAGTAACTACCTCCTCGACAGTCGATCCCTCGCAGTCGCTGGCCAATGCCAGTGCTGGAAGTGAGGAGCTATCGGCTGCGCTGAAGGTGGAATCGGTGGATTTGGTGGCGGCCAGTCAGTCCGGTCAGTTATACGGCGGTTGGAGCTCCATGCAGGCGCTGCGTCCCAATGCCCCACTCTCCCCGGAGGACTCGCTGAACTCCACCAGCTCGACGAGCCAGGCCTTGGATGTGACCAGCAGCCACCAGATGTTCCATCCGTATCAGCATGCCCCGCAATATGCCGCATATCCCTCGGCAACCGGCCATCACTCGCATCCGCATCACGGACATCCACATGCGCCACATCCGCACGCCCATCCGCATGCGCATCCGCAGTACGCTGGCGCACATCCGCACTATCCGCCACCCAATTCGTCGGCACACTTTATGCCGCAAAACTTCAATGCCGCCGCCTTTCCATCGCCCTCGAAGGTCAACTATGCAACGATGCCGCCACAGCCGTTCTATCACTCCTGGTACTAAGCGCCAAGGATCCTCCACCTCCAGGAGCAGGTGTCACCAGATCCCAGGGACAAGTCGCCAAAGATGTACATAAAATATACATGATGTAGCTCGGGGGAGAAGCATAAAAATAACATTTTTGTGTATGTGGGGCAGTACAGACATTTTCCATGTGGGAAAACCTCTGACAGACTCGCCCCGAAAATAGTTCCAATTTGTAGACCTAAGTATCTAGTATCTAATATAGTTAAGAGGATAAGTAAGCCTAAGTAGCAAGTGCCTTGAAAATAAATATATATTTATCACGTATTCCATGATCTTTCACTCGAAGTCCTGGCCATTCAGCAGCCTTGACACGCTTCTGTTCGCAGCGGGAAATGGGAAATCCTCTGGGCCATTAGAGCCTTTAAGTAGCTGCGCTTTCCACGGACCTGGCTGGAGATCTCAACAGTCACCCCGGGGAACTGCTCCTTCTCCTTCTCTCGGAACTCCTGATCAAGCTGTGCGAGGGGTCGTTTAGTTTCCGGAAAAAGAGAAAACTCCTGAAATAAAAATTATTCCATCAGTTTAGCAGAGCGAAGACAACTCCAACCAAGGTGTTAATTGCCCCCTCGATTCCAGAGTAATTGCCTTCGTTCGGACTTACCTCAAATTCACACCTCATCCTTTAAGATCGAGAATCGGCCCATCCTACGTGTCCGCACGAATGGCAATTAATGAAGTCATTATCCTTGAGTCCTCACCTCCAGACAGCTCAGACAGCCTAAGGCTAAGTCTCTGTTGATTTAATCTAGAAAGAACTGCAAATCGCTGTTTGTTTTCCTCTGGCCAGCAAGAGAGAAAAGTAAATATTGACTTTACAATCGACTTAGGATTTTCCAGGTAGTCCGAAAGATTGGCAAAGAAAAATTGCACAAAATCCATTTAGATCTAGTTGATTTCGTTCTTCTAAAAACCATAATCGGGGGATTTGCAAACCTGTTATCCGTCATCTTCTACCATTTCTAGACAAAACCCAATGCCAACTGGGTTAATAAACCAATTACGTTTTTAATTCGTTACCCACTGAGATGGGGAGAAAATTCTCAGCCACAGTAGCCGAAAGAAAGCTTCGATCGGGAAATGATTAAATCCAAAATATTACGCATTAATTTTCGGTAGCGATATAAAATTACCCAGCAAAGCTGCGAGAGGAAAAGCACGTCGGCGATGTAACCTCCAAAAAAAAACATAGAGGGGCCTCCGTCCAGAGATCATGGACATGCCGATCTCCCTGCTCTGGCTTTATGCCCTCCCCATAAGCCGTGATTAATGAGCTGACAAAGTGTTGAACATCAAAGGCAGGGAAAACAGTAATTTACAACGACGCGACTCGAGATGAAATTTAATTTAATTTTTTATTAATTGTTGCTGGGATCTGTCGGTCGGATCTGGGGCAGTCAGGTCCCGATTAAGATTGAGATTGAGATCTACCTGCTGATCCGATGATGAACCAATAAACCCAGGCGTTGCCTGGCACATAAGCAGCGCAAAACCTCAAAATATTTACTCGACAGCAAGGTGGACTAACCCAAAAGGGGGATTTGCGAGCGATTTGCGAATCAAAATTTCCAGTTCCAGGAGGCGGCCGAAAAGGATTTGTGTAGCGCCCTCTCACTCGCTCACAGGATTAGGCCGTTTCGGAAATAATCCTTTGCTGCCAGGAAGAACGCAGTAAACGGCGCACAGCCCTTCGGCCAGGTCAACTCGTTTCTCGGCCCGTTTACGACGGTGCCATAAACTTTTATTTGCTGTCATTCTTCGTCCTCGTGCGCAGTGCTCAGTGTTCAGTGCTCAGCCAGGACACGAACCCCTTTCCTTTCGCAGGATAAAGGGTCCTTTCGCCGGCAAGAGTTAAGCCAGCAGAGTAGGAAAGGCTTAGCTTTCAGTCAGACCCTCAGTCAGTCGGACGGAGTCAAAGTCAGGTAGAGTTTCTCCGTGGAAAAACTAGGTAGAGTCCTTTCTCCCGAGTCCCGAACTGCAGCGATAATCCCTGCTAATGAGGTGTCCTGTGCCAAGCCGAGCCATGGGCATCGAGATATGGATATGGGTGGATGAAAGTCCGAAAGTCAAGGATAATAGGGAAATAAAAGGGGATTACTTGAATCGTACGAAATAAGCCAAGTGAATGAAACGATCATGTTAAAGAAGTTTTCAAAATATTATAATTTAATAAATGCTAAGCCTAAAATCAACGAGAAGTAATCAATTTGGCAAGGCACAAGATTAAAGTACTTATAAGTCTAATAATATTTTTAATTATTAAACATAAAAAAAACGAACAATTTGTTTATTAAAATTAAGGACCAATATTTGTATTAAATTATGAGTAAAAATCAACATCAAACTATTCTTAAAGTTTAGGTCTTTTAGACTAATTTTAAGGTTACGATGGCCTATAAAAATCTTTTCAGATTTACCTAAAAAGTAGGAACATAGTCCACATGCTAATATTAATTAATATTAATAGTCTATTTAAATTTTGTCGGCCATACGTTGCTTGTACATTTTACTTTGTACTTGTACTTTGTACTTTTAATATCGGAATAAAGGTTACGATGGCCTATAAAAATCTTTTCAGCTTTACCTAAAAAGTAGGAACATACTCCACATGCTAATATTTTCAGGAAACCCATTACCCAAATCTAAAATTGTAGTATATTTAAATTTTGTCGGTCATACGTTACTTGTACTTTTTACTTTGTACTTGTACTTTGTACTTTTAATATCGCAATAAAGAATTCTTCCAATTCAAAATTATTTTTAAATGTTAATTTATTTTCTGTAAAAATAAACATTTTTTATATCAAGATATCTTCCGTTTCTTTTGATAAGAAAAGTTTTTCGAACTCTTAAGCCCTTCAAAATCTAATCTATAAGAGGGATATCTACTAAACAAGTGTCAGCTTATGATCTTAACGCATTACCAAAATAGGTATTATATAAGTTCAATGTAAATTGATTGTAATATGTAAGTGTAAAGTATTGTAAAATAGATTCAAATATTTTAAAGGAAATTCGAATTCTGCAGGCAAATTCAGTTATTATGACAGTTATATCTGCAACCCTCTGAGATTCATTTATCAGCAGTTGCACTTGCACACCACGACCCGTCCAAACAGATTCCAGCCGTATTGGCAAACATTTCGGTTTTGTCTGTTTGGCCAACTACTCGTACTGTGATCCCTGTCATCGACGATGTAAAGAGAGAGAGAGATCGAACAAGGTATTTTGTATGTCCGCGTCCTCGAGTTATCCCACTGACTTGCAACGGACTGGGAGTCGAGCGCATGCTGTTAGCGCACAAATTGATTTGTCAAATCGGGGCGCACAAGGACATTGCCATCATTAACGATGATTGCCCAGGACCCTAGGATCCTAGGACATCCGGCCGAAGGTCGTTGCGCAGTCGGTGCCAACGACTTGGACTTTGGGCATTCGCATTGTCAACACTTTGCGTACCACCAACTGTTTCTGTTGCTCTGTCCCCGTCTCTTTCTTTTTCCCTATATCCATCTCTTTCGGGGCAAAATAGTTGGAGTTTTATTAATAAACACCTTGCTAGAGTAAAAGCGGGAGAGCTGTATGTCTCACTCGCTCTTTGATCTTTCTAAAAACAGTCGTAATCGATTTGGAATGCTTGGCGGGATCTTTTGCTCCTTCTCCCTTTGCAACTTGTCAGCTTCCTTTTGGCCTCTCTGCCCAGCAAGTGTCTTCTGTCCAAGGCGGCTGCTGAGCGGTTCCATCGCACTCGGAGTGCCAAAGTTAACGTGGCCGAAACGGTTACGCTACTTTCCACCAATTAAGCAGAGCTGCAAGTCGGATTGGCTGGCTAATTCAGGTTGTATTAGGTTAATAAGGTGTGGCTCTGTGAGGAAAGGTGGCGAAAATAACCTCTTTTGTTTGCATTTGGTAACCTTGAAGGCTTTGGTTGCTCGCTAACCCTAAATTAGGCTAAGAAGAAATTATCAAAAATTACGACAGAAATTAGAAACTAATTTGTATCTCCAAAAAACTAAATTAGGATTTAACTAATAATATTACTGTAATAATTATTACTTTAAAAATAAATACTGTAATATATATTATATAAAAAACTTTAAAGTTTTTAATACAAATTTTTAGAAATTATTATATACTTTTTGAAATTATCTTTTATTTTGTATTTAAAGAATATATTATAAATTAAATGAACTGCACAGAGAAAATTCTGACGTTCTCATCTGAGTTGAAAATGTTCTTAAAAATAGAAACCCCTTTTTCAAGTTTAAAATGTTCTAAATGTGCTTGAATTAAGTTGAATTGGTTCTTAAAATCTAGTTGAGCTTAAAATGTTCTTGAAATAAGAACGAATCGTTATTATTTTAGCACATGGTTCTTAAATCAAATCGATTTGGTTCTCAAAAACCACAATATCTGAAAATGTTCTTAGTTTGAGAACGAAAAAGACTAAAGAAAGAACAAAAATTAAGTTGCATTTCAACTTAAAATGATTCAAAACTCTATTCTCTAATTTTTTTGGATTTCCTAGAACGCGTTAGGATGTTTTCGTTTGACGCCTAGAAGGCACTAGACCATTTTACTTTGCTCCAATACGACTTTACCATTAGATCTGCCCTTTTCGTCTTATATATAATTCCCAACTGGTTCTAGCCCTTCATGAACCGAGCCCAATTCAGATTCTGAGACTTTAAGACTTTTTTTCTGGCTTAAGTCTTTAATGAACTTCCACACTAGCTGGAAGTCAAGTGCAACGCCCACCTTTATAAGGTGTAATGGACAACTACCTTTTTAATATTACTTATAAATTACTCTTAAAATCAAACTCAAAATGCTATAGAACTGAGAGCAAAAAGTGCTGAAAATAGAACAAATGAACTTATATTTGTATCCATTTGATTTAAAAATGTTCTTGAATTAAGAACAAAATCAACTTGAAAATAGAACGAAGTGAACTTAATGTCGGATTTTTAGCTAACACCATTTCGTTCTGATATTGAGAACATTCAACTCGAAATGAGAACATTTGTGCTTACCCGGTTTTTAAGAACGAATGTTCTTGATTTGAGTGCAATGTTCTTGTTTTTTTTTCTCTGTGTGATGTTTATGGCTTTTTAATCTGTACCAGCATAGCCTATGTAGTCTGGCTTACAAGATCATAAATGGTTTTTAAATACGAAGAACTCTCACTTTCTTATAGATAGTTACTGCTAGATACTATCTATAAACTCGATCCCAGATTGTTGCATTTACCATCCGACCTGAACAGGTGCCTCCACAGCCCCCAACACACAATGGCTTGCTTACACACAATAGCTCAAAGCCAATTTCATGTACAATACAAGCCATCCAATTGAGCATTTGGCCAAATGGTAATGCGCTCGCCTCATGCCGACATTATTATTAATGATAAGCACAGGTCGCCCTTTTGGTGGAAGCGGTAAAAAACAATGGAGTACTCTATTTTATGCACTGAGGGAAAAAGGTGTTTCTCTTAAAAATATTCATATTTTATAACTTTTTTTACAAAGCATCATTTTAATTCGAGATTAAAACTGAAAAGTCATATCAATTTAATTAATAATAAACATTTTTAAAGTTAATCAATATAATAACTTATTTTTGGCATAATCGATTGTTTTAAAGAATTTTAATCCTGTTATAACATAAATGTTACTCTAATCTATTCAACAAAAACCCCCGTAAAACATTTTAGGACATTTATAAGTTTCTTAAAATATTTTAAGATTCTTAAAATATTCTTAAAATATTTTAGGAAAAGCGCGGTGTTCTTATCGCCTCGTTTTTCGGGGGGAACTGGCATATTAATGGTTCATTACTGTGACCCGCTGGCCCGATCCGCTCTCGACCTGGCCTGGACATGGAGGTGGACATGGGTGCCGGGTCCCAGCTTCAGAGGTAGCTCCTTGTGGACTCGGTTCGCTTGGGGTTTCGATGGCTTTGTTTTGTGCCGCGATTGTTGGCCAGGTACGCTGCTGGTACTGGGGACTTCCACTGACGCCTGGCGTGACGGTTTTAATTTTATTTTATTATTATGTATATGGTGGCGCAGGGTGCTTGCAGTCTATGGCAGCTCGCCACCTCTTCCACCTCCCAGTCCGTTGTTGTTGGGCATTTTATCATGAACTTGTTTTTATGGCCGGGGCTTTGGCGGGCTGCCTCGTAATTAGTTGTGGGACTCCTGCGGCAGCGCCACCTATCGGCCGTGGCGGGAGTAACGAACGACATTGCCCGACATTTTCAGGCCCCAAAGCTAATGAAGCAACAGCCCAAGTCCCACCTAACCGAATCCAAGCCCCTCAGGCCCCAGACCCCTCAGACTTTCAGGCTTCACGGACGCGTGCAAATTCCATTGAAAAAGGAGTTAAACTCCGCTTTTTATTCCTCGACCGCCTGGCTTTATCTGCATTGGCCCAGCAATTTACTTGCTTCGTATTTTGTTTCTTGACTTCTTTGTATTATTTTGCAGTTCCGCGGAGTTTCCTAGAGTCGAGGCTCCACACACTTTGTGGCAAACTGAAGTTGGCGCGGCAGCCACTAATTTTGCATGCGGAAATTGGAGTTTGACATGTGCCCATGAGGGCTCGAGTTGAGAAATATTTAGGTAAGTAAATTTACGGTGAGCTATCATTAAACTCTAGAGAAAAATAGTTTACAAAATTGAATTTAAATGAATGAAATTTTGTCTTAAGGATCTTAAAATTTTTTAAAATATTTATCAATCATAATATTTATCTAAAGCGAAGGCTTGATTAAAATTAGTACGATAAAAAAGAAAAAATATTTTTGCATAAGTTATTTTAAAACTTTTATTGAAACCCTTGATTTCCTTCAAGTAATGGACCCTTAAGATAGTAAGCGTAAAAAATATATACAAAATCGTTAGCGGATAGTTCAGAAAACTGCCGAACGGCAACGTCGAAGCTCGGATTTCTGCACCTCTACCGTGTCCACTCCGAATCCATGCCAAAGTGTATCCGGCGGCTTGCTCCACCGCACAAAGTAGGTCTTATGGACGGCGGCCAGTGGAAGTTTCGACTGGCTCCTGGTGTCCAGACGCCGTCGGAAGGGCCAGAGGAACCAGTGGAGTGGTCCCCGACTTATGGGCGGCACCTTCAGCTGCCCCGGAGCCACGGATTGGATCGCCTCCAGCTGCAGCGTGGGATGTGGCTGCTCCACTATCACGGGAGTTGGCTTATTAGTTAGCCTGGTACTGGAATCGAAGACCTCGATCTCGTTTTGATCGCGCGATGACCAGGGAGAGGGTTCCTCATCCGCTTCCTCCCGAATGGGAGAAACACGACTACCACGATTACATTTGAAACACCGAGGAAGCTTGGACTTTAGAGGAGGCGGGGAAGGATCTGGTGGCGGCATCTTTACCAGGATAAAGTGGTCATTTAGCAGGCAGACATCCGACACCTTCTCGTACTTGGGCTCCTCGCCAAAAAAGGCATCTAAGTCGACGTTCTGCTGGTAGATGCGGTAATCCTTGCCAAAAGGATTCGACTGCTCCCGCTGCTCCGCCAATAGACTCGATTTGCGGCATGTTCCGACGGTCTGGTCAGGATGAGATTGCTTCCAGACCAATGGGGAAGTCCTGTCTTGTGGTCCCTTCATGAGGCTGCGCTGCAGCGAGAAAATCCTAGCGAAGATTAGTCCATGAAGGCGATGGTGCATGAACATCCTGGCGGAATTTTATGCAAGCAGACCTGTTAGGGATTGAAATGGAGGTAAGAAATTTTAAAATTGTCTAGATTTTGACAGCAAAATAAAGGAGAGAGAGACGAGTGAAAATGGTTGCATACTTTCAGGCCTCTAACAAATTGATTTTGTGTGATTTAACTGCATGGATTAAAAATCTTTCAATATCTGAATATTAAAGTAAAATTAAAATTTTTAATTGAATAATAACGTTTGTGTTTTAAATATTTTTCTGTGTTGTTTTTATTTAGTTGTAACAGGTACTTGGAATTTGTGATTTAATTCTAAGTACACTATTTTTATACAAACAATACAAAGAATGTAAAATGGTGTATTTTAGTAATCCATTTAGAGCCTTAAAATGCTGTATTGAAAAGAATTTTTAATATATTTCCTTTCAGAAATTGGGGTACCTAACCATGTTTCATATCCATTACATATTTCTCACTTGTGTTTTAAGGGGGCCAAGTTTAGATTTGGGTCTGGATACCAGTTACATGGAGTTGGCTGGCATTTTTCTTGTCGGACAGGCACATTATCCTTCGCTTGACTTTTGACACTGCACTTGGCCAAGAAATGGAGGAAGCAAGGAAGCGGCAGACAGGCGTCGAGAGTCCTTCGCTGGCTTGTTTCTCGAATCCGCTACCAATGCCAACAACAACAACAGCAACAACTGGCCGTATTTTATGCCCCACGAAAACAAAAGTTATATTTATTATTTTGACAGGTAAACAAATCACGAGCTCACCGCACTAACACAGACACACACACACACACCAAAGGGGAAGAAAACAAAATGCAGGCAAGGAGACACTCACATTTCCACGCTCCCCCCGTTCGCGGTCTTCTTCTTGCTTCCGGTTTCCGGCTTCCTTTCCGCTCTCAATTGGGCGTTGTTTGCCGCTCGGCTCACCAACGGCAACTGAAGCCGCCTTTCAGGCCGCCGCTGAATGCAGCACAGCCACATGCGTGGCCAATTAAATACCCTTCCAAAATTGTGAGGCAGTTTCGAATTGTCGATTAATTAGACTAGTTGCAGCCCACTAGTATAAATAACAAAACAAAGGATAATATAACGATTACAAAGTAATTTTAAACACCCTGATTTTCTGTCTATTTCGTAACACATCCTTAGGCAAGGAATTATGAGCACTAAAATTTAAGATCTATTGCTGTTATATACACTTTTACATTATAGAAGTCTAAACTATTATTTGTTAAAATTGAATTATATGCAAACACGTATTTTTATTATCAACCAACTTTGATTTCTAATAAATTGTTGTCAAAACTTAAAAAATTTATTTAAGCTAAATATAATGTTCAATAACATATTTTTATACCCTTGTAGAGGGTATTATAATTTCAGTCAGATGTTTGCAACGCAGTGAAGGCGACGTTTCCGACCACATAAAGTATATATATTCTTGATCAGCATCACTAGACGAGTCGATCTAGCCATGTCCGTCTGTCCGTCTGTCCGTCTGTCCGTCTGTCCGTCGGTCCGTCTGTCCGTTTCTATGCGAACTAGTCTCTCAGTTTTAAAGATATCGCGATGAAACTTTCCCGAAAGTCTTCTTTCTATTGCAGGTAGTACATATGTCGGAGCGAGCCGAATCGGACCACTATATTTTAAGGCTCCCATAGGAATATTCAAAGATATATAAGAAAATTCATTGTTACTTTGAAGGAAGTAGGCGTTTTAATTCTTGACTCTTTAAAAACAAATTTCAAAAATAGAAACGCTGAATCTATAAGCTTCGGCTGGCCGAAGGTAGCTTCCTTTCTTGTTCTTATTTAAGTTCGCTTTAAATGGAATGTTGTGTCTTGCATGCATTAACCATCATCAAAACATGAATTTATGTAGTAATATTTTCTGTGTAAACAAACATATTTAAATCAAGAAAGAACTTAAGAAGATTTTTCAATTAATAACAAAAATTTGGTAACAACTATATATAGTTTTTATAATTTTAAAAATTCTGATAACCAAATAAAGCCCTCTATTTTGGAATAGAGTATTTCTGCTTCGGTTACCGCCCCATCATAAACTTTCACTTTTTGTTTTGCATGTTAATGGAAGGACGAACAGACGGATTGATGGTTGACAATTAGCAAAACATACCAAGTGCAATGTTTATAAATATTCCAATAAAGAACTTGTTCCGTTAATGGAATATGTGTACATAACAATATCTGCTGTCCAATGTCAAGGTTAAAAAGTTTTCTGTTTTTGTTTGTTCACATTTTATGCTTTGATTTTAGTTAGTACTGTTTATAATATCTAATTAAGCCAAAAATCGATTTTAATATTTATTTCTGAAAAAGAAAGTGCTTCATCATGCTTTTTGAGCTATATTCCAATAATTATATCTCAATTTGCATATTTTCACGTATAGCACTTGATGTATGGCTCAAGTAACAATTGTACGCATGGCGCATTAGTGACTATTTTCGACAAGATCAGATCAGATATGGGCACTTCCAAAAAAAAGTCCACCAAGCCAAAAACCTTGAAACTTGAATAAAACATATTTCCACATGATTTTGCCCCAATATTAGTTTCTAATTAGTTGGATACTGAGCTTAATTACAAATTTGGAGTATAGTTTGATTATTTTTATGACAAACCCCACCAATATACGCAAAAATCAGTTTTTGGCTATTTTTTTGTTTTTTTTTTGACCTGTCTTCTATTGTTAATTTATCCTATAGGAATGCTAGTATGTGACATTTTTCTGTACTGAATGCTTCATTCACATACTAAACTATTAAGTTAAAAGCAAAACATCCAGCAATTGAGAGATAGAGGTAAAGAAATCCGCTTTACAAAACAGTCGGAAAAACTGTCCCGAGCGACATGTCCCGAGCGACATGTCCCGAGCGAATGTGGTTGAAACTGCATAAAAAAAAAACGGCAAAGAATTTTTGAGTGAAACCAAAAGCATTTCACAGCGACATGTTTGAACAACATTCTAAAAAAAATCGCATTCAAATATTCCATCAGAATTCGCTAATTTCTGGTGTTGTATGAACTTCCCCGAAATCCACTTCTATTTTTGTCCCGAGCGAATACGGCAGTTTTTTACCGATATCTTAAAAACTAAAAGTGGTACAAAATCAAGATTTTTACCAAAAATAGAGCTTGGGAAGAGTGAAAAGAAAAGCCCATAATTAAAATTAAAATCCATTGTTCTACAATTTTTTTTCAACTTTAAAGGTGTGCAAATGTCCCGAGCGACATTTTGGAAGTGCCCATATACATACATACATATACCTGGTCAATTCCATAAGCCTTCCACCCTTTTTGACTCTTCGATTCCAAACTTATTCCCTAACTTATTCAGGTGCCTGACATGTCATATTGATTGTTAATGCACGCCACATCGATAAGTCAAATGAAGCCAGAAAATCAAGGTGGATGAATGGCGGAGCAGGGTGGATTGGAACCCTAAAGACTAAACATTAAGCAACAAGCTGGCTGCCGACTAATAACCCCACCCATTAATAAAGGCGCGTGGGAGGGGGAAGTACATAATAGGCAGAAATTCTTTGTTTACTTTGATTTGTGTTCACTACGATGATTACTTGAGTGACAGGCTGAGCGTTAATGTCGCGTTTGTTTTCTATTCTAACGGGGGAGCTAGCATTTAATATAGTCATTCTTAAATAAATATTTGAATAATTTAGATAATTATACAATATTATAAACAATTAAACAAATTCAACTATTACAACAAGTTAACAACATAGTAATAATTTCTATGTTAAATAATTTTAAAAGTGCAATTGCTACTGCCTTTGTTGTTGCTATTGTTTTTGTTGCTCTGCTCCAGTTGTTGTTGCACTCGAAATTGACACCAATTATGTGAACGGGTCGTCGATCGCATAAAATTGAACGGCAAATGCGGGGAGGGCCCTTCGATGACCTTCTCTCAATCAGATAATAAAACAAGAAAAAGGTATATGGTCTAATGAAACGACTATGCGATACCCAAGAAACAAAGATATATTAAATATATTATACAAAAAAAAAAAACCAAGTATATTAAGTCTTAATTTTCAGAATTTATACATTTTTTAAACCGTTCTATACCAACCTAAAGATTTTACTGCATGAAATGTAGAGCCAGTTCTCCTTTTATATTTTACTTATTTTGCATGATAACAATTTACCCTCCTTCTTGGCGATAAGCGGGTAAGAGAAACCAAGCAAAACATGAAATGCATTCGAGTAAAAGTGAATTTCGTTTTAAAAACATTCACATACATACTTACATATATTCTGATCATTATCCAAGGACAAAACTGGATAAGAGCTTTATCCAGATGACGCTCCCTTGCTCTCTTTTCATTTCTTTATGAACACTGAACTTGAACTTGGTGGCGAACTTAAGCTTACTCATCTCGAAAATAGGTAAAAACAAAACATGAAAACTGTAAATCATGCTTAGCCAAGTTGGTTAAAGCCAAGTTTTTGCTTCCTGGTCTTTTGTTTTCGTCTGGACCCCGTTGAAGGTCGCCTGTGGTTGGTTTTTTTGTTGTCTGGAAGAGTGAAAAAATGTGAATATTATTTGTCAGCTTGTGGTGGCCTCCAAGGATCGCGTTCCATGTCTCTTCCAGCCCAACCGCTCTCTTAAACCCTCTCTTTTGGGGCCTCCACTCTTCCCGATTCGAACGTAGGCTTCGTCGCTTTGGAAGGCCTGAAACTGGAATCATTTGGCGCCGAGCAGCGAGACCTATCGGTCATTCCCGTCTCGACTTGGGTTCGGATCTTCTCCACACTCAACTATAACGATCCATTGGAAATTCTCGTATTGTGTAAATACATTTAATATTGTTTCGGCGATTTCGAGTTATTAACATTTAACATCTTAATACAGTGTGAAGTGTGTAATTTGTGAAAGTGAAATTAGATATTGCAAATAGATTAACAAAAATGTACACCAAAAACTGCAAAACTAGTTGTTTAATAACAGGATATTACACAGTAATCCAATCGATTAAATCAACCATTAACTAAATGGACACACCTGTTTACTGAAAACAATGATAAGATAGCTAGTCAGATTCATTAAGAATAATGACTTTTAGATATTATATCTATTAGTAACATTCAATCATTAAGCTATCAATGTTAAGTCTTGAAGCTTGCCATTATACAATCTTCTTTATTTAATTGATATATACTGATAAATCATCTGAAAATCTGAGATCATAAAAATTAAATAAGCAATTTTTAGTAATTCCAGCTTCTTCCGTTGCTTTTGATAAATCAATGTTAAAAGCATTGCCTATAACACCCTTCTTAATTATGTACAATTACGTTTTAACTAGTTCAGTATGCAAGTAGTAAAGAAAGCAAAAGAGTAATTATATAGATACCTTCGTGATTAGGCAACCGAAAAGCCAGGAAAAGTTTTATAGAGACCCTCGTTGCATTTTATGGTTATGTCTTTCGGTTGTTGCAACAAACATTTGGCTTCCCCATTGCAAGAAAATAAAAGAGCCATGAGCTGCAACTGGCCAAAGAGAAGAGAACTGCCACAAGAGCACAAGAGACTTGCACTTTTTGGCATCGAGCCCCATTCATCAGGGCAGTGTAGTATGCAGAAATAAATAAAGGGGGATTTTAGAATATTTCTCAATCAGTATTACGTTCTTATTTTACGTAAAATTTTCATAGGGTTTAGCTTTGAACCTTTAAATTATATAAATACAATTTAATATCAAAATAATGGTATAGGGATTTTTTTATGCAACACAAAATAGAGCTATCAGTTATTTTTATACAATTTATTATTATTTAAAATTAAAATTAAATTCCAACTTATACATTTTGTGATCCCCATTTCTACTCCCCTGCATCCTGTTTTCTTCGTATACATTTGTCTCTTTTCTGTGTGCCACATTGGAGTGCACGTAATTTTCCATTTAGTGGCAGCCGAATCGAAAACGAAAGTGGAAATGTTGCACTGCCGCTGGCCGCTCCACCTCCTCCTCGCTCGCCCACGTCGCTCGCTCTTGGCCAGCCGGTTGTAAAATCGAGGAAAATAAAAATAATAAAAATGAAGAAAACCGACTCCTCGCCAAGCTCAAAAGCCAAAAGTTGTGAAAAGGAAACCCGCAAATGCGGAAGAGCGACGAGTCAGTCAAACAATCCGTGACTCAAAATCATTTTTTTTCATTACAGGCTTTGGAATCGCACTTCGTTCTGCTTGATTAACGCTGTCAAAGGGCGCCGGATTTCGGAAACCAGAGAAACCATACATATACCCGATAGTACCCATTACGCATAATGATAGAACGAGAAATTATCCAGTAAGTGCAAACGCTTATCGCTTTATATCCCAGAGAGATGAAGTACTGACACATCATACTGTAAAGCATTATTTTGCGGACATCTTAAAATTTATTGTTTACTTCTTTTAATTTCGTTTGTGCCTCAATTGAATTAACTATCACATATATTAAATATATTTAAAAACGAAATAGAAAAATTCCAATTTTAATTAATTCCAAATTTTTTTTAAATATTTACTTATATCCGGGATTTTTTATAATTTTATTTTCCAACCAAGCGAACCTTCACTGTCGTTTGCTTGGACCCTCGAGTATCCAAAAAGGGGGCCAAGACCCAGTGTCAATACTCGAGGCAGTCTCAACATTTTCCACAATCTTATGTTGTACTATATTATGGGGTCTTGGCAAAGTCCGCCGATCGCCTTCTGTCCGACCGTTTGAACATTGCACATGCAGCGGGCGCATACAAATAGATAAATTAAATCATTTCGGGGTTTGCCGAGCCTCAACTTTGTTCAAATATTTGCCAACTCGAAGTGAGCAGTAAACGCGACTAATTGTTGCAAAATGTCAGTTCGATTGTACGCTATATTTGTTCTTTAATTCAGCACGACACCTGCTTCAAAGCGCATCTTTGATGTCCTCCAGGATGTCCTGCAGTTTCTGGTGCTCTTTGTGCGAATCCTTCTGGAGTTGTTTGTTACCCTGGTACAGGCTTTCTTGCCCAAAAATCAAAAGGATGTCAGCGGGGAGATAGTCCTGGTAAAAACTTTTTTTAATCAAATTTTGTAAAAAATTTTAAATTAAATGAAATGTAATATTTTTGAAATCCAAAGATAACAGGAACTGGACATGGAATAGGCCGAGAGCTGGCCCTTCATTATGCTTCATTGGGTAGCACTGTGGTTTGTGTGGACATCGATGAGAAAAACAACCTACAAACGGTCCAAAAAGCCAAAAGGCTCAATCTAGGCGAAGTTCACAGCTACAGGTATCAGAAACTGTAATTAAATATAATCAAAATAGTCATGATTTTATTTATTTTTCCAGTTGCGATGTTTCCAAGCGCGATGAAGTTATGGCACTGGCGGATCGGGTTAAGGCGGAGGTTGGACACGTATCGGTGCTGGTTAATAATGTCGGAATAATGCCCACCCACCCGATCCTCCAGCAATCGGCCGAGGAAATTCAGAGGGTCTTCGATGTGAATGTATTTTCGCAGTTTTGGACCATCCAGACCTTTTTGTCCCACATGCAGGAGAAGAATCGCGGCCACATCATCTGCCTTTCTTCTATTGCGGGATTGGTGGGAATCTCTAACCTGGTACCCTATTGCGCCACCAAATTCGCAGTTCGTGGTCTGATGGAGGCACTGCATGCAGAGCTGCGAGAGGGACCTTACAGGGATTTGGTAGGACACCAAATTCACACCTTAATAATAAAGAAATTAATGTAAGCCTTTTTTTAGATTAAGACCACCACCATCTTCCCCTATATGACCAACACTGGTCTCTGCAAGCATCCCAAGGTGAAGTTCCCCTCGATCTTGGGCCTGCTCGATCCCAAGCAGGTGGCCAGAAGGATCGTGGAGGCCCATCGCTCCGACCTTATGGAGGTAACCATTCCCAGCTGCCTGCTGCACATCAACAACTGGACGCGACTCCTGCCGGATCATTGTGGCCTGATGCTCAAGGACTTTATCGACAGCGGCGTGGAGTCGGATTTAATTTAGGTTATATTTGATATAGTAGATCGTAAATGAAGTTACAATATGTTGCAGTACAATAAACTTACTATTGGAGTATGTATTAAAATAAAACAACCATCTTTTTAATATTAATGGGATTACAAATAATCTAAAATTGCTGTATAATTCTTCCATAATTGGTTTTTTGCTTGTTTTTAAAAGTTATGATTTATAAGCAATTTATTTTTATATTTAATTAACCTATCTTCTAGTGGTTAAAAACTCAATTTTCAATTGGTAAATTCAAATTAAAGCGCCTTCGATTTTTGATTGCCGATACCTGTTGCGCTGAAATCGATTATCGCCATAGCTATATTACAAGTTGGCTATATTCTAGCTAAATCGCTAAAACTGTCTGCACTGCCAACTCTACAGAAAATCAGCTGTGTGATGAAAACAAAAGGCGATGGCTTGCGAAGTGAAACACTGCGGAGAAATCCGTGATTTTAGGAAAGTTCAGGAATACTTTGGACTAGGACACGGTGAGAAAGCATTGGCATAGTTCCCTGCAGCGGGTAATCATAGTTTATCCGCTCCGAACAGATGACAACTGGTTAAATGCGGTGAATCATGCCATATCACCCACTGGGGAACTGATTGCCTTGGCACAGGGTGAAAAGTTGGCATTCCTCTCCACCTGCTGGAGCAGCCATGGAAATGCCAACACCTACGTCCTGGGATGGTGCGGCGAACTGGAGGATCACAACCAGATCGTGACCAGCCTCACCTGTCTGCCGATGACCCAAAATCGGAGTACAGATGGAGCAATTGAATGGACCTGCGTGGCAGTTGGCTTGGTTTCGGGCATGATTATTTTTTACTCGGACTCTGGCCTGAAGCTCTTCTCTCAATGGTTAGTTAGATAGTTGAGAGATCAAAACTTATGCCCCCACTAATTAAGTACCTTTTTTAGCTGCCAAGAAGATCCGGTCATTGGAATCAAGCTGCAGTCCGCTCCTCGTCATTCCGAGGCAGATTCCCTGCTGTATATCGTCTATCCCCGCTGCCTGTGCTTCATCCAGGGCCAGGACATCATGTCCACTTTAACCAACTGCCGGCACAATGTGCAAAGAGGTGCCTTGGAGCGAAGTACCTACCCCACTGCGGATGTGGTGCCATTCCAAAAGTATAAGTTCAAACAGGAACGCGAGGCCGTGATCAACGATGCCGTCATATCCAGTACACAGCGACCGCCGACATACGACTACATTGTCCAGCAGAGCATCGGACTGGGTTACTTCGCCAAGGTGCACGCCACGCCGCCGAGGAGCTCACAGGTTCTGGCCGCCGGAGCAGAGCCCTATTTGGGCTTCTTTCAGGCGGAGGAGGGCTACAAAACCATGTCGCTGGGTGAGGTGGCCAAGGATGTGATTGGAATAGCGTACAAGAACCTGCTGGGCGGGCTCTTTCGACGCGCCCCGGAGCCACTGCCATCGCCGGAGGAATCCCCACTGCCGGTGCCCACAAAAGAGGCTCCGATGAGGATTCGGTGTCGCCTGTACGACGGCAAGAGGGATGGTTTAACGCTAGCCGTGGCACCAGGTGGCCGACTGGCTGTTGTCACGGATAACCTCGACCGCGTGATGTTGGTGGACACGCAGCAGGCCATCATCCTGCGCGTTTGGAAGGGCTATCGAGATGCCCAGTGCGCTTTCGTTCCGGTCAAAGAGCGATCTGTGCGAGGGATTAAGACGCACAAGAGAAAGGCCTTATTCCTGGTGATTTACGCCCCTCGAATGGGCTGCCTGGACATCTGGGCCCTGCAAAACGGGCCCAAGGTGGCCGCTTTCAATGTCTCAAAGAGCGGTCAACTGATTTACAACAATCACAGTGCTCTGGGCACAAGCGGAAGTGGTGGCTCCGCCGGCGGTAGTAGTCAGTCACGAAAGACTTTGGCTATCAATCACTGCCTGTTTCTGGATCCCACCGATGGCAGTCTGAAGGAGGTGCACATTCCCTTTCATTATGCTCTCAGCGAGACAAGCTCCCAAACATCGCGGGATATTCACATGCTGAGGAGGTTAAGGAATCAATTGAGAACCCTAAATCATGGCGATGCCAAGGAAAAGGTGCTGGGAGAGATTTACGAGCTGGCTAGTGAATTGCAGACGCTGGAGGTGCGACAACAGTGCCTGGAAATGTTGCTCAAAAGCAAGAAGCTGCAGCCGCAGGTATTTCAGTGCATCATAAATGCCTTCATTGAGAAACCTCTTCCCGAGACGATAATCTCCGAGGAGTTTGTCATTCAAATCGAAAACTATAAGCGCTTGACCGATCTCTACTTGGCTTTAAGTCAAGCCAATCAGCGGGGAGACAACGAACCACCCGTGGAGCATTTAGAGCTCTCTGACGCCGATCTTGTCACCATTAACAAGTTGGTTTTGCTACTGGACGACGGCACCGAGAAGGAGAAACCCTCCTCCACCCGAGAGGTTAGCTTTAAGCTGCAGGAGGAGCACAAGACCGAGGAGTTTGTCGACTACCTAAGCGTTTTCAACATCGAGAGTCCAGAGGGCATCAGTTTGCTGCCCGAGAAAGCCGACAAGTTCGGCGGCGTTAGCATCGATCTCTTCAGTCAGTTCTTTGCCCAAGGTCTGTGCTTTGGTCAGTTCAAGCAGTGGATCAATCAGGCATGTCTGCCCAGCAGAGATTTGCTGAAGCTGATTATTTGGTTTTGGCTTGAAAAGCCTTTTAAGTACAATAACTGGTAGGTAAAACTTTATATTTATTAATCTTCTTTTAGCTTACCCATTATATATATTGTATTCGTACTAGGGAGAAGGAAGCGTTTCCGACCCTATAAAGAATACATATTCTTGATCAGGGTCACTAGCCGAGTCGATATAGCCATGTCCGTCTGTCCATCTGTCTGTATGAACGCTGAGATCCCGGAAACTACAAAAGCTAGAACGTTGGGATTTTCCACACATATTCTTGCGCTTCCTACGCAGCGCAAGTTTATTTCAGCCGAGAGATTTTAAAATGTGTCTTGCGCCCACACCTTTAAAGATTTCCGAGAAGTATAAATGCAATTTTGTTGTGTATATTTATACCTATCGAAATGTAGAAGAAATTTTTCAAATCGGACCATTCATTAAAAAGTTATGCGCAATGAAAAACATTTTATACATGTCCATCTCCCTCACACTCCCTTTAGCCGAGTGACGGGTATTAGGTAGTCGGGACACCAACCCGACTATAGCGTTCTCTCCTGTTTTACATTAATCTTCATTTAATTATTATTAATCCTTATTTCAGTGATGAAGTAGTGGATGACATGTCTAGGATAGCTGCTATGGTGCAGACTATTTGCGATCTGGCTGGTGAACACATTCACGACTATGCCTACAATGCCATCTCACCTTGGTGGCAGGAGGTGCGAGAGCTGCTCTTGGAGAGCAAACAGTTTTCTGGCCTGCTGGTAGCCATTGTCTGCAAAACGGTGGCCAGTAATTTGTGGCGTAACAGGAAAGAGGTAAGCCTTCTAGTTATAAAATCTAATGCACTTAATTATGATTTAATTATGATGTTCTCTAGGGATCTTGTGACGAATCCTCGCAGAACGAGGAGGAGGAGCGCTGGGAACGCATATCACACGATGAGGCCCAGTGGGGATTGCTTACGGGCAAGCTAGAAGATGTGGCTGTGCTGGGCGCAATACTTGGGTGAGTCTATAATCCTGCTATCAATAGGGTTTCAATTAATTACTAACCCATTTACAGTAAGCCGCTCACCTGCCAGAATCCTGTAGGTCCGGAAATGTCCTACGAACCACCAGACTGCAGCCTCAAAAGCATTGTAAGCAGTGGCAAAGGCATCGTCACCGAACTGACGGCCAAGTGGCTAATCAGTGCGCAACTGCATCCCAGTAAAATCCTGGAGATCTCGGCGCCGGAAAAGGAGATAGACGAGGAGAGTAAAGCTAAGACAAAGAATGAACCAAATAAGGAAGATGCAGACTCAGAAGAGGACTTGGAAATGGCCAAGGAAGTGGAGGCACCAAACAAGGATGCCCACGAACCGATTCTCGAGCGATTGGCCTTGCTCCGTGCCCACTTTCCCTTCAGCTTGGAGTCGGGCGTGCTGCTAAGTCTCATGTCCTGGCAATATATGGTTCAGTGGAGCAAGCAGCTTTCGTCACTGGATCATCTGAGAGCAGCTCTGCTCTGTTTGAATCAATTCCGCACCCCTGACTGGGCACTGAAGCATGGAATATGCTGTATGTTGTGGAATGCCACCCTGAAGTTTCCCCTTCAGGCAGCGGCTAAGTTAATACAGAAAGTGGGCCGCCTACCGGTGGACAAGATGTGCCAACAAGATCTGGAAATGTCGGCGGGTAAAGTGCCCGAGTTCCTGGAGCTTAGCCTGGAATTTCTGCAGCACTTCACCACTTCCATGGAGCACGATAAGCGGGAACTGCACTTCGAACAGTCGCTGAGTGAGGGAGCATTGCCCCTGCAGTTCCTGGCCCTCCAGCAGCATCACGCCATGCCGCAGTTGCTCCGCCTGCAAACGGAGCTGTGCAGCGTCCTCCACTTTGTGTCCTTCTTCCAGCTACGCGTTTCCAAGCCACTGACCATCCTCTTCGACGCGATGAGCAACAAGGCTCTGCTGGCGGACATCAACAAGGAGCTACCCTACGTTCTGCCAGCACCAGATCTCGTCCTTCAGCAGCAGCGCACGGATTTCCTATGCCGCCTTGTTTCCGCTACCATGGACCTGATTAGGGAGGACCTGGAGCAGTTGTACATCCTGGATCACGTCTTCTACATGGCCAAGATTTGTGCTCTGGCCGACAGCTGGGAGGTCGACAAACTTCCCATCCTGAGAAAACAGGTGAGATTGGTCTTAAAAGAGGGAAAATAGTGAACATAAATTTGTGATATTATTTTAAAAGGCCTACTGAGATTTCTACAAGTTTTAATCGACAATTTAACTAGTTAATTTAATTTAAATAACAGTTAATTTGCTTTCCAGAATTTTTGACATGTATACTTACTTTGTGGACAAGAGTAAAAAAATTTTTTTTTTGTTTAGTGTAACTCATAGAATTTTACATTGATTAGCCAAAATAATGGCTATAAAACGTATAGGGAGTAAAAAGAACGTTATTTTTGACGTTTAAAACAATATCACAGTAGTCTTTTTAAAATAAAAATCTCAAATAACGATTATTTACGGTCCCTGATTTTTTCCTAGGCTTCTTTTAGAGGGATCTAAGTAAGCTATTTGTAAATGTTGTGTTTAATTTGTGATCCTAGCAATCCATGACATTAATTTTCGGGCACCATAAGGTGATTTGGATTTCTTAGTTCAGTTTGTTCGCTAGTTCGATAGAGAGCACAACAGAGGAAACACATAAGAATAAAAATATTTTTTAAATATTTTTCCCTCCTCCAGGTGGTGGAGCTGTACGCTTTCGGCTACGATGCGGAGGCCCAGATGCTACTACAGGACATCAGTGAAGACGAGGAGCTGGGCCGACTGCTGCTAGAGATAGCCGGCCGAAGGCTCAATCTCTACGCGGAGAGCTCGCAGTCGACGTTTCTGAAGATTGCCTCGGTTGGCCACCAGTTGCTGGCATACTTGGACAACCTGGTAAGTGCTGCCAGCGTTTACCATCCGCAGTACTGATCCACTGATTTATTACTCTGCTCACGCAGAAGGAACCGATGACTGAGCACAGCGTACAGATTGCGGCCACCAAGCCCGCGGACATCGATGTGGCCGCCCTGGACAGGCTGTTGTCCCACGCCTACAAATACCTCTGCCGGCGCGAATCCAAGCAGCTGCCCATCATTGCCCAGATGTACAACGCCGTGCGTATCCTGCAGAACTGAGAGTGAGGATGACAAGGGAACACTTTCGTTATTCAACTTTGACCGCAAGAATCATTGCGAGTGTTGCATTGGAACATCGTTTTATATGGGTTAACAAGAACCCACTCAGATTGCCTAACTGAATCACATTTTTTTAACACCATTATCGAGATCTATGGATACAATATTTGACACCAACCTGAAACTGACTATATTGCATGATTCAATGGTTTTTACTAAGAAAGAACCAAACACACTTATTTGATCGTTTATCAGCAAGATTTGCGTTGATCTGAAGCTGATTCTTTATCGAGAAGTTAGAGGAAGAAAATCATACTAATGCGCACTGGACAAACATCCAAGGAAAATGTACATGTCTTATATTTCATTAAATATTATATTAGTTAAAATATTGTTTTACTAAATTATAGCTTCGACTTAAAGGTTGGAAAGACAACTAAAAGTTATGAGTTTGTTTAGAAGTCTATTGTCTTGCAAACTGATAAAACAGGAAAGGGATATTTATAAATTGAAACTAGACTTATTCAGTTTATCATAATTTCCCAAGGGCCGTTTTCTCATTCGCCTGTTAAATTTAAATAAGGATTAAAGCACTGATTTTCCATATGATTTAAAGGGTTAAACCACTACTATAAATTTAACAAACAGATTAGAAAACGGCCATAAATGTTGTATTTTAGGGTATTAGGAAGCGGTATCATATTATTAAAGCAACTTGACAATTTAAAACTCAAGTTAAAGTTGAACAGGGATCTCCGCGGGCCTTGGAAGTTCGAGTCCTAGATTTGCCCTCCATGCTCTCCGCCTGTACGCGTCCAATAGCCTCTGGCGTGGGCAATCTGTCCGGCATTCCGGTGGCGTGCACCTTGAGATGAGTGTAGACGGCAATGTAGCTTTGGCTGGTGTCCAGTTCGATGGGTTGGGGCTGTCCTGTTCGGCCAGGCAGGGAAAAATGCTTGCCCAGAATAGGCTCCTTCAGGGATCTGCCCAAGAGCTTTTTTAGTCCATTGCGTTCCATCTCCCACTCCTCGTTCTTAAAATTTGAATTCATTTGGAATTTAGAAAAATGTTTCAGATGTTTAATTCTATGGTGCCTGGAATTTTTCCGAACGCAGGATACGAAGTCCCGAGTTGCACCAGGTTAGTGGCACTGATTCCGACTAATCGGAAAACAACTTTCCCTCCTTCATGGCAACAAGTAGCTCAATTTGGCATTCCCTGCCTACCCTTCCCACCCCTTTACCTACCTCTCGGTTATGAGTTATTTATTATTCGTAGCAAAAAGTTGATTCTCTGGTTTGTTCAATTTGGGAACTTGGCTTGGGACACGCAAGGCCAAGAAGCAAGAAAGTTGTTTCGTGGGTGGAGTTTATCATGTTGATAAACATGTAGGATAATGAGGAAGGTCGTTAGAGACAGTTTCATGTGGTTCCTTAATGGTCTGAGTATTGCTTTTATGAGCTTACAGTGAACTCGTGGTAAAAGAGAAAAATCAGTTAATGTCAAGTAGAGCCCTGCGTGAATCATTCAATTTTTGTTTTATCATAGTATTAGTAATTCAATATTAATTCAATTCTATGTGAAATAAATTGAATGTTTTTCTAATTCATTTTGAATTGTCGTTAGAGACAGTTTCATGTGGTTCCTTAATGGTCTGAGTATTGCTTTTATGAGCTTACAGTGAACTCGTGGTAAAAGAGAAAAATCAGTTAATGTCAAGTAGAGCCCTGCGTGAATCATTCAATTTTTGTTTTATCATAGTATTAGTGGTTCCTTAATGGTCTGAGTATTGCTTTTATGAGCTTACAGTGAACTCGTGGTAAAAGAGAAAAATCAGTTAATGTCAAGTAGAGCCCTGCGTGAATCATTCAATTTTTGTTTTATCATAGTATTAGTAATTCAATATTAATTCAATTCTATGTGAAATAAATTGAATGTTTTTCTAATTCATTTTGAATTGAATCATTTTTATGAATTTTTTTTTAAAAAAAGTGGAAAATTTTGAACAAATTAATGTTAACTGTATAGCAAATAAAATTCAGGCAGACTTATTCACAAAATTATGGCCATTTCTTCTTCAAAATAAATTGCCATTCATTCAATTCTCAAAATTCAAATTCATTCAATTCTATTAAACTCAAAATTCTAATTAATTCATTCATATAAAACAAAAAAATTCAAAATATTTCATTGAATCCATTCATGCAGGGCTCTAATGTCAAGGCATTGGTTTTATAAAATGTGTATTGGGCTTAGCTACAGAATGGGTTATTGAGGTTGAACAATCACTTAAAGGTAAACTGGCTTAGGTCTCTACAGGCAGCGGGCAATCAGTTCGTTGATAGCACTGCCACGATCGCCGTATTCGCCACCGCGTTTGTAGGACACGGATACCTTCTTCTGCCAGCCATTGCTGGGACTGGACAGCTGCAAAATAAGGAATAACTCATTAGTATTGTGTAAATGGGACTCCTGAAGGTAAAACCCACCATAAAGGAGCACAGAAACTCATTGACAGCCGCAAAATTGGGACCCACTGTGCAGATTTCGTGGATGATGTCCTCCAGACAGATCACGCCCTTGTCGCCCAGCTGCTGCTCAACCATGGTGTTCGACTGGATGGCCGTCTTCTTGCCGTCGATGCGGGCGAAGCCCTTCTTGAAGACCAGCTCGCGAATGGAGCTCAGCGAGGGCGTGCCGTAGACCACAAAGGGTTCGATCACGCGCAGCAGCAGCTGGTTCTCCTTGGTGTTCTCGAGGAAGACGGCATTGTGGCGCGCGCCCATGCGCAGGGTTCGGAATATTTCCGATGTGGTCTTGTCGAAGATCTTCTTGCCCGCATGGCGCATCACGAAAATCAGCTTGGGATTGCAATCATCGGCGGCCTGGGCGCTTTGTTCGGTGACATTGGTGCGCAGGATGGTCTGCTTGATCCGCTTGGCCGTGCGCTCAGCCTTTAGGTAGCCCATTACGAAGGATTCGGCGCGGCGGAACTTGTGGTGATTCTTGCTGGCGGTCCTCTTCTTGATGCGATCATTTTTCTTCTGCGTAACGACTGCCTCATCCTGGAGAATCCTCCTCTTGCGATGCTTCAGCACCGAGACCGTTTTGCCGGGCAATTTGTTGGGCACTGCATACCTAGGGGGTGACAAAACGAGCTCCTGTATTAACTAATCACATTATACCAGTTTATATCCAACTCACTTGTCTGACATGGCCAGTTTTTGGCTTTTTAAACGCAATCAAAGAAAACACGTGCAATTACCAAAACAATAACTAAAAAGGATAGAGATGGGCATCAAGCGACAGATAGTTTGTTATCGATAACTGGCAGATGCAACAGCTGGCTGCGTTTCGGTGTGAATGTCTACTAAATTTGAATTTCACGCGGGAGTACTCACCTTTTTTTTGAAATAAATATATTTATCTGTTTTATAAACACATGTTAAACCAGTTTGCTATGTAACACCTGCTAACATTTCAATTTGTAAACAAACAATTCGACTCCAATTTCCGGTTTTGAGTAATTAGTTCTCTCTTTTTGGCTTTATTACGCACACTCGCGAATCCAATCGGTCTCTCTCGCTCTCCCTCTCTGTTTATACCCGTTACTCGAAGAGTATATTGACTTAGGGGAAAAGTATGTAACATATGTAACATTTACGACCCTGTAAAGTATATATATTCTTGATCAGAATCACTAGCCTAGTAAATCTAGTCCGTATGAAAATTAGATCTCGAAAACTATAAGAGCTGGAAAATTGGTATTATGCATGCAGATTCTAGGGGTCCAAAGCCCATAAACGCCAAAACCTATCTGCGCTTATAGTTCTTCCTTTCAAGGTCAGCGATTTCCACCCTCTCGTTAATTATTGTTTCAATGTTGTTTATCTGAGTAATGGGTATCCATTAGTCGAGGCACTCGACTCTAGCGTCTTGTTTTGGGGTGGAAATTGTTAATTTTAGGATGAAATGCCGGTCTCGTTTGTAATGCCAACGCACAGTCGCTGTTCGCAGTCGAAGCCGTTTTGTTGTGTCGCGCTCGAGGTAAATGAAATCGTGTATTACAAGAGAAGTCGGACAAGATAAACCGAAATAATCAGCCAAACTGCATTCCAAACGTTGCAAAAAAAAAGCCAAAGGGGCAATTACAACTCCGCAAGTGCAATTTTCATTGCCACGCGACGCAGTTTTGATGACGAAATCGTGAAAATTGGCACGCGGCAAAGGCGTCACTACGAAAACACACGCAACCTCTATGGGGAAACATCATAGCAACCCCAAAACGGCGCTACTTTAAAGCTTAATTTGTGTATCGAAGATAGTGCTGTCGGGAAAACATAATTAAAGTTTATGTCTGACAACGAGAGATTAGTTTGGTGGTGCCAACGAAGCAAAGATCGAAAAAGGGTCTTCAATAGCAATTAGCAACTACTAGTGGAACCAAGAAAAAAGAAATAGTGCCATTTGTTTACAATTTGCGCAACACGTGCTGAAGCCCCTCATTTAGCGATAGGAAAACTTAGACCATTTAAAATTCAAATATTCCTCTTACTTCTCAGTGGCAATGTCAGGTATTCAGAACTAGAAGAAAACCAGATTCCAGCACTGAACCATGACGGACAGATATGCCAACGGGGTCACCACCAGTCTGGTGGAGCCCACAAACGGACGCACTTCCTCCGCGAATGGAAATGCCAGCGAGGGGGAGGAGAAAATTGTCCTGAAACGGAAACTAACCCTCATCAACGGAGTGGCCATAATTGTCGGAACCATCATTGGATCGGGCATCTTTATCGCACCGACTGGAGTCTTTCTATACACCGAGTGAGTGAGATGATGATATGCATATTCATATGCCCACTTATATAGTATCATCCTTAATTCAATTTATTCACAAAAAGGTCAATTTAAGCGTTAATTAATGGTGAGATTGTCGCAAACATTCCTTTAGCACCAATTAAGATAAATTTATTAGTTGTCGATTTTCCCTCGAAGATTCGCCCTCGAAATTCTGGGCAAATATTGCGTCAGCTTTAAAGTGTCTTAAACGAGCTGTCTCCAGTTACAAGAATAACGTCAATAAGGCGAGCCAAACATTTAAATTATTGATAAGAACCACAGGGAAGATGTGCGTCATAAGTATAAGGGAGTGGATAAAAAGTTCCAATAAATAAATTACTAATTTTAAGCTGTATTAAGCCATGAGTGATTTTAATGTTTTTTAGAACTTAAATTACCAAATATTATTATTAATGAATTTCAACTATTTATAATTATTGTGATATTCCTTTCCCAAATTTGTTTATTTATTTTCACCCATTTTGTTTATTTACTTATCGGTGTGATATCTCTATTTGTTTTTCCAGATCCGTGGGAAGTTCTCTTTTGATTTGGTCAATCTGTGGCATTTTATCGACGATCGGAGCCCTTTGCTACGCCGAACTGGGAACTAGTATCACCAGATCTGGCGGGGATTACGCCTATCTCCTGGTGTCCTTTGGACCGCTCGTTGGGTTCCTTCGGCTCTGGATAGCACTGCTCATCATTCGGCCAACCACGCAGGTCAGTTCCGAAAGGCTTGTCAATTGAATTACGGGTTGTTTATTTGTCTTGATTGATGGATGGGCTGAGCTTTGAATTGATTGTTGATGCAAATAAATATAAATTTATTAAGTGGCGACTACCTTCGACCGGAATTGAATTCAATTACGGAAAAAACAACTTTCTCGAATGAAAACAAAAGAATAAGAGATTTAATATAGTTAAAACAAGAGAGACTATTTAATACCCGTCACTTAGCTAAAGGGAAGATGAATATATAAAATTTTGATTGCACATAACTTTTGAATGAATGGTCCGGTTTGAAAATTTTCTTCTACATTTCGATAGGTATAAATATACACAACAAAATTGTATTTATACTTCTCGGAAATCTTTAAAGGTGTGGGCGCCAGGCACATTTTAAACTCCTGTTGGGCGTTAGAGGGGCGTGGCGCTCGGCTGAAATAAACTTGCGCTGCGTAGGAAGCCCAAGGATATGTGTGGGAAATCTCAACCTTCTAGCTTTTGTAGTTTCCGAGATCTCTCTACGAGTAACGGGTATAAATATTAAAATTCCATATACTTTTGTTTACAGACCATAGTGGCATTAACTTTTGCCCATTATGCGGTCAAACCATTTTTCCCGGACTGCGAACCGCCGGAGAATGCGGTGAAGCTACTGGCCGCCATTTGTCTAAGTGAGTAGGCCAACCCATTGCCCTGAATTCCAGTTACTAACTTTAATTACTGACACTTTCACAGCTCTGCTCACCGCCATTAATTGCCTGTCCGTGAAGGTGTCGATGAAGGTGCAGGATGTGTTCACGGTGGGCAAGCTGCTGGCCCTCATCATGATTATCCTGGCCGGACTGTACTACATGGCCACCGGCAAGTTGGAGAACTTCAGCAATCCTTGGGAGGGCACATACAGCGCCCGCAACATTGGCTACGCCTTCTACTCGGGTCTGTTTGCCTTTGGCGGATGGAATTATTTGAACTTTGTCACCGAGGAGCTTCAGGATCCGTACAAGTAAGTGAAGTGGGGTCCGGGTCCTGGTCCTTCAAGCCATCATGACAAATGGCTGCGAAAGTGGAGTGGGTCTGGATTATTTTTGCCCTATTCATTCCGTTTGCGTCATGCGCAGGCAGCAACAAGTTGAAACTTGTTGAGCGTCCTTGATGTCATGGGTCTTAGAAAGTGGCTGAGTGGGCGAGATGCTGCCTGCCGTCTCCCTAACGAATTCAATTTGCTCACCAAGCGCGGCAATCAATTTAAGTGCTTCAACCCCTCTATTCCAAGTGGAATTCTCTCAAAACAGCACGTTCCTTTTCACACAAGGAAAAATGTAAATCAAGATTTTAGTAGAAATAGAAATTACTATCTCTACATTTCTTGTTTGAAGATGGATTACTGAGATTTTATTACGCTACGCATTTTGAATAAATAACTGACTTTGCCAAGAAGAAGTTTATATACCCTTAAAGTTAAAACGATATCATGCTATTAAAATGTGTAAATGTTATTAAATGTGTGCAATTTCAGAAACCTTATAAGTAGTTCCTAAGTTTGTTTGTCTTATTTTGGTTTCATAAAATATTCATATTAAAAACAATTAGTTTTCCTATAATTTTAATTTTCCGATATTTCCAATGGCAACATTATAATAAAGTTTTCTGATTACTTTACTATTTAATTTATAATATTGAAATCCTAAAATAAATCTAATCCTAAAAGATCACGACGAATCCAACATTTAGTTTCCAATTCCAGTTTAATTCTATTTTTATAAAAAGAAATTTAAAAGTCATATAATATAACCCTTCAAATAAAGATCATAAATATTGATTTTCTAAACATTTGATATTTTTTCTTTGTGCAGAAACCTTCCGCGTGCCATTTGGATAGCCATGCCCCTGGTCACGGGCATCTATGTTCTGGTTAATTTGGCCTATTTCGCAGTGGTCAACAAACCGGAGATGCTCAGTTCGTTGGCCGTAGCGGTGACCTTTGGAAACCGTGTGTTCGGACCTCTGGCTTTCATGGTTCCCATTTTCGTGGCCCTGAGCACCTTTGGAGGTGTAAACGGAGTGCTCTTCACCTCGGCGCGACTTTTTGCAACTGGAGCTCAGGAGGGGCATTTGCCAAAGTTTTTCCAGCTGTTCCACGTCAAGCAACAGACTCCTATTCCCTCCCTGATTTTCACAGTAAGTTGGCAACGGCACTTTGCATTTTCCTTAGAATTGATATTATATGATATTTGCATATTTACCTTTAGTGTCTGATGTCGCTGTTAATGCTGCTCACGGATAATGTTTACCAGTTGATCAACTATTTCAGTTCGGTTCTCTGGCTATCAGTGGTGGCCAGCATAGCTGGAATGTTGTGGCTCCGGCATAAGAGGTTGGTATCATATGATTTACCGTATACACTCAAAATAAAATTAACCCTAAAGTCAAGGAAATCGCCCTACTTTTGTCTTCAAGACAAGCTCGCCCTAAATTTTAGGGTCACATTTTTCTATATTTTTGATTTTTTTTGACGTCATATTTCTAAATTTTAGGGTAATTTTACTAAATTTAAGGGCAAAAATTTCTAAAAAGTAGGAAATTTTCCTAAAAAATAGAAATTAAAAACAAAACAAAAAAACATGTTCAATCATGATTTTTTTTTGTATATACGTTTATATTATGTACTCCTCCCTATATACATATGCAGGCGTTGTGTGGTCTTGTATATTGTGAATGTTAAAGGTTATGTATTTATTATTATGTATTTGCGCTTGGATTTCTTATCTAACCAAAGCCAAATGTGGTTGTAAATGTGGACTACGGGACTGCGGAAGATTGGGAATGTAGAAATTATGATTAGTTAATATTTTATGTTCATGAAAAAAACTTACAATTTTTTACTTGTCCGTCGTGAGAATCGAACCCGGGTCTCCCGCGCGAGGAGCGAATGGCCTACATACTGGGCCATTGTAGCACTTAAACTTGCTGTGGCAAACCGAGCAATGTATGTAAAGGGTGAAGCGGACAACACATTTGAATACTAATTGCATAATTTTGACCATTCGCGTTTTACTTATTTACATACGATATACATATGTATATATTTATGCTAACGCAATTTATATTATGTGTAGTATATAGTAAATAACTGAATATAAACCTAATTATTTTTAGTTTACTGCTTGCCATCAATAAAAAAAGGAATAAAAAAAGTAAAAAAACAAATAAAAATAAAATAAAATAAATTTAAAAAAATAAAATAACATTAAAAAAAAAAGTTAAAAAATTTTGCTCTGGGACTCGAACCCGCGTCGATTCGATTGCTAACCAAGTGCTTTAACGGTCTGCGCCACGAGTACAGCTGGCCGGCAGCTGACAAGTTCTGGCATTGAACATTTTGGTGTGCCAGAGCATGTGAAAACAACTATTTCTATTTTTTAGAAAAACTTTCTACTTTTTAGGAAATGTTTCTATTATTTAGGGTTAGCTTAATTTTAGGGTTAGGGCACTCATTTTTAGAAAAGGTGTTGCCAATATATTTTATTATTTTCGTTTGCCTTTCTATTTTTCAGAAAATAATTTCTAATTTTAAGGGCATTTTTTCTAGATTTTAGGGTGATTTTAGTTCATGGTAACCATTTTCTACATTTAAGAAAAACTTCGTGGATTTAAGGAAAACTTTCTTGACTTAAGAAAAATTTCCTTAGATTTAGAAATAACTTTCTTGTATTTAGAAAAAAGAAATTTTAATGGCGATTTTCTAAAATTTAGGGTTAAATTTATTTTGAGTGTAATAACAATATAGGATCTAAAACCTAATTTTAGCCTAACTATGTATTTCTAAAAAATTCGACATATGAAATAGACAATTTTAGTACATAAGAATATTTAAAACTAGTTTAAAATATTTGAAAAATAATTAAATTTCAATTAAGTTTATTTATTCAAATTAAATAGTAAATTTCAGAAAAACATTTGGGAAGGTGTTAAATAAATGATGAAGTTTCAAATACTTTTACCTTCAAAATATATCTGTCAATAATATTAAAAAGATTTTGATATTTCATAATAATACACTTAAAAACTTATTTTCTAAATTTTAGAAATCTCGCCATTGAATCGGCCTTACTTTGAAAATAGAAAAAAATTCTTGTTATTAGAAAATTTGCCTTCGAATATAGAAAACCTTTCTAGATGAAGAAAATTCAAGAAAGAATTTTCTAGGTTTTAAGGAAATTGGTTTACCTGCCTAATTAACTAATCGTTTCTTATTTTTCTTTCAGGCCCGACTTACCAAGACCTATTAAGGTCCATCTCGCTCTGCCCATTATCTTCATGGTGGGTTGCGCGACGTTGGTGTTGCTCCCGAATTTCGAGGAGCCAGCTAATCTCCTGATTGGTATCGCCATCACCCTGGCCGGCATTCCATTCTACTACGCCTTCATTGCCTGGAAGAATAAGCCCAAGTGCTACGGACGATTGTCCAACTCCGTGGTGGAGATTTGCCGGGCCATTTTCAATACCACCATAATCGAATCGAATGAGGCGATAAACTAGATTTATTTACACCTCCACCGTAAAACTTGGTGCTTTTAGTTCAAAAACACTCGTAATTGATATTCAAAAAAACCTAAAAACCTGTTAAATTTTTAAACAGTTTTAAGCATACCCTGCCCCATTTGTATGATATTTTCGATAGGCAATTGGCATTCCTCAAAACGAAATCGGCATCTATTAGACTTTAGTTTTTAACGTATGTATATGTATGTATTTATTTGAGCATGCTCCTCAGTTAACAGGTTTTACACAACCCAAGGCCTTTTTGGCCAACTTCCCACTAAAGTTTACTTTAGCGTTTATGGCTAGGTGCTACAATCCTAATTCCTTTTTTAAAAACACAATCAGGAAGTTATTGAATGCGCTTTGATGGGAACAAACTATATAAAATGTGACATGTTTAGGGAAGCTACACAGCAGTACAATAAGCAACATTTGTATGTTTAATTTAACCGCTTAGCAAATAAATGTATTATTGCAAACTCAATATCTTTTATAGAAATGGGTTATTCTATCTACATATAAATTCTGCGGGTATTATATTCTATAGCCGTTTCCACAATTGTGGTGCCCCGTATGAAATCCACCGACACAATATTGGCATTAGTACCCAATTCATTGCGATATAACTGGGAGACCCGCCAATTCACGTTATCGGCCATCTTGCGCAGGCCGCCTGGCTTGTCCAGGATGACGTCCCAGGTCTCCGGGGTCATCTCCGCCATATCGGACACCGGACGACTGGAGAATCGTCTACGGGAGTAATAAGCGATAAATCTTATCCTTATCTAATCATAATTTGCTGGATGCACTCACGATACGTCGAAGTCATTGACGGTGCGCAGATAGGTCTCAAGTTCTGCCCACGTTTGCTTGTTGCCCCAGCGCTGCTCCACGGATCCAAACAGGATCTCTGGGAACTCTTCCACCATGGCCTCATGGTCGTAAGCCAAGACCACGTTCTGCTTCCGGGCCCAAATGTCTCGCAAGGATGCGCGCCAGGTCAGCGTGGGATGGGCAATGAGGTCCTGGAACTGATCGCGCAAATAGCTGATCAGCAGGCGGTGAACACCAAGTCCCTTGCCGAAGCCTAAGTGAAACAAGAAATTATTATGACATGATATTCTCAGGAACCGTAACAGTTAAAAGTTTTACTTTAAAGTCATCGATTAATCGTTATTCAACACCTTTTATTTATACGTCATGAAGTAACTGTTATTTCAGACTTTTAAAATAAATGTCAGAGAATATCAGTTTATTTTTTATTTATTTATAAGTCATGGAGTAATGCTTTTTTTCAGACTTTTAAAATAAATGTCAGAGAACATCCGTTATTTCCTTCGTAACTTTTATTCATGACTTTTAGAATAAAAGTGTAAAAATCAGGGACCGTAAATAACAGTTATTTGAGACTTTTATTTTAAAAGGCCTACTGAGATTTGTACAAGTTTTAATCAAGAATTTAACTGGTTTTTATGGACTGTATAGACATGAGCAAATAATAGTTAATTTGCTTTCCAGATTTGATGACATGCATAACCTTTGTGGACAAGAGTAAAAATAGTGTTATTTTTGACGTTTAAAACAAAATATCACAGTAGTCTTCTTAAAATAAAAACCTCAAATGACTGTTATTTACGGTCCCTGGTAAAAATAACTGTTATTTTTTGACTGAAAAAATACAAGTCCTCCGTAACTCTTATGAGAAGACTTTTACTAAAAAAATCATTAAATAGATAGTATTTGGTGATCGAAAATATACAAGTCCAAGACTCTTTTGTTGGAATTTTAAAGCTTGCAAATTGTACTTATACACAGTATTTCTTCAACATAATGAGATCGCGAATTCTTCAGGAACCACTAATGACCATGGTCACAATTATGTTAGTGCTAACCAATAAAGACATTAATGACTTCAACATAATGAGATCCTTAATCCTGAACGAAATAAGTCTATGATCTTTTTATCAAAACTAGATTTTATATTTTAAAGTATATCTACACCATAAACTTACCCACTGGGAATTCCTTGAGTCCGAAGATGACAATTTCGTTGGTCTCGTAGATAAAGTCCTTGACCTGGTTGATGACCTCTTGCAGCGGACGTTGCTTGGTAATCCCATGGTAGATGAAGAACGGTTCCGGTGAGTGCCGGTAGTAGCCCACCCGAATGTCCAAATAGCGCACTCCATGCATCAACTGCCCCCTGATATCCTCATCCTGGGTCAGCGCGTATTTCGTAACCAGACTTTCCTTGAGCAACGGATCAAAGTTCGGGCGATATGATCCCGAGTCGTGGGATCCGGGAATAAAGAGATCTCGCAGGCGCATCTCTCCTATTTTCGACTTCAGCTCGTTCATCCAGCGAGGAAACACCCTGAGACATGTTTTGGCCAAGATATTGCCCTGGCCATCGATGTAGCTGGCCCAGAAGCCATAGCAAGCGGTTTGAATGGTCACATTCCTGGACAAGGCATAATCGTAGGGTATGCCAGTGGTGAACCACTGGGAGGAGAGTCCCTGACTTGGTTTAATGGAGGCCACCACATCGGTGGCTCCTCCATTGGCCACCCAGTACTTCTCCTGCTTTTCCTTAGATTCCTTAGATGCCGACGAATCCGGTCTGATGGTGAATCCACTGATGGGCACGAAGCTGGGGGCTCCTTCATCGGAACCGCTACCCTCCTCACTGCGGAAGGCCGCCAGAGGAGTGCGCTTGGGCAGGAGCTTCGACTGGAAGTTGAGCGGAGCCTCTCTCGTCACCAGGACGTGGTCGCCCTCATTCGCAGGGGCATTACTCCAAGAGACCTCCAGGAATCTCTTGCGGGCACTGATGGTTAGCCAGACCTTGAGCTTGCTGGGATCCTCATAGTTGGGCTCCGTCTGAGCCTCCGTCCAGGAGGCGAGCAGAGCCATCACCGCAAGCTGTAGAATTTTTTTTCCCACCATATCTCTCTGATTGAATTACCGCTGATTCGAGCTGATTGCAACTGACGTTAATCGGAGGAGGTTCGGAATCAGAGCAGTAATATAAACACGACACCCCGAGCGATCTGAACAGATCAACCGTTCGCGTCGAGAGCTCCGCACTTAATGAACTGAGACCCAGACCCCAAATACCGCCGTGGTGCAGGTAGATCTTTATCCGTAATGCTTTTTATGGGGTGCCTGCTATAAACAAAATTGGAACCCGACCCGGGAGCTTAGCAAGAAATGTCTGTGTAAATTGACTTAGATGTTTAGACTTCCTAGACACCTTTTCCGTTGCGTGCGGCTCATTAAAATTTCTATTTACCCTGGGATTTCCAGTAGTTAAGCCCTTATGCTAACCGAAGGATTATAATGTATTTGCATACAACACAACTTCACTAAATTTTCAATGACTGAGTAAATAGAACATTTGACCGAGATCCGGATAAGATTCTGAACAATAGGGGCAGGCGAATTCTCAGCAACGCGCCAATTATAAAAACTTATTTATTCGCACTCGACTTTAATTGGCAGTGTAGTGTTCTCGTTGGGTGTTGGTTTTTCAGAACACAATTATAATCGGAGGTTAAATACGCGTATTTCCTATAGGAAGCTAAACAATGGCAGCGTTATGATTTGATTTGATTCAACCTAACTTTGCACCGTCTAATAAATTAATGTAAAAAGCAAGCGATCTGCCCGATTGTGACATTCCGAACCCAACGTCGCCTCTCAACTGAAGCTCAAATGCGAGAACCGAGTCGAGAAGAGCATGTGCAATGGGTTCTTTTTATAAACGTTCCATGTAAACGCTTGATATTTGAGTGTCAAGTGTTGAGCAAACAATTCGAGGCCCATTAATGGTAATACATATTTTCTAAGTGTTTTTACTTGTTTTTAAGCTTTTAAAAAATTGTTTTTTTGGCTTATTTTTTGAATTAAATTTTTAAAAAGTGCATTTTAAAAAGATTTTTAACAAATTTATCTTGATTAGGCCGATTTCATATTTAATCTTACAACCTTAAGTTTATTGAGTAACGTAACGACATTTTCAGTGTAGTGTAAAGTACACATTTTCAAAATACAGAGTTAAAAACAATTTCTTTTTGGTAGGCTTTAAAAATATAGTTCCTATAATCTGAAAAATAACTTCATTTTCTCTTTGAATGTTTAAGGGCCGTTTTCTCAACCGTTTGTTAAATTTAAAGTAGGGTTAAAACAGTGCAATCGTATGGAAAAACCTTGTTTTAACCCTACTTCAAATTTAACAAACGGACGAGAAAACGGACCTAAAAGAAAAAGAAAGAAAAGGGAGCTATTTTTGTAAGAATAAAGACGCTCTGATTTTAGGAACTATATTTTTAAAGCCTACCATTTTCTTTGTTTTACATCGTCCTTTGACGGATTCTTTAACACAAAGAATTGAATTTTAATTTAAAGAGATAGCGGTAATAGCAGTAAACATTTCAATTCAAAAGCTAACGGTCAAAAATACTATTTAGTATTTTGCTCTTGGTATTTTTAGGAACCCACAATTGGTCATACTTTGTAACAGCTGTTTCGGCGTCCTATGTAAAAACATTTAATTATTTTGTTTTGATCGCGGATTATTACCGTATCCCAGCACGCGAAATGCTGCATCCCCAGGCGATGGAATCCATACCCACTCTGCACCAGCCGCTGCACTCGAAGGTGTCAAACTATCTAAACAACCAGCGGAGAACGGGACAATTCTGTGACCTGCTCCTGGAACTGGATTCGGATGACTCCCTCAGCCTGAGTGTCCATTTCTGCGTGCTGGCTGCCCAGAGCCAGTTGATAAGCACCAACCAGAAGCAGCAGCAGTTCTCCATCCACAATCCGCTGAAGATCACCATCCGGAATTTCAGCTGCACCCAGTGCCTGCACACAATTGTGGACTTCTTCTACGAGGACATAATGTCCGTTTCCAAGGAGCACGAGCCACACTTTCGGGAATTGGCACAGATCCTGGCCGTAACCGAACTCCTCAATCTCTTCCAGCTGCAGCCGTTGGGCGAGGTGAAGGAAATTTCGGAGATTACGACGCCTGGAGGCGTGGAACTGAATCCAGAGCCCGCGAGGAAGGCGGAGGATGTGTTTGAAAACCGACAGAGTTACTTTAAGGTAGGAAATCCCTTTATGAAATAACTATATATATAATTTATCACCTTTTCTTAATAGTTAAAGAACCCGAGGGCCGTAAAGTCCAGCAGCAAGGTAAACTACTGCATTGGCTGCGACTACAAGTGCTATCAGGTGCAGAAGATGATCGAGCACATGGGCAGCTGCGAGCCCTCTCATCTGACCTGCTCCCTTTGCGAGGTGGGCTTCCTGGACTGGCGGGAGTACGACACGCATCTTCGCCGGCACTCCGGTGATCTGCGCAAACCCTTCTTCTGCCTGCAGTGCGGCATCCGCTTCACCACTCGAGCTGCCCTGCTTGTCCATCAGCCCAAGCACTCCACCGAAACACCTCACATCTGTCCGCATTGCGGCAAGGGCTTCAAGTGGAAACAGGGCCTGAGCAATCATATCCTGGTCCATAATCCCGAGAAGCAAATGCTTTGCGACGTCTGCGGCTACAGCACCACTCACATGAAGGCCCTCAAGTCGCACAAACTACTCCACACCGGCGAGTTCTTCGCCTGCACTGTTTCGGGCTGCAAGCATCGAGCCAATCGCAAGGAAAACCTCAAGCTGCACATCGAAACCCACAAGCAGGGAAGGGATTTCATCTGTGAGATCTGCGGATGCAAGTTCAGTCAGAGCAAGAACCTCAAGCGACACGCGTTAAAACATACAGAGAATGGTCCCAATCGGTACAAGTGCCAATTGTGCGGATTTAGTAGTCATCGATCGGACAAAATGAAGGAGCACGTGCAGCGGGTTCACACGGAGAAGGCGGTGCAATTGGAGCTCTCGGAGACGGTGGACAGTTCCTTTCCCGATGACTTTGATTTACCCGTAATCGAATCCTTTGCTACGCCCAAAAAAAAACCCAAGGAAGTCAAGAGCAAAGAAAAAAGGGATACAAATCCTGACAAACGACTGAAAACTTTACTGCCGAAAGAGACTTTTGAATAGAACCAATCTAAAAACCTGATAGGTAGAGATTTCTGGAATAGATTGAATAGAAACACAAGAAGAACCAATCTAAAAACCTGATAGGTAGAGATTTATGGAAACCGAAAAATTTCGATCATAAATGTTGGCTAACAAACAAGTTAACACTTTCAAGTGTTACATTTTACGATGCCAGAAGAAGAAATCTAAAAAACTTGGTAAACAAGATTAAAAAAAATTAATGCTGAATGGAAAGATCTCCAAGTGATTACTGATCAAACAACCAAAACATACCGATAATGATCAGTTTCTCCTTGAAGACATAAGAAGAATCATCGAGAACTTTCATAAATGATTTGCTACCAATGAACTGTTATCAAAGTTGTGATATATTGTGGAAGGTTCTTGAAACAACATTGTTGCGCCCATTCTGGATCTATCTTATCTTAGAATGTGATTAAAATCTATTGCGTCGTTTCCAGAGTAAATTCAGAACGAATACCTCCAAAGTGACTAACTAAACGATAGTGTTAGCACCTTATCACCGCCAGAACGCTACGTAACATCTGTTGTTTATATAAAAACCATTAAACCAAAACAAACTAAAAGCTTTGCGCTTTTTAGAAATAAACAAATGCGATACGGATGGTATGGTGGGAGGGAACTGGGTCATCCGATCAGGTTCTAATGCACCCAAATAAAGGTGTATTAATGGTAATTGATAAATCAATTTTATGTGGGTTTGAATTATTTTAAAAAAATTTATATTTAATAACAAAAAATGTCATCGAATTGGAAATACTTCTAAGTAGAAAAAAAAAAGAGCTCGTGTTGCACTTTTTCTATATTTATAATGTGGAGAAATAAATGCTAGGTCGCACATACATATGTATGCATGTATGTATGTTGTGGGCCAAGGTGGGCGGGTGTTATATAAGACTTTTAAAACGAGTGTATAATGAAAATTTCTTTTAATAATTAAAATAAATGGACAAGGTAAAATAATATGTTTGGCGATGTGTTTTTTTTTGTTTACCGCGCACTTTGTAAACAACAAAAAATTAAATTGCGCAGCAAAAATGGTTTAAAAGCGGGCGCTCTCTTGTGTTGGGAGAGGAAAGGGGTTGTCAGGGTGCGAGAAAATATGTTTTAATTATTTACGGGGCCTGAATTCAAGGGGTGATAAATGAAATGGGTACATCATTAATAAAGACAATAGGTAAAATAAATACTTGTATTAAGTTTTAACTGTAAGGCCGTTAAAAAACATTTATGTAAAGTTAATAACAATATCTGGCAACTCTGGCGGGGAGAGAGCTTTCAGAGGGGGCCAAAAAGCTCTGCGGCCTATAAAAGGCAGCTGCTCGGGCGAAAAAATTCAATTCCGTTCGCAGCGCAGCGAAAAGTGGAAAAAAAACAGCCCATAAAAAAGCCAGCCTGCGAGTTTGCAGAAGAAAAGTACAAAAACCAAGAACGCAGTTAGTTTTGCAACTTAAAAACTTAAATCGCCATTATGTCCGAGGCGCACTTCGACGAGTACGAGCACTACAACTTCGACCATGACAAGCACATTTTCTCCGGCCACAGCGGAAAGCAGCGCTCCAAGAAGGAGGCCACCGAGCACACTAACCACTTCGACCCCTCTGGCCATTCCCGCAAGATTCTCACCAAGCTGATGAACACCAACAACAACAAGAAGGCCGCCGCCTGCAAAAACTGATGCAGGGCATCTGCGGGGGCGAAGCAGCGGCAGCGGGAGTGCAAGAAGTAACGGGGAAAGGAGAGTGCAAGAGAAAAGAAATCTTCGAATTTAAAACGAAAAAAGGAGAAAAAGAAAAAAAACAGTGGAATCACAGCAGTCGAAGCTGGAAAAGCTGGAAGTAAAGGAAAGAAAAGGAGAACCAGAGAGAGAGAACAACAAAAGCCACCTGGAATACAATCCACTTTGCATTCGTATTTGTGCATTGGGTTTTCATGCGGCGCAAAACTTTGTGAACTTTATAATAATTTTATTTCGCTTATAATTTCACAAACACAAAAAAAGGCAGATATTACTCTTAGCTTCTAATATATTCCTAAAACTAATTCAGACTTGTACGTTTTAGTTGCTAAGCCTTAGTGCGTTTCAAATTATGAAGTTTGATTTAGGTATTACTTATAAAATAAAGAGAAAACCAAAACTGAATTTTGAATTGTGTTTTTATTTTAATTTGTCTTTTACTTTTACAGCGCCTTTCCAAGCGAGATTGCTTTCCCAATGCTTTCCAATGACGTCGGTGTGTTGGTGTGCACGTTCGAGCGCATATTTATAGCCTTTTAGTTGAACTCATTTGCACTCAGCTCCTCGATTATCGCCAATGCAATTGCAGCAGAGTGTTTTCTTTGTTTAGAGTAATCAACAAAAAAGCAAAAAAAACCCACATGCAGCTTGACATTTAGTTTTAGAGCGGAAATATGTATGTATTCCCGACCTTCCATTGAAAGTTCACAATTTACAGGTAAATAAACTTGCACTCACACATGAGCAGCATTTCTTCCGGTTTTAATTAGCGCGTGTGGGTGCATTTATGCATATTGATCAGCTTTTTAAAGTTTTTCCATGCATTACAACTTATTTTTACAACAAGTGGAAAATTACAAAGCTATGTTATTTTCCACTCACTCCTACATACAAACGCAAAAACATAAATAGATCCAACAAACTTTTCCAGAAAGGTCCACTCTAATGGAATTCTCCCGCTCTCTCGTTCGCTCTCTTTGCGCCATTTGCCGGCTTTTTAAATTGCGTTGTTGATATTTTTTGTTTATTTGGTAAACAATAAAACAGACTCTCGATCAGGTGGTTTTTCTACTTATCTGCTGCATATACTGAATATTAATCATCAACTGACAAATATTTGGGCAATCGAGTTTCATGATGCGTCTGAATGTTTCAAATTTTTATTTTTATTAGTCATACGTGTTGATTGTAAATTTGTCTAAAATTGGTCATTAATTCATTAAAAATAATTATTGATTATATTCAAAGAAAAATTTGATTTTTTAGTATGTTTGTAAAGACTGAACTAAATTTTATTTTAAATTATTTAGGGCCATTTTCTCGTCCGCCTGTAAATTTAAAGTAGGGTTAAAACTCTGATTTTCCATACGATTTCAAGGCTTTAACACTACTTTAAAGAAAACGGGCCTTAAAAAAGTTTTAAAACCAATTAATGTATCAATTTTTATTTGAACTGTAAAAACAGTGATTTGTATTATTTTATTTTTACATAAAAAAAGAAATACATTTTTCAATGATTTAAATTTGTAAAATAAAAAGGAAATATTTTTTAAGTACATATGCACATATGATATGATCCTAATATGCAACATCGAAATTTGTAGGTTGATATATTCTTTAAATTAAATTACATTTACTTCATTTAAGAATGCTTAGCTTGTAAATAATATTCGTTATATACATTTAAATTAAATTTAATTACATTTATTTCATTTAAGAAAGCTTAGCTCACTTCTTAGCAAAAGTGATTTTTATGGCGTGTTTGGGAGTGATCTTGAATCCCTGCAAGGCATCCTTGGCGGAACTACTTTGCAGTTCGGTGGCAAACTCCACAAAGGCGATATCATGGCGATTCGGGACGAGACGAACCTCCTTGAACCCGGGAAACTGGCTAAAGAGCATGGCCAGCATCATCTCGTTGGTTTCCTCAGGCAGATTTATGACGAATAGAATCTGGTTGGGCGGTTGTTCAGCCTGGGAGTTCGAACCCGAGTTAACTCCGCTGGTCGATTTCTTTTTCTTGTTCTTCTTTTCCAAGGGACCTGATTGCGATGGCTTTGGTGGCCTGACCTTCTTCGGTCGCTCCTTGAAAGTTCCCTTCAGCTTTGCCACGATATCCGAATCCGATTTCGAATAGGCTATTCTCATGGGCTTGTCGTAGAATGGAAATCCCTGCATTGCGCGCAGGGCACTCGTAGCGCTCCCGATTTCATTGAATATCACAAAGGCCTGGCCCCGCATTTTCAGGGTTTGCTGGGCCACAATGTCCAGGATGAGGCCGAATTGCGAGAAAATCGCATACAGCGACTTCTTCAGCTCCTCCTTCTTGATCTTCTCATTAAGGTTGTTGATATAGATCGTCTGGTTGGGTTTCACCTCCATTCTGTCGGCCCTTTTTCAATTAATTGGCAAAAATCAAGACAGATTTTTGGCAACTAAAATGCTTTTTCATGCGGCAGTGTTAGAAAGCGTGAGACAAATTTCTATCATTATTCAGTGCCAATACCAAAATGTGATTTAAGTTAAAATAAAGGTTTTAATAATCATAAGACCAGATATTTTCAACTCGGATTTCTTAATTATTGTCACATGTCTACCAGACAACAATTTTTTTTTGAGTAAAAATTTTTTGTAACATACTTTTAAAAACCATATTTTTACCCGAAAACCCCCCTTTCTACGCCCCTGGTCCAACTACAAAAAAATTAAAAATAAAGCGAAATCGAGCGATAAACATTATCGCGGAGGTTTCAAACAAAACAACAAACACAAAAAAGTTTACGACCACAGCTTTTTGGAGGAAAACAAGTGAGAGGTCTAAACCATATTGTAAACAATTTTGGGGGTAACGAAACTAGTTTGCCACGGTGCGTTTCGCCGGTAAACAAATGACGCATTAATATAGCAAGTCAGAAAAATCTAGAAATCGATAGAAGTATCTGATAAATTTAATATAATGGCGCTAGTTCTTGGATAGATAGAATGATAGAAAACTAATGTAATATGATTTAACCGGAGATTTGTGTTACTATTTCATTAGCTTTTTCTTTTATTTTAGCTTTTAGTAGTTATAGAAAACAAGATGGAATTTAATCTGTGAGGCATGTGAAAGAAAAATACAATTTTCTAATAATTAGCACGACTTATTGGGGAAAAAACCCGATTTGTGGCAAAAAAATTGCATTCTGTAGTCTACAAGAACTCCTTTGGTGCAAATCCTTATATGTATTTTAATACAGGTTTTTTTTTTTATTCATATAATTCTTAAACCATTTATTAGGACATTAAAACATGTGTTTCAATTGCATTGATTTAATTTCCAATTTACTTCAGCATGTGATCTTTCCTAAAGTCGTCCAGGGGATGTCACCTGTCTGCAAATACCCCATTGTTGTTGCACAAATATATCTTAATTGTAGAAAAAGATTTCTTTCTAAGCCCATAATGAAAGTCGCACGCTTGCCACGATCTATGAGCATGTGTAAGTTTAGATAAATATGTAAGATCTGCCTAGATCGTGATTTACGCCTGGCACACGACAGACGATGGACCTCTATAGATCCAAAGACCCAGAGTAAATGCGACCAATTACGACTTCCTAAATTCCTCAGCCCGAGTTTCGATCTTCTGGGAAGAGAATCATATTGCACACTTTCACCGCGAAAAAAAACGAATTTGTGGCAAACAACAAAATCGGGGATTATGCATAAATGAATGGAGATGGATCGGTATGGAGTATGGAGTACTCGGACTGGCTACATGGGGATCTGGATGGTGCTAATTGCTGAGGCACTCGGTGGCGGATGAACCGTTAAATCGAAACTGGAGCACTGGCCCAATAACGATGATGCACGCGGCCCACGGATTAGCACCTTTCAACGAGCCACCGCGGATAGATGATGTTCTAGATACCCAAAAACCCGCCATTAGCACCATCGCAAGGTAGAGTTTTTCTGGAGCAACATTTCGAAATCTTGGGTTAGTTGTCGATTAAACTCCGAGCCAACTGGCCGTGCCGTGTGTGCTGGAAAAGAAAAAAAGGATTCGGAACCATAGTGATTCTTCGCCAAAAAACGGATAATGTCAGCCTACGAGGAAATGTCGGCGAAGACGCCACGACGTCTGTCACCCATTTGGATTCTGGTGCTCACCCTGCTTCTATTTGCGACCACCTTAACGGTCGTGGCCATGATCGAAGCTGGGCGGGCACAGAGCCACTCGGGTGGCGAAAGCGATCTCCTGATCCTCACACGCATGTGGAATCACTTTAAAACCGGTGCCGAAAATGATACGGAAATCGCCACCGTGGAACGCATTGCCCGGGAAGCGGGAAATGCAACTAATCCCAGTCCTAATCCGGATCAGGGTAGAAACTTTAACTACGAGGAGCAGCAGGCGGTGGTGGTGAATGCGGAAAGCATGGATTCCGTCATGGGACAACGTAAAGATGCCTACGGTCCACCACAGAGCAGGGAGGACTCCTCCTACGACCAGGATCCCTACTACGATGTGGCCGACGACTACGGACCGGGACGATATCCATATCCCGAGTCCAAACAGGAGTCGGCGGAGGAGGAGGAGAGCTTCTATGACAAAGATGAGGGCAGGGCGTCAGCGCGACGTCCCTACGATTCTTTCTACGCCCCCTGGGCACATCCACAGAAGCCAGCTCCAGTGGCCACTCATCCTGCAGCTGAGGGCAATAACAGGAAGCTCCAGGCAGGTCCTCCTAATAGGTATGAAAAATGTAAACAAAAGTGTATAAAAAATAATAAGTTAACAAGGAAGGAAGCTACCTTCGGCCAGCCGAAGCTTATATACCCTTGCAGATAAAGTAATGCTCACTCGGTGCAGTTCTAGGGATTCCAGATTCAGCGTTTATATTTTAATTTTGTTTATACATAAGTAGTCAAGAATCAAAACGCCTACTTCCTACAAAGTTACAATGAATTTTCGTATATTTGTTTGAATATTCCTATGGGAGCCTTAAGGTATAGTGGTCCGATCCGGCTCGCTCCGACATCTGTACTACCTGCAATAGAAAGAAGACTTTCGGGAAAGTTTCATCGCGATAGCTTTAAAACTGAGAGACTAGTTCGCATAGAAACGGACAGACGGACTGATGGACAGAGGGACAGACGGACATGGCTAGATAGACTCGGCTATTGGTGCTGATCAAGAATATATATACTTTATGTGGTCGGAAACGTCTCCTTCACTGCGTTGCAAACATCTGACTGAAATTATAATACCCTCTACAAAGGTATAATAATGAGTTATAAAGCTTGGAATTTTATAAAATATTCGTCTTCTGAGTGGAAAAAAATATTATTTCTGAGAAGAACGTATGTACATTAGGGCGGTCCACATTTGTATGGAAAATTTTAAGGTCCTACTCTCACCCGCTTATACGGTGCGCATTGTGGTATTCAAGGTATATCAAAAGAAAATTTAAAAAAAAAATCGTGTTTTAGGGTCTGCGAATTTCACCCATACGCACTGTTGCCTTCGATCAAAAAGTTTTTCTGATCAAGGTGGCATAGATATCAACAATTCAGTTGATGTTTTGCTCTCCTTTTTTACCAATTATTCCAACGAAATTCATAATTTGACAAGACAAGAAATGGGAGAGCGATTTTTTTCGACCAAATTCGAACTGTTATACATGTCGTATGAGTAATTTTAAAGCAAACTTAAAAGACGTTTCGCAACGTCTAAATTCGGAAAAAAAATTGTTTTGTTTTCACAAACATTTTTTGCATACTTTAATATACCATGTTAAGGGGTGAGAAAAGAATTTCATTTTTTGGACCGCCCTAATGTACATATGTATAGAAAGCAGGGAGAAACAAAAACAGCACCTACTGATATTTCATATCACTCACATAGCAATACAATGCATATTGACCTTATTATACGAAAGTAAACTCAAAGACGCAATTCGTAGATTAACTACAGTTCAAAAGTATTATACATATGTATTTATAATTATATGCATAAAGAGATTTAAAAGTAATAATATTTTTAAGACAATTTCACAATAATGTAAACAACTTGCAAAAGACGGATTATATTGACGATTATAATAATCCCTTTCGTTTGTAGATCCCCCTATCCCGCCTACGATGAGGTCTACGACTATCCGATGGGCTTCCAGCCACGACCTCATCCGGAAACTGAGGTGGCCAAGCAATCTCAGCCCGCCTCCGATAATGCAGTGGCCCAAGTACAGAGTGAATCCACCCTAGTCACCGTGCTGAAGAGTCTGAAGCAGATCTGGGATCTCTACCAGGCTTTAATGGGTGCGTGGAACGCGGTGAGCGAACGTCATCAGCAGAGCACCGAGAAGTTCCGGCAGGAGCAGGCGGCGAAGCAGGCCGAGAAGGAGCGACTGCGTCAGCAGCAGCAGCAGAAGACCAGGATTAACTCCAAGAAACCACCACGAGTGGAGGGAAACAAAAAGAACCAGAACAAGAAGCCCAGCACAACGACAACCAAGTCAACAACCACGTCCACGACGACTTCTGCTCCGGAAAATTCTGAGGAAGATGATGAGGAGGACGAGGAGGAGGAAAAGCAGCCGGAGAAGAAGATGGAGAAAGTTGAGACGGTAACTCCCTCGGCTCCATCCACCAAAGTGGCCGCTGTCAAGGGGGAAAAGGGCAATCTGAGATCTGTTCGAGGACTACGACATAGACGCGATGCCGAGGCGGAGGAGAAAGCAGACACAGATGTGGGCGAGGGTCGCTATATCAAGGGCGATCCCCTCAAGGGATACTACGATTTCGTCATCACGGAGGGCTCCTACAAGTTCTGGGCCGTCTTTCAGGTGAGCGTTTAATCATGATATAATAAATATAGAAGAAGGTTTCTTACACAAAGAAAAAACGGAAAAATATGGAATTGATAATGTTTCATATCAATTTTTCTATAACAAAATGGTATGATTTCATATCAATATGTTACAAAATCATATGTTCGGAAATATCATTTTGATATGAACACAGAATAAACCAAAACTGATATGAAAAAATATCCGATTGATAACAATTTTTGGTCGTTTTTTCCTCTGCGTATATTTTGTCAAGTATAAGTTCGACGAAATTTAATCTAGTATTATAAATTCAAACGTAAATATGTATTAATACATCTTTAAAACCTAATCTAAAACGAAAATATACACTCAGGGAAAAAATTGTTCTGATTGTGTCTGAAAACGTGTCTGTTTGAGTCTCAAAAATAGCTTTATACCGTTTGGTATCATTATAAGAATTTATGGTATTATTTTAAGAACGGATTTTTAAGACCGCTGTTCTTACTTTAGGAACGAAACGTACTTAAATTTATATTTATTTTTAGTAAAAAATAAATTTTCTTTGAATGCTCCTGTAAGCATTCTGCCAAGGAAGGAAATAATAAGGCCATAGCCCAGGGGCCAAGGTGCTGGATTCTGGTATTATTTTGTCTTTGGGGGTACGAGGTTCAATTCCCGCTCACAACACAACTTTTTTTTTTTTTTTTGTAATTAGTAAATTAACAATTTAACTTTTTTAATACATTTTTGTTCTTAAAGTTATAAAGGAAATGATAATTGAAATACATTTGAAAAACGTTTTACTTACTTTGACTTATTCGGTTTTTGAACCGGGGTCCTCTCGCATCAGAGGCAGACGCCTTACCAACTGGGCCATCGAACCGTGTTTCGCGCGCGTGCATAAGTTCAACTTAAATCTAAATTTACTGGTCTTAAATCAATACCCTTTGGTATCAATATAAGAATATGGTCTTAAAAAAATAAAAGAACATAACGGTAGTAATGTAAGAAATTCGGTCTTAGATTTTTTTCGGTCTTTTTTTTCTGGGTGTAGAGGACATAGTACCTCATTAAAAAGTCTGTTAAGAATACATTTAACGGGGTATTATATTTAAACCTCTATTTACGAAATATAGGGAGAATTAATATAAAATTCGATAAAATGGGATATGGATTAAAAATCGTCTAAATCTGATTATACTAATTTGACTTCGATCAATCCTTAATTTACAGGTGGGCACAGCACTGCTGATCATCTACTCAACGTTCGCCGCTATTTACTACTCCAAGGTTAATCCTTTGACCAGTGACTACGACTATACGGATTATCTGGGCGGAGTTCGTTCTCTGTCCGGTGGTGATGCGGATTTTGTGGACGATGGCGATGCACCGACGCCGCCAGTCTCGACAACATCCCGCATCATGGAGTGGCTACCACGAACGGCGCACTCCATCAAGTTCATTTTAGAGGCCATCGACAAGGTGCCACTGGATCATGATAAGGACAAGGAGCCCGGCTGGGGCATGAGATAGGGAACTGAATTCTATATGCGATATTTGTTAAAGAAAATATAATTACGTTGAAGATAAACTTGGAACTGACTTTCATTTTTTTAGAGAATGTTGCGCTAAATCTATTTTTTTCAAGATCACAGAAATGAATCTTGAATCGAAGCCAAAAATAAAAAATAGATTTAATTTTAATTCGAAATATTGATACTTTTAACTTTTTAACTTTCTGCGACCACTTCCAAACATTTCAAGAGATCTGATTTTAAGGTTTCGTTTCATTGTTTTAAATAAGATATGTAGATATGATAGATATTTTGAGTCTGGCCATTAATTAATATAATGTTAAGGCAAAGATAGTTTAGTATTTGGTTAAGCTTATTTTCTAAATATGGCAATTGAAGTATTCCGTTGTAACGGTTAACCGGTTGAATCGGTTATTAGTTCAAATGAAAGCAACATTCACACAGTGAACACCCATTACTCTTCTTCTTCTACAATTACCATTCACAGTGCAACGGTTACATTAAACATCTGTTCATAGCTTTTTGAGGAAAACAACACGTAGCGTTTATAAATATTTTTGTATTTGTCACGAAAATACTCATGTAAAGGAATTGCGACTCTCAACATGAAAATGAAGAACTCCTACGTGATGATAACGAAAATAGCACTGCTGCTTAGTTTTATAATTTTAGCGGGGTCCCACGAAGCCAAAGATTTTGACGATTCAATTTTGTACAAAATTGATTTTGAAGTACCGGAATTGATAGGACAGCCAGTAAGTAAAACAATTAATTTAAATGTGTATATTGTATATATTGATATCCCCATTAGGACTTGGGCAATCAGCTGCGAACTTTCTACACACCGGACAAGGAGAAATACGACTGTTTGATTCCCACTTTAGAGCACCAAAAGGAGGAGGAGAAGTCCGACAAGCCGGAGTTGTGTAAGATAATTGGAATAGGTATAGTTATGGCTTATATATCATTTAATATATCTGCAGCTCCCATTAGCCTGCTTCAGCCCATTTTCTCCGCTTTGACCTGCACGTACCGCATCGAAGCCTACTGGTCCTACGAGATCTGCCATGGCCACCATGTGCGTCAGTATCACGAGGAGCGCGAGGGCAAGAACGTCAAGTTCCAGGAGTACTACCTGGGCAAATGGACCGACGACAAGACGGAGTGGCTAACGAAGGCCTGGGAATCGGACCTCAAGGCGGGCATTAAGCCAAAGTACAAGAGCCTCAAGATCGACAACACACGGTATCCCTACTTCGAGATGGAGTACAGCGATGGCACAATGTGCGACATCATTGACGCTCCGCGCACCACAATGGTGCGCTACGTTTGCTATCCGCATGGCAAGGACGACATTTACTCCTTCAAGGAGACCTCCTCCTGCAATTACGAGGCCATTATCCTCTCTTCGACGCTCTGCGCCATCCGTGGCTTTCATGCCGAGGAGACCAAGGAGCTGTCCATACAATGCTTCAACTCCGAATCCGAGCCTCACAGGCCGTTGAGCATGCTGCGGTCGGAGCTGAACGAATGGGCTGAATCTGAGGCCGATTTGCTGGTCTCCAAGGAAAAGGAGGGCAAGCCGCCAGCAAAACTGTGGCCCAAAACGGATGGCGATATGATCACGTTTAAGTACAGCGGCGATATGGACAAAGTCATACTGGAGCTGATCAGTAATGGAGACCTTGAGGTGGACGGCGACTACCAGCAGCTGCTGTTGTCGCGAGCAGCCTCTGGAACAGGGCCCACGCCCATTACAGATCTGACGCCCATCAAGGACTTTATTTCGGGCAAGCACTGCCTGACTGGGGTAGGAATAGCCCATAGAATAACCCATGCTTCTGGCTAATTTAATTATTCTATTCCAGGGCAACGGCTGGTGGAAGTATGAGTTCTGCTATGGACGACATGTGCGCCAGTTCCATAAGGATAAGAACAGTGAGGTGGAGCTGTTTCTGGGATATTTCTCTGAGGATGATCATCGCATTTGGTCAGTTTCGAATCCGGATAAAGGAGCCCGTCGTGCCGGTTTTACGTCGTCCATTTGGCACCATTATGGCAAGGGCACCCACTGCGATCGCACTGGATTGCCACGCGAAGTCGATGTGAAACTAACCTGCACACCGGTGACCAACAGCGGCACTGCCGTGTCCATGTATCTGTTGGAGCCCAAGACCTGCCAGTACATCCTGGTCGTGGAGTCGCCCACCATTTGTGATCTCATGCACTATGCCGATGCCCATGGCCTGGTGAAGACGGAAAATCTGCACAAGGTTCTGGCTACCGGAACCGAAAAATCGGCCACTACCACGGCTCCCGCTCCTGTTCCGAGCCCAGAGGAGGAGATCCGCTCTTAGATTGTCCTTCTGTTCTAGTGAATTAATTTTAAATACATTGATTGTAATTTTAAATGCTATTGAAGGGGGGGAGGTATTTGGGTGGTTGCACACGTTTCCCTGTGATTGGCAAGCACAGCTGATAAGCAGTGCTTATGAACAGCAGCGGGTAGTGTTTTAGCACTGCAAAAATTAATAATGCTGTACTATTATATATAATTTATACAATATTATTTGTGGTGGTGACGACAACGTCAGTAAAATCATATCATTCCTTTAAAAAGCCCAAATTAAGTTTATAATCTAAATATAAAATAATAAATAAAAATGTATCTAAATAGACACCTCGAAAAACCCCAAATTAAGCTAAAAATCTAAACTTAAATAATAAAATAGAAAAAAGTATATAAATCAACTCCTCAGACGTGCTGAAGGCCTTAGCTGCTGGAGCTCTTAATATCAGGTAGCTTATAGTTTTAACTTTAAGTTTGCTTTATATAAATAAATAAAATAAATATTTGTGGTGGTGCAATAATAATATCAGTTAAGGGGTTGTCCATATTTTACGTAATCACAATTTCGGCGATTTTTGAGGGAACCCCCCCCCCACATGTAATCAATTTTTTATATTAAAAAAAAATTTCACTAGAGTAATCATTTGGTGCACCCCCCTTTCCCTAGGTGATTACGTAATATATGGACAGCCCCTAATATATTTTTCAAATTAAGGGAATGCTTAATATTATTAATCTATGAAGTAATCGGTACTAAAATACAATCCACTGTTATAACTATGTTTGTGGTATAATTCAAATGTCACTATTAATTTGAGCTCCATTGTACGCCCACATGCATGGGTGACCGTGCGAATGGCAAACTGGGAACACTGGGCTTTTCAGGTGGACACGACACGGTCACACCACAAATTTCCACATTTTGTGCTCAGCAGGCTGATGTACCATAGAATCTATGTTTCTCGAGTTCTAACTGAAAATAGGACAAACAACGTTTCATATTTGCCAAATTCACAGCAGTGTTAAGTTTCGAAAAAGTGTAAGTTGCGTTCGCGGGATGCAGTGCGTCAGTGGGTCGGAGGTCGGGGGGGTGTGAAAAATCAATGGGGTTGGGGTTAGGCGGTGCAGAAACGTGCCCCCCGTGCCCGGCATTTAGCGGGCTCAAAAGGCGCCGAGCGATAAGCCAGCGGAGTATTACACAATTTATGACCAAACGCTCTCTCCTTGCAGATCACACACACAACACACAATTGCAAGGAGTCCGGCACGATGGCGATGACTCTGAACATTGGCTCGGTGAAGCTGACCAAGTGGCAGCTGGCGCTCATCCTGGGCACCCCTTTGGCCATTGGACTGGGCACCTACGCCGTTAAGCGTTGGACTGCGGCGCCCAAGGAGGCGGGAGAAGGGGAGAAGAAGCGTCCGAAGGCCAAGATCGAAAAGCAGGCCATCTCCCTGGACGGCACTGCACCCGACAAGGAGCTGGAGAAGAAGAAAAAGGCCGCCGAGCTGGGCGAGAAGCTGTCGCCGCTCAAGGAGGCCAACAACTACAAGACGGAGGGCAACAACTGCTATAGGAACGGAAAGTATGACGAGGCCATCATCTTCTACGACAAGGCCATCGACAAGTGCCCCAAGGAGCACCGCACCGACATGGCCATCTTCTATCAGAACCGCGCCGCCTCCTACGAGATGCTCAAGAAGTGGTCCAAGGTCAAGGAGGACTGCTCCGCCTCGCTGGAGTTCAATCCGCGCTACGCGAAGGCCTACTATCGTCGTGCCCGCGCCCACGAGGCCACCAAGGATATGAACGAGTGCCTGGACGATGTCACCGCCACCTGTATCCTGGAAATGTTCCAGAACAATCAGACCATTATGTTCGCTGACCGTGTGCTTAAGGAGACGGGTCGCGTGGACGCCGAGAAGGGTATGCGCAATCGAGTGCCCGTTGTTCCATCGGCTTGCTTCGTCAACACCTACATGCGCTCCTTTATTGCGGATCCTCTGCAAACTTTGCAACTCCCGGCCGCCTCGGAGTCGGACGCACCGCCAAGGGGCTTCGTGCGCGCCCACCGCGCCTTCCTCGAGGAAAAGTACGAGGACATCATTCCCGCCTGCACCGAAGAGATCGAGTCCTCCGAGGCCGAGGCACAGTACAAAGTGGAGGCTCTGCTCCTGCGGGGCACTTTCCACCTCCTGTGCGGCTCCTACATAGAAAGCCAGCAGGACTTTGATGCCATCTTGGCAAATGGTAAGATATTTATCGTTTCTCAAAGTTATTCGGTAAATCCAAAAAAGTACGAATATGTTTTAAAAGTCCTACATTTTTATTATATTTTTTGTAATTCATATTAAGAGTTTAATTTATACTTATCTAAAGCCTAAAAGATAATTTGTGTTGTAGACCAGAAATAATATTTTTATTTTATTTTATTTAAAGCAAACTTAAAGTTAAAACTATAAGCTAACTAAGATTAAGAGCTCTAGCACTTACATTTTTATTTTTTATAATTTGAATTTAGATTTTGAGCTTAATTTGGCATTTTTCAAGGTATCGAAATAGATACCTACATTTTTATTTATTATTTGAATTTAGATTTTCAACTTAATTTGGGCTTTTTCAAGGAATGAGATGATTTTAATGACGTTGTCGGCAGATCCAAATAAGTCAGAATTTAATTTAATTTTTATAATATTTTTTTTTAATTCATATTTAGTGTCCAATTTTACATATTGGAATTTATATTTATAAATTTATAAAAGATATATCTGTTGCAGACCAGAGAAAATATAAAGTATGAAGTATAATATATATTCTTATGCCTAAAACAGAAAGGATCTTTCTGGGTGTAAATAAGATAATATACTTTTAAATTAAGATGGACTGTGCTATCTATTTTTACTTGCTAAAATTTCTTTTAAAAATTAAAATTATTGAACCATATTTTCCCACAGCCGATGCCGATCCCAATCTTCGAGCATATGCCTACATAAAGCGAGCTGCCCTTTACATCCAGCTTGATCAACGCGAAAAGGGTCTGGCCGACTTCGCGGAAGCGGAGCGCCTGAATCCCGAAAACCCTGACGTGTACCACCAGCGCGCCCAGATCCTTCTGTTGCTGGAGCAGATCGAAGAAGCCTTGGCCGAGTTCGACAAAGCCGTGCGCCTTGCGCCCAACCACGCCATCGCCCTCGTCCAGAAGTGCTATGCCGAGTACCGCCTGTCGCTCCTGGCCGGCGACCAGCGGCGTCTGGAGGGCGTGATGCACACCTTTGAGCAGGCCATTGAACGGTTCCCTAGCTGCGTTGAGTGCTACAGTCTGATGGCCCAGGTTTTGGCCGATCAGCAACAGTTTCCCCAGGCGCAGCAGTACTACGAGAAGGCCATGAAGCTGGCGCCAAAGAACCCAGCGCTCATCGTTCACCAGGCCATCATGGTGCTGCAGTGGCGCGGCGACATCGAGGTGGCTGTCCAGCTGCTCAACAAGGCCATCGAAGTGGATCCCAAGTGCGAGCTGGCCTACGAAACACTGGGAACTGTGGAGGTGCAGCGTGCGCAACTTAAGCGGGCAGTGGAACTTTTTGAAAAGGCATTGCTCTATGCGAAGAGCCAGGCGGAGCTGGTGCATGTATACTCGCTGCGCAACGCGGCAGTGGCCCAAATCAACGTTACCAAGAAGCTGGGCATCGACATGAACTCCGTCTCGGCCATGGCCCAATCCGGATTGATGCCCCAGGGCGTCGTGTAGAGAGGACAAGGAGTGCGAGCGCGGAGCATTTAGCCAGACCACCACCAGCAGACCTACTCTAATTAAGTTAATATCGACCATACCTGTTATTTATATATATACATATAAAGCTTGTTTACGTTTATGCTCCTAGCTATAGCATAGAAATTGTCATGTATTATGGTACATATGTAATCTAGAATCTGTTGCCTAAGGAATCCACTAAGACAAAAACCAGTAGCTTATGTTTAAGCGTAAGATTAAACTAATAACAAGCGAGTGTCCTTATTATGGCTCCGATTCGGGCTCTGGTTGGTTGAAAGCCTGCACATCGCCGGAAATGTAGCTGGCGCCGATTACCCACATGGCGGCCCTCACGCTGCTCACCAGGCGGTAATCCGTCTCTAGTTGCTCCAGAAAGGGCGACAAGAGGGTGGGCAGGGCCGCCATTCCGCCGGAGATGCCCATCAAAGTGCCGGCATAGTTTGGACTCATATCCAGAGGCAGAAGCTTGATGCTCGCATAGTAGGCGCCCATGGCCAGAACACTCCAGATGCGAGCCCCGTTTACCCTGATCTGCAGCATGTACATGGAACCGCATATGAAGACCAGCCAGGACATGAGACGGCGCGTCTGAGTGCGCGTGAGGATCTCCTGTTCGATTAGCACATCGCTCAGGCGGCCTGTGGCTAGCGAAGCTAACCAGTTGCCCATGTGAGGGGCTATCAACTCGATGGCGGTGGAGAGTTCATCCGACAAACTGCTGTTACGGGTTTTTAATTCGTCCAGCACAACCTTCAGCTCCTGGGGCAATTTCTGTTGGAACTCTTGCTGCATGGAGGCGGAAACCAGTGCCCATAGCGGTGTGCTGGTCAGCATGCTCCTCCAAGGGGCTGTGTTGGATGACGCCACTTCTGGAGCTTCCACTTCTCTGCGGAATTCCTCTTCTTCAGCTTCTTCTCCATCTGTCCGTTCCAGAATAACTACTCTTTCTCTGCTAGTTAACAACAGGGAGGTGCTCGTATTGCACCTAATATAATCGCGCTCTTCGCTCTGGATAAATGGACAATGATCCGGAGTACTAAAACAAACAAGGGTCTTTTTTTATAAATAAATTAGGTTGTAGTATAAAAAATTTAAAAATTATTAGTTTTGGTCCACATTTTAAAAAATGTGATATTACTAGCTGCAAAATTATATAGGTTAATAGGTCCCAAAAGTATTAAATTTGCAAAACTTTGATATTACTAGCACTAGCAAATTTTAAATTTAAAATTTTGAAATTGTTAATAGTTTTGGTCCCAAAGGACTTTAAAAAATGTGATATTACTAGCTGCAAAATTATAATGGGTCCCAAGAGTGTCAAACTTGCAAAAATTCGATATCAGAAAATATAAAAGAAAAATTATATAGGCGAATGGATCCCAATAGTCCAAAATTGGGTCCCAAAAGTGTAGTTTTATGAAATTCTATTTGAATTTTTAGTCGAATTTTCTCCGAAATATTAAAACTGCAGTAATTTGGAGAAGAGAAAATGTAGAAAACTTACGAATCCCAAGAACCAGACAAAAGCTCCTCCTCCAACAAGGTAGAAAACCACGGGCCAGTCTTGCTCCTCTACAACCAATCCGCTGACCAACTGGACCATCGTGATTCCAATCTCGCCGCCACTGAGAACGCAGCTGGCCAGCAATCCTCGCTCCTGTTCGGGGACCCACTGAGCCAGGAGGGCACACACGGCCGGAAAGCAAGGACCCTCACAAAGGCCGACCAGGAGACGGACGCCCACCAGGGCATACGGACCACCATGACGCACTGCAGCGGGCGTAAGAAGTGTCAGCATCGCCGAACTGAGTATAGCCACACCGAGGACCCACTTTCCTCCATATCGCTCCGCCAGTCGTCCACCCGGAACGTGGGTTAGTACATAGCCGGCATAAAAGGCCATTACCACAAGGGATTGGGTTTGACTAGACCACAGCTCTGAGCAGCTAATCCTTTCGGGGGAACTCATCTGATCAGGGGAATCAGTGGCAGTCTCCTTGCTTTTCCGCTGCCTCTTGTAGCTTTTCTTCTGTCCCGGATTTGGCTGCTCCTTGCCTGCTTTTAACCTGCTCCTTAAATTATATTCTGTTTGATTCAATCTCATCGCCAGTTCCAAACGCCAGTTGGGCAGTGCCTTTGGGTTAAGCACTTGTGGAACTTTAGTCCTCTGATCCTGCCCAGCACCACCACACTCCAAGACGATTCGGTTCAGCGAAAAATCTAGACACAGTCGCATGGTGTAGGTATTGATGATGGCCAGGAAGGTGAAGCAGCAGAGCACCCAGCGCTGTCTCACCTCAAGATCTGTGGGAACGGATTGGTAATTATCAGGACTTAAGGGATGCCAATGAAATTCACTGGATGGTTCTTACATATAAAGATATCGCTCAGCTTTTGCTGAACAGCGGGCAGCATTTTGGGCTTCTTATTTTTATAGGTAGCAAGCCTACTAGTTTCTGAGGTCTATTGAATATCAAAATATTACTTTACCTTTTTTAAAGGTTCAACCAAATTAAATTTCATTCTTTCGAAACTCCAAGTACTGAAATTTTGTTGGCTGAGGCACCTGCATCCAAAAAAAATCGATATGAAACGTAGATCGAATTTACATTATGTAATATAAATTTTAACTTGATATGCGGCCCGTAAATTCGATATGCTCGAAAAGAGTATTTCATGTTACAACGATATACGTATTGCATAACCAGAAATATACATGCGCATATCGAAATTCTCTTTTTTTGTGAAAACTTGTAAACAGTAACTAGAACCAAACGGAAATAGATTTAATCATTAAGCTCAGTTTCTGAAGTTCTTCTTTGGTTTTTTAAAGTTCCACAAACCAAAAATTAATCAACAAAATCGATATTTTAATTTGCTTTATACACTTTATTTGACTAACGTCATAAAAACAGTAATGTCTTAACAGAATAGTTAAAAACACGTTTCACTTTACACATTGATCAACAATCTAAAATGTACAAATTATTTCATCATTTGATTTACAATACGGCAATACGAGCTCTGTGTACACTAAATCTTAAACGTGAAATCGCTTTCATTTAAATACTAAATAATAATTAAGAGAGTACGTTGCGTGCGCTGCGTAGGGGGATGTTCTTGGATTAGGATTTAGGATTGGGGTACATGGATTATCCTAGCTAAAACAGGAATACACATAGAAGAACACTGCGCACGTTCGGGAGTGTAAGTAAATTCGCTTAAATTAGTTGTTTGGCGCCTCTGCCAGGGATCGGCCAGATCGGGAATACTATAAAACTAGCAATCTGAACAACAGCCACGGCGTATACAGTATGACAATGCCCCATGGGATCGACTCGTTCCCGGATCACGAATCCACGTAGACAGCATTTTAACTAGATTACAATGTATATGTATATGGCACTTTCGTTGGCGATCCGCCCTAAGAGCTCTGCTCCAGACCCCTGGACTTTCCGGCCTCCGGTTTGCGCTCCTGCGCCTCGAAGTCCACGGTACGCGGCTGAATGGGGGCGTTGTTGAACGGCTGCACCTCTCCGGATGCCCAGATGCAGTAGACCACGGCAGTGACGCAGAGCACGCCGAATGCCACCCAGAACACAAGACGCCACTCCAGCAGCGAGGCCTGTGATAAACATAAGAAGAGGGTTAGTTGCCATCTATATATATGGTAAAAATTATAATGCTAACTAGATCGATTTTACATTATTAAAGATCAATTTGTATTTATATTTGTATTTGATTTGCGGTCAGGTAAATATGACCTGGTCGAAAAAAGTATTTCATGTAAAAACCATATGGATTTAGCATGAGCTGACATTTACATGGCCATGTCGATTTGACGGGAACATGCTTTTCTTTGTGTGTAGCAAAAATATATGTAGCGTTTAAATATTCATTCTTTCATTCGTATTTAGAATTTGACTGTAACTGCTTTAGTTTTTATAGATCTTTAAAATTATGTATTATGTAGAAAACCGCAGTAAATACTCAATATACAGAAGTATTATATTTCTTGAGAACTTTTTATGGTTAATGATTCACAATTCATGATTCACTGAATTATGACGAAAATTCTCGGATAAAATAACTCAGTCTTAAAGTCAAGACTGTTAATTTGAAAGTAGGGTTAAAACTCCGATTTCCCATTCGATTTCAAGGTTTTAACCCCACTTTAAATTTAACAAACGGTCGAAAAAAACGGACCTTAAACAATCGAATTTTTGAACTAGGTAAATTTATCCTAATTGAGATGATAATCAACAAATGCTCTTATGTTACTCTTAGCCAGTCTACCGATACTTACATTTGGTGTCATCACGCCCACCAGATAAGGCGTAATCACTCCGGTGATTGCTCCTATTCCGTTGGTGATGGCCATCAGGGTTCCGGCGTAGTTGGGGCTCATGTCCAGGGGACTCAGCTTCATGCCCGCGTAGTAGGCGCCCATCAGGCCCATGCAGATGGTGAAGAGGACCACGACGAGGACGCGATCGCAGCCGGCGTAGGAGGCGCCCACCATGAAGATAGCCGGACCGAAGGCGGCCAGACCGGTCATGATCTTACGGGTGTTCGTGGTGCTCATCCAGCCACTGCGGATCATCCAGTCGGCGACGAAGCCACTGCCCACGGACACGATCCACATCATGATGTAGGGCAGCGAGGAGTACAGGCCGTTGGCCTTGATCGAGAACTGGAGGACATCGGACATGTACTTGGGCAGATCCGTCACCATGATGTAGAAGCCCCAATCGTGACCAATCTGGGCGGCAACCAAGGCGAACATGGGCAGGTTGGTGAGGATGGCCTTCCACGGCGTAGGGGGCAGATCCTCGTTGCGGCTAATGGTGCCAATCTCCTTGCTCAGATACTCGCGTTCGCTGGGCTTGATGAAGGGATGCGAAGTGGGGTCGCTGTAGCAAAGGAAGACCTAAAAAATATAATAGAAATAGAATTAATTTAGATTCATAAGAAGTGAAAAATAAGTACTTACAAAGATGGCAAACCAGATGCAACCCAGACCGCCGAAGAAGTAGAAGACAAACTCCCAGCCGTAGGCATCAATAAACACTCCCGACAACAGGTTGCCCATGATGGTACCCACTTGACCACCGCCCAGCACCAGAGCACCCAGCTTTCCACGTTCGTTGGCCGGCACCCAGGCAGCCAGCAGGACACTCAGGGCGGGGAAGGTGGTGCCCTCGCCCAGACCCATCAGAACTCGGGTCACGATCAGCCAGTCGGAGCCTCCCTGCTCGATGGCCAGGGGCGTCAGCATGGTGAAAACTGCGGTGGAGAGGATTCCCAGGCCCAGGGTCCATTTGCCGCCGAACTTCTCGGCCAGCAGACCGCCGGGAATGTGGGTGACAATATAACCGATGTAGAAGGAGGACAGGATCAAGCCCTGCAGCTCCTCTGACCAATCGAAATCGCCACCAGTCTGGAAAAAATTAGGCAGAAGGTTAGGAAGGATGTAAGAAAAATGTATTCACTCAAAATAAAAACCAAAAACTCTTGATACTCATTGTATTCAAAATATGTATACTAGGTCCATTATAAAAGTGTGACATTGATTTACAACTAAATAATATAAAATTTGAACTCTATAGTATTACTGTTATACTAAATAATAAAAAGTTCATGTTTTGCGGTTTAATTTCTATACCGAAAGTTTAACTATAACACAATTCCGAAAGAATTAGTTCAATACCTATCTTATTAAACTAAATAGTTTAGAATTAATGTACGAAAAGTTTAGTTTCTTTGACGATTTTAAAATGTGTCTGGCGCCCACTCCTTTAAAGATTTTTAAATGCAATTTTGTTGTGTATATTTTATACCTATCGAAATCTAGAAGTCATTTTTCAAATCGGACCATTCATTAAAAAGTTATGCGCAATCAAAATTTTATACATCCATCTTTCTCGCACTCCCTTTAGATAGTTGGGACACCCACTATAGCGTTCTCTCGTGTTAATTATTGATTTAAATACAATTTAGTAATATTTACATTTAAATCTTTCAATATACATTTAGTTTTGTATCCTTAATTCTACATTTCATATCGTTTGATCTTTAATATATCTTTTGATTATCTTCACTTACGCTAGTTCCCTCGTCCAAGTCATCGGGTTCGCAGATCGCGTGATCAGCATCGTCGTCCGTGGAGTTCTTCTTGATGACCAGAACCGTGATGGCCTGCGAGAGACAGACACGCATCGTGTAGGCATTCAGGATGGCCAGGAAGCCCATGATGGCCAGGATCACTCGCTGCGGGATCACGAAATCTGCGGGCGAGAAGATCGAGAGCGAAATTGACGTCAGTGAGTTCTTCTTCGGGGGCATTAATTAACCTGCTGGACAACATTGGCGAGCCACTGCGTCAAGCGTTTTACGAGCGGAATGGATTTGCGTCTCACATACTGTTTAGGCAATTTACTTATTTAATTTGGTTAGCGTGCGAATAAATAGTTTGACGGGTGGCTCAATTGGGTACAAATCAATTTGCGCTGATAAACTTCAAATTGCACTTGATTGCTGTGGCACTATATCAATTAGCGGATCTGCTGGGGACGATTTCAGTAATATCTCAATATAAACGATGGGATGGTAGGTATTCGAACCAAAATGGTTTTTAATTGAATAATTATAATAATTCATTGAAATATCCGTGTTGAAAAAAATTCTAAATAAATATAGTTGATTGTAATTGTATTTCACCGGTAAATTTTAAATGCAACTTTATTTAACCACTTTTTCTTGCTAAATTGAAGTTACCCAAACAAACAAATTACAGATATGGTTTATATTTTCCATTAGCTAAGAAAATAATTTCTTCCTACCAAACTGTTTAATGATGTCTTTAAAAAAATTGCATCAAACATATTAATCAATAATTGCAATCTGATGATGCATTAATGTGCAACTTCCTTGAATTTCGCACTCAATGAATTATTTAGGTAGTTGATTAAGCGTGTCTAACATTAAAGACATTAACAAAATATATTCCGTTCAGTTCTTGAATAGATATTTAAAATAAGCATGATGACACCTAATTAGTATTTTTTAGGGGTGATGGCTGATCATTTACCCACAAACCCGTTTTAAGATTTAATGTTTTGGAAATTATGCATAGTCTACTGCGTTATTTCATTCAAAAATCAAAGAATATATTAGGCCTGTTCCGCTTTTTTTCTGTTTTGGCCAGACTTTCGTTGATAAACCTAATTCTGGGAAATTTCTTTTTTAAACTTTTTTTTTACTCAACGTGACTCATGTCATCTATGAATCATAAGCCTTGGATATTCCATTAAATCAATAGAGGTCGAAGAAAAGTATTTAAAAGTAAGCATTTAATTAAAATTAAACTTTTTATGTTGCCAACTTGGCTCATATAAAAGTAAGCAATAATCTAGTTCCAATCAACAGTTATTTTCAAAGTCAATAAATAACTATTTTTCACTTATTGATTAAATATTCTATAAACAATTTGCTGATATATGATGGCTCTCAATCGTCTTTAAGTTCTATTGAATCTTAAACTCATTCAAAATTTATTTGCTCTTATTCTTGGACGTCATTTATAAATTATTTTATTGTGTATGTAGTTACTCAATGGCATTTGAAGAATTTTGGAAATTATAGCCCCGCTTTTGAACCTACTTCCTGTCTCGTGAGGTTTATGGCTCGTGTTTGAGTTTAGTATGGAGCACCCTGGCCGAAAGATTAGGGGCTATATTAACGGCGCTATGCACTCGTACTCACATGTCCCTCTATCAATCACCTCCACCAATCCACCGATCCACCGATCGGCGAGCGTAATTTATACGATCGACCATATCGCAATCATATTGTTAAGCGGAATTACGCCCAGATAAGGCCAAGTGCGGTAGATCTGCGATAAATATTTGGAGTGCAATCTCAAGTATGTCAAATGGGCAACCGAGAGCAATGACCATAAACCAATGGCGGGAGGCAGTGCCAATTAAGTTATGTTCGGCATTTGATAAATTTATAGGGCCCAAACTTCGGTGACTTTGATAGGGTCATCTACGGAATTCGAAGGTTGAATTGATCAAGTTCTCGGACATGCTGGGCTAACATTGACCCATTTCATCCCAAAAAAGATCTAACAAGAACGGCACGCAATAACACCGATAGTCTGCATTCCAAATGAGCAAATAGCTTGGGTTCTTCGGTAAACACAATCAGAATCCAATTCATGATAATATTATTAGATCACCCACAGCCACCGAGTGCTGTTTTTGTTGACATTTAGCCACGACTCCCCACCTGCGTCAAAAATATATATCCCGCAAGCCGCCTATAAAAGTCAAACAAGCATGTTTGTCTTTTTAATGGGATGCGAAACTCCCTTAGTTTATGACAGACTTTTTCGCTTTCGCAATAAAACCCATCGACGTCACTCACTGTCAAGTTTACGATGAGTATTTTCCCTATAGATTAACATTAATAAATCTTTGGCTGCTGGCAAATTGCATTAAACCAGTGGCCGGAGCTGGTAAAATTAACGATGTGTCAATATTTGACAGGTTATTTAACACAGAAAATCGGCAAGAAAATTTATTCGCGCTGCTCGCCCCACGAGTGTCAAATAAAAAACAATTCGCCTAATATGATTACCATGTGATAAGTTGATAAGCCCATACATATATGTAAATGGGTGCTAATCATATCGCCGGCCGCCAAGTATGGCAATATTTCACCCCACCAATCACGCTTAGTGGCGTTAATATATGACCGCTCTCGATCTAAGGACCATCACGCCCGATAAGCCGTTCAAGATTTAATCAGAGTTTAGTAACGCAGCCTTATCGCGTAAATAAGTGGAAAATGAAAGCTAAGTGGGAGTCCCACCGGGGAAAAGGGAAACTTTCTAATTAGCTTTACAATACAATTGAACTAGTTTAAATTGTGGGAATTTTGATTGATAAGTCAGTTTGTAATTGCATATATAAGATATTTAAATGCATTTAGATTGTTAAGGATCTCATAGAATAAATTTGAGTTAATAATGTACTATTTAGTCCCTATTTATTTATGTGCTGAGCATTATTGTTTTTAAGATTCTTTAAATGTGATTAACGTATTCATTGTCCAGTCATTCATATCCGTTGCGGTAATGAGAAAATGAAAACAATTTCTTCTGTCTGTCTGTGGACTGTTGACATTTCTGGGTCTATGGCTCTTTGTCCAGTAATCGGTAATGTCCAGTGATAGCCCCGAACGAATAAACACCATTTCTTTTGCTTGCATTTCCGCGGTCTTGCGAAAATTATGTCAATGGGCCGGGGGGCAGAGGGTCGTCTCTAAAGTGCGATTGCTGCATAATAATACATATACCAGATAGCAGGCCTATGCAAGACCCTTTCCATATGATAATGAGACTTTGAGCAACTGGGACGGGCAATAGAACAAGGCTATTAGTCGGGGTGATCGCCATAACTCAAAACTAATGCGTAATGCTGACTGCCAATCGGTTGATTTATGGCCAACTTGTATATTTTCAGTTCATTAGGCTAACAAAAGAATCAGTTCGGGATCATTTAAACCCTTTTTTGGGGGAAATTTACAACAAAGTATATAGTTTATTTTCCCTAATTCAGAACTTGGCAGTTAGGTAAATTAAAGCATTTTACAACCACTTTGTACTGATCTAAAGCTAATTAGTTAAATAGTTAACTTTTTTCCATCGATCTTTCTTTAAAATTAGCTTTCAGTTGCTTACGTGATTTTCGTCTGTAGAATCCATATATTTCAAATTTTATTTTCGTAAAGCTCTTACAGAAGAAACGGTTGCCCAATCTCGACGACGAAAAAAAAGGGCCAGTGGACGGAATTCTTTATTGCATTGACCTTGCCCAAAAAAGAACAGAGCGAGATGGGGCGAGGAAATGGTAAATGGGCAGGGCCATAAACGGTTCTACAAGACCATAATAACTGTTAACGTTTTAATGGTCGTAATCGGGGAGTTCGAGAACCGAACAGAATCGAAATAATGATATTATATGGTACCCTGTGCCGGCCAAACTGATTATTCACATGCAAATCGTATGCAAAATATTTACCAATTATGTGGACGCATGCCGGGAATATTAAGAGACCGCAGAAAAAAAAAGAGAAGCACCAACAAACAAAACCCAAACAAACGTGAAACGAGAGACACGAAGCACACCGAATACAAAAAATCGGAAGTGGCAAAAGCGTTTTGTCATTGTTTTCATTTATGCATTATACAGCATACACACAATACATTTAGGATTTTATATTGCTGTCGGTCAATGTCGGTTAACTTAAACTTTAACCACTCGGATATTATATCAAGAATGCGCCCCGCGAATCGCAGTTCAACGATCCGCCGCACATTCCGCACTCTGAATTCTGAATTTCGCACTTCCTGATGATGATATGAGATCGTATTGCGATCCTTTTTGATTTTGATAGGATCTTTGATAACACTTACACCTCGACAGGCTTATGCCCCATTGTGGTTGTTGAGTCATCTCGGGACTGTTGGTCTGCTGCGTCAACAGATTGGCCAGTTCCTTCGCCACGGTTACGGGTTTAAGGACAACGGCGGATCCTTAATTCGTACGATCGCGCACTAAACTCTCCGCTTTTCCTCGCCTTTTCTATATATCGCTTTCTGTATTCCTTGGCGCACGCGCAATTACGAAAACGGAGATGAATATGGGATGGAGAGAGAGTGGGTTGACACTTTCGGTTCGAATCGGCGGTATTTGCTGAAAAAACAACTGTTGATCTCCCGACTTCGATTCCGATCCCGATCGCTAATTCTCTGGGTTCTAATTCTCCGATCCGCGCACGCCGCCTGCCAAATTACAAATGAAAAATTATTCCCGCCGACTTTAGTTTATATGAGAGCAGATAAGCGCCTCTCCGCTGCTGCTGCGCCGCCAGCTTCTCTGCCGCAGCGGGAGTTTTTTTTTTATTAGCTGCCGGCCAACGATCGTGTATCGCTATATTGACAAGGAGTTGACTCGTTATACTTGTTGTACATACTGCCACAATTGAGCACTGAGAAAAATAGTTATACCGTTGTGAGCAAAACCACGGTTATCTAAAAATATTGCTTATTTGAAGAATTTAAATTACATTTTCCTTGACGTTTTTAAGGATTATTTCTGGGAATAAGCTGAAAAATTAAAAAAGCTTTTAAGTCAAGAAAACAAAATACATTATTTCTATAATAATATCTATTACCCAAAGTCTAGATCTTGAAAACAGTTATAGTTAAACTTACAGTGAATAAAAAAATTTCCTGGAAATGATTACAAATAAATGTTTTCAACAATTCCATAAATGTAAAAAAACAATATGCCTATTCTGCCTATTTAAACACCAGATGACAATGAATATTATAATATTGAGATGTTAAAAATTGGCTAAAAGTACTATAAATAAAAATTAAATATAGTTAGTACTTACTCAAAATTCTAATAAACTATAGTTTTTTCACTCTGCATGCATGAATGAATGTTTGTCGCACCTCCACCCCATAAAAACTCTCGCTATCTTGGCCGATCCAATCCAAACCGATCCAATCGGCCATCGGGCCTCCGCATGCGTGGAGCATTTCAACAAATGCAACAACTACCACAACTTTCAGCTGCGCCGCCAAGGAACTTACGTTTATTTGGCCATTTCAAGCCCGATTTCGATTTCAGTTGGTATCAGTATCAGGCGAACAATCGATTCTGCGCTGAATACTTAACGGTTTTCCACACTCGAAGTCTCACTTGCACGCGCTCACTTTATGTCGCTCTATAAAAAAAGGCCAATTTGCTAAAAAAAAAAACCCGCCAGACTATGTGCCAAACCGTGCACACTGCTCTAGTTTAGAACTAGCGAAACCGGAATGCACGAATCATTTGCCAACAATGGCCCAGACAGAAAAGCCAATTTACCAATATTGGTAGCTGCACCCAGAGAAATATGCGTTTATCACCGATTTCTCCGATCAAACTATGAACATTTTTACATTATTTTAAGAACTTTCCACTCAGAGAACCTTATCTTAAGAAAAAAGTGAAAAGTTTTTGGCAATAATAAAGATTATGGTTCCTGTTATTATTCTATTTTTATGGGTAAACTCCTAGTTAAGGCTTTCCAAATTAAGGAGATTTATTGTATTGTAATATATATTAGCTTTTCTAAAATCTGGAACCAGATACGAAGCTGATTAAATTTTGGCAAAACAATATAACGAAGATGTCGTCATAACCTATTCTTAGTATAGGCTCATTTTTAAAAATACAATTTCAAGAACATTTACATTTTTTTATTGTCTGGATATAAAAACTATGCATATATATTTTAAATCACATAAGTATGCCAGATTAAAGTAAAGAACTTAACAAACAACAACACATATCTTTGTTTACCCATTTGACCATGCAGAATATATAAGAAGGGACTTTGAGTGACTGATAATATATTGCATCTTAAAGATGTATTATAACAGTGCTACCCTATAGTCTGTGGGGTAGGGTATTTTTAGTAGAGAGCGACAACTTGTTGCGGCTCCAATAGAATTAGTTTGGTAGTAGTTATGGCTGTATGTTTTTTTTTTTTTGTTGCACGTTTAGTTAGTCAGCAGCGTTTACCGGTTAGAGGCGGGTTTCGACTTTATGCAATGCAATTTACTGCAAAACAGAAGGCGGGATTGGGCGGTGGGCGGTGGGAGGCTGGCGGTCGCGAGAATAGGGAAGGCTTATCGTTTTAGTCGGGTGAACCACCTCAAACCGCCCCTGACACTTCTATTGTACGATCCGTATTCATTTCAGGCCCCTTGAATGCCATTTCAGACTCAGTTTCGATTTCAGTTGAATTTCGTTCGACTTATATATGTTTACACAAGTAGATATATCTGCATAAGTCGGGGCACACACAAAAATCGACGTCTGAATTAACCAGTTACAGATGCGGTTCAATGCAGCTAAGCTGGGTTATAAATATACATTCATAATTTCCTTCTATATATGTATATATTTAACGGGGTGACTGCTCAACGAGTACTTAAAACACTGACTCGTCAAATATTATAAGCTGTGAAATACCTAATAGGTGTCTGTGTCTCAATGAAATGTACTTTAAGGGGATTTTCGTACGTCCGTTTCCAAGTGGAGTTGGCCTAAGACTTGGCACATGCAATATCTGCAGTGCAATCAGTCCATTATCGCCGGAAATCTAATCCATTGCCGAGCACCCTCCTAAATGAACGAAATCCAAGAGAAGTGTGCCATGTTTATCAGTTAAACCTTGCCATTCTTATCGATGGCACACTTTGTCCGGACTTAAGATCAGCCAGGTGACAACTGCATATATGCACATCTACAGGCTAGATAACCTGCATTTTGTTTTAAGAATTCCAAGCAGCTTGTGGACTGGGAATATTCCATCTCTCGGTTAATGAAAAGTGACAAACTTCAATTAATGTGCACCCCATCAATTAACCGCACGCACATATGATCCATTTCGGACGATCCATGCAATCCGATAGGATCCAAACCGATTCGAGCTGATCTTCAAACTCGTTTTTCTGCGTTGTCATCTCGGATTGACGTTTACCAAGTCAGCGAACCATGCTGCGCAAAATGAGACGGCTCTGCAATTGAAATATTTGTCCAAATTAATAACTAAATATTCAGAATATATCAAGCGAAGTCGAAATGTAAATATATGTTGCGTCCGACTGGGTCTAGAATCTAGCCAAAACTGGCTCCAAACGTCCATGACCGAAAACGCTACTAGTTTGAACTGGTAATTCAGATGGACAATCGGACCAACGGACGGACGGACGGTCAGACATCGCGGCAGACAGACACATAGCACTCAATATTTAACTCGCATACCAAATATTTTGCGTTCTATACTATACGGCAAATTAATTGAAGCGGCCCGAAAGTCTTTTATATTTGATGTCCATTAATGGGCTGTGGCGGGCGCCAAAATATTTATATATCAGCACAACATAATACTCTGGCAGAGGGTACTTAAATAAAGATATATATTACATTTTGGAATTTAAAAGAATACGAATCATGTTCTATTAATATAATTAAAGTAATATTAAAAAAGGAAACTGTAAGCATTAATCTCATTTTATTAATCTTATTTGCCTTATCAAATAGGCAATTAAAAGTGACACATTTATGCTTTATTTTTCTAATTATTAAAAACATTAATGTTATAAGATCTACTTTATAGATAACGATTGAAAACTTAAACATGGCCCATATGTTCAAGGGTATTTCAGACTTCGCCTTGGCTGAAACCAGAATATTCCTATCAACTTTACTCCAAAGACCTTTAATTCCATGAGCACACAGCATATTAAAAGGAACTCAATGGCCGGCTTGTATCGGCCAATTAAAGCCTCGAAGTCAAGTGGAAATTTCATCTCTGGATTGAAAAACAGCGTGTGTAGAAGGACAAAAGCCAGGAACCTCGAATCTTGGGGAGGGTATCAATCATAAAGATGTGCACATATGACAATATAATTATTTAAAAATAGTTTCAGCTCTCTTTATTAAAGACCATTTGCTTTCTGGGCACCGTTTTACTGAACTGGCAATTTAAACTGGTTAAGAGATAAATTTCTCTAGAAAAGTTCTTATTACAGATAGCACAAATTATCATATACTATCTTTATTAGAGGGATCAAAGATAATGATGATATAATCTAAAAATATATCAAGATTAGATATCATGTATCTCCAGCAATTTTTACGATCTAAGTTGTACTAAAAATTCCATAGATGACGTTTTCTTGTTTCAAAAGGATAATTATATTTTCACAACTATGCTGTTTTCGCCAATCGTGATACAACTAAAATAACTTAAGCTTAACCCCATACATTTTTAGACACATGCCTCTAACGAGTTTGTAACAACCATAAATCATTCAAGCGAAATCTCAACAGGTGATCGACATCGGTTAAGGCGAGAATAGTTCAAGTAAAATGCAGTAAATAAGCACTTAAATAATTAAAATAGCTACCACAAATGAAACGAATAATAGAGGCAAGGAAATTGCCACACAATTGACATTTCGAGGGTCATCGATGATGACAAGAAAATACTCGAGAAATAAAACCGAGACCGAGACCGAGACCGCAAATCGTCACGAGACTCGAATTACTTGGCTAAATTGGAGTGGATTGGATTGGATTGAGCGATCGGTGCGAAGAGATATGGAGTGGGGTTAACTGATCGAAGGCCGGCCACCATTGGGTCACGGGGTTATGTGAGTTCTGGGTTTTTTCTGTTCTGTTCACCCGGCAATATTGCGATCATAAAACTAAATAAACTGCGGAACGGGTCGGCCAAAGTTGGCTAGCTTAAATATGCCTTTTACAATGGTACTAACCATAATATCGGTCCTAATCTTTATTGGCCGCCAGAGACTTTATAATGCGACTTTTGTACCAAGGCTTCAAGGAAAAGATAAGATTGGTCGGGGAGGACAGGCGGGAATCTCCGCTCCAACTATGGGACAAACAGAACTGTCAAATCTGAGGCATAAAGCTCAGCATGTGATTTGCGGTTAGAAAAAAAGCCCACTATACCAAATAATACCTGAATATGTTTGTATACCGTGACATGCGAGTCCCATTGATACCGATTTATGGGCGGGACGTACGACCAACTGGGGATCGTTCCTGGGTGCGTCATCCATAAGGCGTTTAATAACTTAATTGGCCGCATTAGTCGTGTGCGCCGCTTTATGAGGTAAGGGAAAGTGCCAAAATCAATTGCCCTCGTATATAGGGTATTTTTAAAAATGCCAATATTCCCGAAGCCGGGGGCTGGCATTCTGCTTCGGTATTAAATAATATAACTCCATATACTATACAACACATGTAATAAATAAGCACACATTTTAATTGTTTGCACAACTCATTTGAAGTGTGAAATGTGGTAAGAACTTTTAGCAGGCAAACACCCCCAACCCCTCACCATGAAAAACATTTAATTGTGGCACTTTGCAAATATTGAGTTCGAGTGAATTTCCTAACAACATCTGGACAGGTGAACCTGGAACCGGAGACAAGCCTTTAACACGTGATTCTGTTATTTATACACAATATTTAAGGCCGCTAATTTGTGCGAAACGGAAGTGAACCCGTGCATTGGATTGAGAAAGGTTCGCTGGATCTTTTGGGGGCATCGAAACCAGTTGGATGCCATAATCGCACTTCTTATAGATACAATCATGATATTGCTACTGTATTCCATATGCGAGTCAACAGAGTAATCTAATAAATTTGTGAGAAACTCGTTGAACACTTTTTGACCTTAAACTTGGATGCTGGATCGGAGTTCTTTTAAGTGCCGATCGCAAACAGGAAAGTCTAAGAGAGAGATGGGGAGAAATGGTCTGCAGATGGCGGCAGTTTAAAAAACCGGCCAACTCATTGATAAGATTAGGATTTCGGACGAGAATGTGGAATATCTTGGGTAGAGGAGCGTGGGAATTTCCATGAGGTAGCAAACACAGGAGATGGGGAGCCCAAACAAAATTATTTAAATAAACTCTAAGTGTTGCGGATCTTTAAATTAATTTTTTGGATAAGGTATGAATGAAAAGTAAAATATCTCAGCGGTATTAAATGGCCAATTTAAATATACTTAAGAGCTAGAACTTCAGTTAGCAGACCCGTTCTAATCAAAGTACAAACCTATGTTGACTTAATTAATATATTTGTAAAGTATACATATGTATGTATAATGTATGTACATTAGGGTGGACTTATTTTGTATGAAATTTCTAAGGCCATGCTCTCACCCCTTCATATATGGCCTTTTTGTATCCTTAATCAATAAAAGAAAGAAAAAGTAAAAAATAATTAGTTTTAGTCGGTGCGCAACGGCTTTAAAGTTTATTACGCATTTTTCAGATTCATCTAGATGCCGTAGACTTGATTTTATACATTGACAGTATTTTAAAAAGTATCTTAATCACTTTCCCGAGCTATTTAACAAGCGATGGGGTCGGTGATAAAATTCAAATCGTTGGGAGACAATTACAACTTAAAAATAACAATAATAACGAAAAATCAATGACTTTTAGCTTTTAACTTTTAACTATTACGGTCCCTGAAAAATAATTGTCAATATCTTTGACATTTTTCTTGACGAAAATTTTTATTGGCGAACGCAAAAGTAATAGTTAATCTTCAAAATTGTAAAATAGAATCTCTATTTTATTGTGATTCACAAAAAAAAAAAAAAAAATGGTGGGTCGGGGATCGAACTCGGTCCTTTTTGTCGGGAGACAGAAGCTCTACACGTTAGGCTACGTCCAACTGTTAATATTCATGAAATAAATTTTTACTTGACTCTTTTATTCGAGCGAAACCCAAAAGTTGACATATTAAAATCTGACAAGAAATGGAATGGTGTAAATTCCTAGTTTTACACTTCATTTTTAGCGAAACTTTAGGGCCATTGCGCACCGCCTAAACGATGATATAAAATTTTTCGGTTTTCGCATAAATTTATTGGACACAGAAACCTACCATTTAAGATGTTGTTGCTCAGTTGACCTTAAAAAAGTCCACCCTAATGTACATGTTAATTTTTCCAAATTCCCAAAGTTAACTGCTGATAGCACGCCCTTTGATTACATTTGCGATTATTATCGGTCAAGTGTTTTTCTCATGCGTCGCATGCCAAGTTTACAACTTTACAGCTGCCATGCAGGAAGGTGTTGACATCGGTTGAAAATTTTGAAAATGAAAATATTTGCTCAGCAGTGGCAAACACAAATATCGTGTGTTGACTTTAACAAATTGCCCGAATTTGTTTTTAATAATATACATTATATTATATTTTTATTGTAAACTTAAAAACACATGTGACAATGTATTTGGTTTTTATATTTAAAAAGGCATCTAATCCTCATTCAATTTTGTTTGTTGGAAGATGTGATTCTAGTTTATAGACTAAAAAAAAACTTTTTTAAACTAAACACCCTTTTAATACACAAACCAATTATTCACCAAAAAAGTGACTTATTTAAAAAAAAATTACTTTCGAGATAAACTCGTCTAATGCTTTGAAGTGACATTTGTTTTTGTGATACATTTAGCTGTTTCCTTCTAATACTGCTAAGGTCTTAGATTTCATATTTATTTTTTTCCAAGTTATGGGAATTATTCGTAACTTTCTTCCAAGAAAATAATCTATAGTTTAATCTCATATTTTAGTACACTTTGAATTTTCGCGGCAAATGTTCTAAAACGAAATTTTCACATCAGCAAACTAAAATACCATTCAGTATTTAGTTGATTTTTCTCCCCGTAACCCACAGTCTGGTCACATTATGGAACAGCTGATATTTTTTCGCGAACAAAATCGCAGCGTTCTTTGATAAGATAACAGAAAATCCTCGAAACACTCGACAAATCGGAGAGCTTAAACCCAAAGAGCCTATGGCGGCAGCAGATCGAACCTCGCCCAGTCATAAAATGTGATCGAACTGCGGCGGCAGGCAGCAGGAACGCAGTATTGCCAAGCTTTCAGTTGGAGCACCGCACATCCGCGCAGGAAAATGGGCGACTGCGAGCTGATTTGGCCGGAGATCGGAGTGGATCCGCAGCATGTGTGCGAGGCGGGCGGCGAGGGGCGATTCCAGGTGATCTGCGACAAGGCGTGGCTGCAATCGCTCGAGCGGAACAGGCGGCTGACTCACTTTCCCAGTTGGCCTTCGCTGGATCGAAGGGCTTATCCCACTGGCCAGTTGGAGCATCCGTGGACGCGGATTCTGGTGCAGACCTATCGCAAGCAGCCGCAGTCGCGGGTTTACCCGCTGCCCAGAATCGCCGGCGAAGGAGCCGCATCGGACTTACCCCTCTCCTATTCGCAGGCCGTTTCCTTTGTGGCCCACACGAATTTCAAGCAGCTGTGGGAGGAGGCCTACAGGAAGTACAATGGAGCCCATGTCAAGCTGTGCAGGTCTACTTCCTCTGCGCCGTCGAGTAAGCCATCCGCTCAGGGTCAGTATCAGCTCCAGCCGCATGATCTTGTGCTCAAGGAGCTCATCCAGCGGGTCTATCAATGCCCCGTGCTGCATTCTCAACTGGATCGTGAGGGAAATGGTGAATCTACCACCTCGAGTTCCACCTTCGGCCAGTGTCATGCCAACGTCTTGCCCGCCCTGGTGGCCATCGAGTCGTCCACTCACTTCAGCGTCTTCTTTTATCCACCGGCCTTGGAATGCAGCCTGTACGATTGCATCACCTTCAGTCCGGCTTTGTTGGGCAGGAATTACAACAAGACACTGTTTGTGATCTACCAAATCCTGCAACTAGCCAAGCATCTCCAGGGACAGGGCCTTTTCCTGGGCGATTTGCGACTGCAGCACATTGTGCTGCGCGAGAATCTTTGGCTGCAGGTGCTACCGCGACTGCAGTGCAATCTACTTGAGGATAATCCAGCGGGCGAGGACATGTCCCCACTGACTCCGATGGCCAGTGAAGATCTAGGAGAGACGAGGGAACAGCAGCAGCAGCAGGTTTTGCCCTCCAGCAGCACCATGTTTGACCTGCGATTCGCCTACGATCCCGCCCACTTTAATCTGCGCGAGTATGCCGAAATGTGGTGCAATGGTCAGTTGTCCAACTTCGATTACCTCACCATACTGAACAATGCGTGCGGAAGAAGTCTGTCGAATGCCGCCCATCACCACATCATGCCCTGGGTGACTGACTTCAATGGACGCGGAGGAGCCACATGGCGGGATCTAACCAAGAGCAAGTATCGCCTGAACAAGGGCGATGTCCATCTGGATCTCATGTATTCCCATGCCAGCCAGCCTGGAAACGCGGACGCCAGTTATGCAGCTGTGGGCGATCAGGCGCCGCATCACGTATCCGATTTTCTCTCCGAGATCACCTACTTTGTGTACATGGCGAGGCGAACGCCCCAGGCCATCCTCTGCGCCCATGTGCGTCCCATCTGGGTGCCCGCCGAGTATCCGGTGTCCATTCAACGGCTCCAGGAATGGACACCCGACGAGTGCATCCCTGAGTTCTACTCCGATCCGATGATCTTCAAGAGCATCCACGAAGATCTGCCGGATCTCGAGCTACCAGCCTGGGCCACCTGTCCAGAGGACTTCATTTGCAAGCACCGCGAGGCGCTGGAGTCGCAGTACGTAAGCGAGCGGCTGCACCATTGGATCGATCTCAATTTTGGGTGAGTTGTACAGTACAGGGTTCGGAATTTAACACACATGTTAAAAACGCGTAAAATTGTATTTTACAGTGTGAGCAAAGCTTTTAAAAAGTGTGTTTTTACACAATGTGTTATTAACACGACGTGTTTTTTACACACAGTGTTTTTAACACAAATGAAAATTACATTTTATGGACATTAACAAATCGAAGGGAAAATAAAGAATATATTTCTGACGTTTAAATGTCAAAAACTCATTGTGTTAAAAACACGTCGTGTAAATAACACAAATAATATTTATGTTTCTACCATATGTAAGCTACAATTTTTTTACACACATGTCAATAACTTTTTTTGAACTTAACACTTTGACATTTAACATGTTAATAACACAAGTTTTTTACACAATGTGTTATTTTCCAAACCCTGGTTGTACTATATACTATACAACTGGAATATTAACTCATCGTCATGGGAAATTATGAATTCTTATCGGTTCATATTAAATATAAATTTATTTAAATTCCTTAATTTAATTCACAGTATTACTAACTATGTAATTCCCATTACAGCTACAAACTGAGTGGCAAGGCGGCGGTTAAATCGAAGAATGTCTGCCTTACGCTGGTGGATCAGCACAGGAATCTCAGCCAGCGCGGCATTGTGCAACTCTTTGCCAACGCTCATCCACCGCGTCGATATGCCACGCCGTGGTTTAGTAAAACCGCCCCCAGGCTAAGCCAAATATACGCGAATCCTGCGAAGCGACTGGCTAAGAGTTCGGAAAACCTGCAAGCTGACAGTGGATCATCTCATCTCTCCTTGCGTCTTGGGGATGAAGGATCGAGTGGCTCTGTTCACAGCAGTTCCGCATCTGCTTCAGCTTCGAATTTCTATGCAATTACCAACTTTATTGAGCTGCCGGATAACTATAATCCCGCCTTGTTGCTACACAATCTGGAGACCCTTGAATCGTTCTACGCCCGCACATTCCCACAACAGCGACCGTCGGTTAATCCCGAGGAAAAAATGATCAGCAGTGATCTTCTTTTTGAGCAGAACTCTGCGGAGCACTCCTTCACCAATCAACTTTTTGCCAGCGCTGAAGAAATTCCCACAAAGTCAAAGAATCTCTTGAGAGAGAAGAGGAATTGCCTGCAGCATCTGGTGAATGCCACAAGGGAGCGGGATTTGCAAGTCCTAGGATGTCTCATAGTAGAGCTCTTCGCCATGCAACGTTTGCGCCCGCTTCTGATGGGAAACGGCTTGAGTGCCACGTTTGAGGCTCGACTCTCCGCCTGCCGAACGGTGGCCGAGGTGCATCGTCAGGAGCTGCCCAAACCAGTGCGTCGAGTGGTGCGCCTGCTGCTGCAATTAGAGGGCACCGGAGAAGAGGATCTAGGCCTGCCGCAACCGCCCAATCCCGCTCAGCTGGTAGAGCCCATGTTCGCCAATCTGTTGCTGCCATTCCCCAGCCATTATATGGCTGTATATGCCCTCGTCCGATCTCTACATGCTTTTGAGGCTAATGCAGTGCTACTGGAGCTGCACACCCACTTCAGCTGCAAGGGAGGCAGGGAGTGCGCCAGGTACACAGAGATGGATCGGCAGAGAGTGCTCTTCGACCGAAAGATTGCCGAATGTAAGGTCATGTCTTGCTGTGCTCATGCAAAGAGACTGCTGGAACCCATGGCTTTTGCTTATGAACAATTTACCCCAGTTGAGTTGCTGCTACCGCATATAATTGATCTCCTGAGAGACGAGCGCACCTCGATTTTGACCGCCTGGAATTTGTTTGATCCCATTGCTCAGGCTTTGGGGGTAACGCAAACCCAACAGCATTTGCTTCAACCACTGCTCAAGTTATATGATGTGGAGGGGGTTAGTTCGCCGGAGGAAGGTGGTTCCAACAACAGTGGTGGCCATTTACGCTTCTCCGCCAGCAGTTCGTTCAAGTCGCGCAAGTCGGTGAAGCTCTATCACCACAGCTTTCTGCTCCGCCTGATTGTGCGCTTCGGACTGCGCTGTTTTCTTCATCACTTTATAGCTCCCCTTATCGAGGCAGTTGGTGGCTACAAGGAACCGGAGCAGGGAAATGGCTATCACTATCACAGTGGCGGCAGCCGGAGGACGAGCAAGAATCTCAACTTTGCCTCGGAGGAGGAGGAGCAAGCAGCTGAACCGGAAACCAAACCCGACATCGAGGAGCTGTTCACATTCGAGGACGATCACGACAGGGCGTCCACCCAGGACAGCAAGTCCATTGACTCCTTTGACATGCGACCCAGCCAGAGTGCAGCCAGTGCGGAGGAAGCCCGAGAATCGGATGGTTCGCCGGATAAGCTGGTGATCAATGAACTCATATATGGAGCCAGAATATCGCCGGATAAGCTGTCTTTGCGGGAGGGTCAAACGCCGCCCGCTTTGGTTACACCCAATATAGGTCCCCGCTCGCCCACCATCGAGATTCCCATGTGCCCAACTGCCGGTGGCATTCGTCGCAGCTTCCAGCTGAGCGCCATCGACTGCGATATTGGCTCGCGGAAGAGTGTGGACAGCTTTGAGTTGATCAACCAGGCAGTTGAGCAGCTACCTCCTCCGGCAGTGGAAACGGAGGAAGCGGAGGCCTCGGACTCTCTGCAGGCATCGGTCATCTCACGGCTGTCGGAGGCCAAGGCCGTGCAGAATAACCGCATCAGCGAGATGAGTGCCGAGAGTCTCGTGTGGCTGTCGCATCGACTGGGTCCGGTGCTCACCTCTCGTTTTATCACGAGGAACCTTTTGAAACTCCTATCGCTCTGTTATGTGGGCCAGGAGAACCTCCTGCCGGAGGTGGACGATGGTGGCTTCGGTTCCAGTCCCGATGCGGCCAACCTCAACTACTTTAGCATTGCCAATGCAAGAGTCGTGGGCGATCGGAGTGCGGCAAGGGTTCTGGAGTGTCTGATGTCCATAGCGGGTGAGTTATTAGTAATCTCAATGACTTGTGTTTTTAACACAATGTGTTTTTAACACAACGTGTTATTAACACGCCGTGTTTTTTACACAATGTGTTTTTGACTTTAAAAGTGTGCGATATTCTTAATTTAAAGTAGGACATTTTTTACCCCTCAAAATTTGTTAATTTAATAGATATTTGGAAAAAGTTATTCATAACCAAAAACATATAAATTTTTTATGAAATAGACACATTATATTAGTAACGGTAGGCAGAATCAATTTATTTACATAGCTGTCACTTAAATGTCAAAAACTCATGGAGTTAAAAACACGCTGTGTAAAAAACACGTCGTGTAAATAACACAAATGACATGTGTGTGTTATTTATGTTTCTAACATATGTAGGCTACAATTTTTAACACACATATCAATAACTTTTTTGAACTTAACACTTTAACGTGTTAATAACACAAGTTTTTTACAGTGTGTGTTATTTTCCGAACCCTGAATCTCATTGAAGGAGCACCTACTAATCCCTCGTCCTTCTTAATTTCAGCTCTCTATGGCGAGAACTTTCTTCTGCTGCAGTACTTCCCCCACATCAGCGAACTCATTGGTCTGTGCTCCAAACGAATCACTGGCAGTTTAGAGGGAGCCATAATCAGTTCTCTGCAGCTGCTTAAGTACATGGTTCCCTGTCTAACCGATGCCAGCATCATGGAGCATCTTCAGCACATACTCCTGGACGCCATCCTGTTGCCCATTTTGCGCCTGCTGAGCTCCACGAATCTTCTGATGCCCAGCGGTTATTTGGGGCGCTCGCTGTTGGCTCGCAAGTTTCTGGATGCAATTTATGCCTTGAGTGTTCGCCTGGGATCGGATATGACGCGGGAGCACCTCTGCCAGTCGCTCCTCAGTCCCTTTTTCTTGATCTTTAACAAGGCCTTTGGATTGCCCAATGACTTTGCCTGCGATCTGGCTAATCTTTCGCTGGCTGGCGGTGCATCGCAGCAGGAACGCGCTTTGGAGGAGTTGAGGGATGTCTTTGGACCGGAGCTGGCGCATACCGCCTACCTTACTTTCCTGCGATTCCTGGGCGAGGCCAATATGAAAAGGACCCTGGGAAACCTGGAATTTGTGCTGACCCTGTGCCACGAACACGAGCAGCCCAGTGAAAGTGGAAAGAGCAAAACTCAATTGTCAGCGAGTGTGAGTTCCGGACAAGATGTAGACTCTGTGGATGCCACTTGCGAACTGGCGGCCAATAGCTTCGGCACCCAGATCGTGGGAAATCGCCTGCAAGTGGCCAGAAGCAATGTTGAACTGCTCGATATGGTGGCCTATAAACTGGATCAGATGCCCAAAACGCGGCACTTGAAAGGCAACTGGTTGGCCTACTGGCGCAATGAAACGACGCGCAGTGAAAAGGATAATCAGACTCTAAATCTGAAGCAAATTCGGCTGCAGTCCTTTGTGGGTCACACGAACTCCGTGAGAGCTATTTATGCTTTGGATAATGAGAACAGCTTCATTTCCGCCTCGAAGGATAAGACGGTCAAGCTGTGGTCGCTGCGCAGCGAAGGAGATGGTCGCAAAACGACCGCCTGTCAGTTTACTTATACGGCTCATAAAAAGTCCATAAACTCGCTTGGCTTCCTGGAATCCTTGCGTTATGTGGTCTCCTGTGATTCCGGCATTCATCTGTGGGATCCGTTTATCGGAAGGCCTCTTGGCATACTAGATGCTCCTCGTCACAGTGCTGTGACGGTGGTCAAATGTCTGCCCTCCCATTCCCCACTGGTAATTGCGGGTACAGCAGAGTCCACTGTCAAAATGATCGATGCCAGGAGTTTTGAGTACGTCAATGAGTGGCGGGTATGCAATGCTACGTTGCCCAATGCCACTGTCCGTTGTCTGGCGGTCGCTCCATCAGGGAATTGGCTGGCCGCAGGACTCTCGTCTGGGTGCATTGTCCAGCTGGACACGCGCACCGGAATGGTGATCAATTCGTGGCGACCCATGGAGTGTGATCTGCTGCAGCTAGCGGCCCCAAGTGATCAGTTCCTGGTGAGCTCCGCTTTGGATCACAGCCTGGCCGTTTGGCACGCTCTAGATGGAATCATGCACTACCAGCTCAAGTAAGTTGTATATAAAGCAGGATTCGGAAAATAGCACACACTGTAAAAAAAACTTTTGTTATTAACATGTTAAATGTCAAAGTGTTAAGGTCAAAAAAAATTATTGACTTGTGGGTGAAAAATTGTATCCTACATATGTTATATATGTATCATGTCATTTGTTTCATTTACACGATGTGTTATTAACACGACGTGTTTTTTACGCAGCGTGTTTTTAACACAATGAGTTTTTGACATTAAAGTGTAAGAATTGTATGTCGAACTAAAAAAAGCACGGTTTTCTAGAGTATAGAATTCAGATATGCTTTGAAATGGTTAAAACTAACATATAAGAGATCATGGCTCATACTGGTTTTTCATTTTCCCTTCGACTCTTAATGTCTGTGAAATGTAATTTTCATTTGTGTTAAAAACACAGTGAGTAATAAACACGTCGTGTAAAAAACCAAAGTGATCTGAGTGTGTTAACAATTATTTTTCACATTTTCACACTTTTGTATTTGACTCACATATGAACAATTTTGCTCACACTGTAAAATACAATTTTTCATGTTTTAACGTGTGTGTCAATTTCCGAACCCTGATATAAAGTGATGTATCAGAAGCAGTTACTTAAACTATTATATTTTCTAGACCTCCTCCAGAACCCGCCCATTTCCTGCAGAGCGTTGGCTCTTCGTTGGTCTATGCAACTACTGGAAACCGTGTGGGCGTCTATGCGGATGTGGCCCATTCGCACGCCTTCAGCACGATCACCAAACTCCGCTCGGAGACATTCCGCGGTGTGCTCACCTCCCTGGCTGTGTTGCCCTTGAATCGAGCCTTCCTCGCTGGCAACGAGAGCGGAAACATAGCCCTGCTTTGTTAGAATGTCAGGGCTAATGTCTATACCATAATTTGATATTATATTCTAGTTTATTTTATATCCAACGGCACCAAATATTATTTTAAAGCAGCTAACACAGATTGGACGTCGCTAGGAAGCCTTTCCCGCCTAACCCAATGAATTTAAATGCTACATATTTATTTACAATCGCACAACTAGCCCCGTCGGACAGTGGAACATCCATAGCGACGTTCTTGGAGCATACAGAAATTAGTAATACTCGATGCGATAATTATACAATGTAAAAGCATTCCAGATCCACTATTCATGTATATTTATATTTATGTCTGTACATTAGAAGACAAATTTGTATTTACAAGTAACTACTTAAGCTGGAAAGAGGTAAAATATTTATATAGAAATATACGAACAAAATACACCATCAATTGTGTTTATTTTTACGTTTACATTTGTATCTAGTAACTGATTTTAAAATATAGGGATTATATTTAATTTGTATTAATAATTCAGTGGAAAAAAAACAAACTTCAACTTATATTTTTTCAGGGACACCTACATTTTAAGAGGTTGTTTTTAGCAACTCAAATTTCGGGTTTTTGAAAAACCTCTTGCTATGGAAATACGGGAACATTTTTGAAGGAACCCAGCAATTGCTTTTGGGTTGTTTTTAGATAGTCCAGTTTCGTTCTTTCATTTTAAATAGCGCGTAATGCGAATTGCGGGATTTATTTTGCAATATAAATTAAAATAATTACTTAGGTAAATATTTTTTAAATATTTCATTTTTTAGTATTTCTTAATTCAAGCTGCCAAGAGAATAAAATTCAGATGAACAATTTTTACTGAAACATGCGCTCTATTGGACTTTAGGATGTGCTTAAAGTCCCGACTTGTCGCTGTTAATCTGTTGTTTTTCCAGCGAACTGGGGCTTGTGAAGTGGGGCTTGTCTATAAATAAGAACCGATCGTGTGTGAAAGCTCTAGTCTTGCTTGACCATTCTTCTATAGCCATGCGTTGCCTAGCTCTGATCGCACTCTGCCTGTTCGCTCTTTTGGGGTTGGCTGTGGGCAAAAAAAACCCCTGCGAATGTGTTAACAACTTTGACCCTGTCTGCGGATCGGACTCAGTAACCTACATCAGCCCGTGCAAGTTGAACTGCGAAGCGAGGATCCAAGGACGCCCCATTACTATCAAAAAGGGTGGAAGGTGCTAGCGACCGGAATATGGAGATCGAACTGGTTATAACCGACATATGTATGATGCAAATTGGAAAACAAATACATGTTAATTGTGAAAAAAATTGAATATATTTTTTAATCTTCTGGTATTAATTAATTGAATAAACTAAGCTGAAATTGTAAATAAAGAAAAGTTTTAATAATTTACGTAACCAAAAATAATAGTCCTTAATATCCAAACTTTATGAAAGGGGTTACTTGGGTTCTTAAAAGTTTTGTAAAGATCTTCATAATTTAGAGTCGTAAATCCTATCCTATTCCTAAGAGTGGCACTTTTAAAAAACTTTATTAGCAAAACAAACTATCAATCCGTTTGCCTGTGATACTCCCGGAAAGTTGGCCAATTTAGCATTTTTCGAACTTTGAGGTTCTTCTGCTAAGAATTCTTGCGTCGGGGAACTTTTTGGAAAACGCACTTTAACTTGGAAAGTCGTAACGAATTCAAATTTATCGCATACATCGAGGTAAATTTAAAAAGCATTAGATTTGTAACACAGTGTAATATTAAAAAAAAAATAAAATTACTTAAACGGAATCCTCATTCAGAGATTATTTATGCTCACACCCGAATAAAATTAATATGAAACGTAGATCGATTTTACATTATTTAAGATCAATGCTAATTTGATATGCGGCCAGGTAAATTTGACCTTGTCGAAAGGAGTATTTCCTGTAAAAACAATATGGGTTTTGCATTACCTGAAATGTACATGGCCATATCGATTTTACGGGAACATGATTTTTTGTGTGCAGTGCTTCGTGAATAACCGATAACGACTTTCCATCGCAGTCGCAGTCGTAACCCTGAAACCAGTTTGCGGGACGCAATCAGAATGATTTGCTCGCTCAATTTTTCGCAGAGTGCTTCTTTTTTTTCTCGATTTCCTTTCTCGCATCGCCTTGAGCTGGGCCAATGAACTTGCTGGGAGCAGCAGCAACCACAGCACGGCAGCAACATCCCAGCAGCAATATCACAGCAGCAACATCACAGCAGCAACGGACATTGCATTCGACGGGCTGAGATCTCCAGGGTTTCAGAGGGATGTGGGGAGAGTGCGAGTATCTGGGAGATCGTCCATTCGAAGGCGTTGCATTTATTTTTGGGCGATGGCGATGCCGATGACGATGCGGAGATGCGGACGTTGTCGTCTCTTTATGGCAACTTTTTTGCATTGGCATTTCTGTTGTGCTGCTGCTGTTGTCGCTGCACTTTTGCGATGTCTGGAGTCAGGTCGACTTATGCGTAAGGCAATGATTCTGGGCGCTTGTTACAATGAGGATTTACAGAGGACAATAGTGCGTCTAACTCCGGCAGCACCACTGCCACCCACTTTTGGCCACTGGGAGTGCGACTCTCGACCAGGTGGCTCTGGTCGGGATTGGGTTTGGGTCGGTCGCACCCAGCGATGTCACCTTGAATTTAAGGAGTCGACCAGTCGATGCAGTGCGTATTCGGCGGAGGGGATAATGAGGGTCTTCCCCACCGACTCTCTCGCCCTCAGATTCAGATGGCTCCAACTAGTTGGGACTTCGTCGGTGGTTCGCCATGTGTTGCCGAGCAGCTCTTTCTTACTGCAAAGCAGTGCGGAAATAATTCACTTTATAAGTGGAAGATCCATAGAAAATATTTTCAGTGTGCCAAGATGTGCAATCATTTTTTGAGTGCTACGAACGATACGAAAATAAATTGCATGATATAGTTTTTAGACTTTGGAGAAAAAATATTTAATAATTGCCAAAAATGGGACTATGTAGAGCAAAAGTTTTGCAATGAAAGAAAAAAGTACCTGTTTTTTATCAAATATATTTAAATTTACTAAACATTTCATTTTTTCAGTGTTACTTTTTGTATACAGAGAGGAAAATGTATGTACAATTGTTCTTGAATTGAGAACATTCGTTCTTAAAAGCAAAGTTTTCTGTGTAAGCACGAGAACACTCGTTCTTGAAAACCGTGTAAGCACTAACAATTTGAAAACAAAACGGTGAGAAGGGTAATGTTAAATTGAGTTTTATAACAACCTTTTGATACATTTTAGACGACTGATTTTACTAATTATTTACTTATTGTGATTAACGATGTTAATACCGCCAATTTTACTTGATTTAGCACATTCAACAAACATTATTTTAAAAATGTTCCTTCTTCTTTTAAGAACATTTTCAACTCAAATTCATTCTCTCTGTGTAACCCTTTATATTTTCTCGGGTGTTTGTTGTATTCAATGGCAGTTTCCACGAGTGTTGTGCCCCGTATGAAATCCGCTGTCACAATATTGGCATAAGTGCCCCATTCTCTCCAGTACAGCAGTGATATCTCATGGTTTACGTCATCAGCCATTTTTCGGAGTCCATTTTTCGGGTTTCTTAAAAAGTCCACTCCAATGTTCCAGGCAACGCCAAATATGTATTTTTCGTTACCACCGTATTCTTTTCGGGTTAACTCCGCATTAACGCACACCGGGCTAGTTCTGTAAAAGTAAAAGTGGTTGAAGTAATACCTTATCAGGTATCTAATCAGATGAACTCACCTATTTGACTTAACTATTTTACATAATTTAGCCAGTCTGTGGGAGTAAAAACCAATTAATTAATATTATATAATGATGAATATAAATATATTTATATATGTATGAACTCACACTTTTAGGTATTCTTGTGTTTCGTTCAAGTATTTCCTGAGGCTATCCCACGTGTCCTTGTTTCCCCAAAAGTGTTCCACGGGATCAAATAGAACTTCTGGAAACTCTGCCAGCATAGCGTTATTATTGTATGTTAGGATGATGTTCTGCTTATTGTCCCAAATTTCCTGCAACGATGCCCCCCACATCAGCGAAGGACTAACTATGAGATCCTTGAACTGTTCTCGAAAATAGTTAATCAACTGGCGTCGAACTTCATGCCTCGCGGGAAAACCTAAAGACACCGGATTAAAATTTCTTTTTAGCTGTGTTCTTAAAGTGTTTTGAAAATATTTACCATACTCCTCTTTAAATCTAAATATGACAATCTCGTTGGTCTCGCGCACAAAGTCCCGCACCTGATCGATAACTTCCTGCAGAGGACGCATTCGGGCGATTCCGTGGTAGGTGTAAAACTGGTTCGTGTAGCCCACTCGTATGTCAAGGTAACGCACTCCATGCATCAACTGCCCCCTGATGTCCTCATCTTGGGTCACAGAGTACTTTGTCTCCACATTTTCATTGCTGAGTGAAAAGTTGGGGATATATGCGCCGGAGTCGTGGGTTCCGGGAATAAAGAGATCTCGCAGGGTCACATCCCCTATTTCGGACTTCAGATCGTTCATCCAGCGAGGAAATGCTTTGAGGCAAGTTTTGGCCAAGATATTACCCTGGAAATCAATGTAGCTGGCCCAAAATCCGTAGCAGGTGGTTTCAATTGTCACTGTCCTGGACAGAAGATAATCATAGCGAAGTTGAGTGGTTTGCCAGTGGGTAGAGTGTTGTGGACTCAGTAGAATGGTGGCCTCGACCTCGGTGGCACCTCCATTGGCCACCCAAGATTCCTCATCCTGACTTTTCTCAAAGCTGAGGGCATCCTGCTTTGTTACGAGAATTTTATCACCATTATTCGCGGGAGCATTGGCCCAAGAGACCTCTAGAAATCTCTGCTGAGCACCAATGGTCAGCCAAATTTTGGGACTGGTAGAATTCACAAAGGACTCGTTCCGCGCCTCCGTTAAGGAGATGAAGAGAACAGCCACCACAAATATTAAACCTTTTCCCGTCATTTTTATTCTTATGTGTTTACTGATACTGCGGACATTGTGAACTGATACCCAAACCATAAATGTGGTGGACCATGATGATTTTGTAATGCTTAGAGGTCTTAAAAACTACTGATTAAAGTTTATATTAAGCCAGAATCTGACATTAATGCTTAGGTTATCATCTGTTAAATTCAGAATGTTTTGGTTTTTGTTTTTGGGGTTTAAATAATGGAATACTCTTATTAAGGGGGGGGATATGGAGGATATACACCCCCTTTGGGTGAAAAATGAAAAAGGAAATAAGGTATTCAAAAGGTATGCAACATAAAATTTGTTCTGAGATCTACTTCAAAACCAAATCCTAAATCTGCGAGTTACATAAAAACATAAAGAAAGCTTAACATTCTGAACCCGGAATGTATTTTCTTATTTTATTACCATTTTAAACGAAAAGCGATCTAAGCCTGCATTATCATCACTAGAGGAATTTCCAAGTCCAATAACCCGCCCACTCAAGGTCGCAAAGCGCCGGTCACAAAACAGTGAAATCGGAAAGTCAACCACCCCGGCGACTGGGCCACAACGTCATAATCACGAGAACAGTGAGAACAGAGGCAAAAGTAACACACAAATGCCAGCGGCACGCCACGAAAATATGTGGGGAATTCGAAATTTGTGAGAATCGCGCTGCATGAAATTTCACTCAGCTGCCCGAACAGGCAAGCAGCGCAAAAAGCAGACGGCTTCGTTATGTTAGGAATGCCATTGGCCCGTGGAACGCTCGACCAGGGTTGTAGCGCGGCCGTCAGCTGGGCGGCCACCTGTCGCGCCTCGATCCCAGCCGGTGGTCTGACAACCCTGATCGCGACTCTACTCGAAATATGCGGTCGGGAATGCGGCCCCGAAATTCCAACATACCGATTAGCGGAAGCGGGATGGCGCGAGAAGCGTTACCAGAGCTGCCGCTCGGAACATTTTGGGACCACAAAATGTTACCAACATACAACCGAAAATTTTTACCAGGCCTCCAGAAACGGGGAGGCGTACGTCTTTGCAGTTCGAGTGCAAATCCACCCCCCACACAAGTCAATCGCACACTCTCTGCGGCGCATAAAATGACTACAAAATGTTACCATACACTCGAAAAACCGCCCAGGCGCCCAGGAAATGCAAATGCATTGCCGAGGGACCGACTGTGTGTGTGTTTATAAATTCAAGACAGTTTATGCCATCAATTTTATAACTCACACCCCCAGCCGGGGGCGTCGAGTCAATAAATTCTCGTCGGCCGCATACGTATTTTATAGTCGCACATTGCAGATCTGACATAATAACTAAGAGGCGCGCAGAATGCGTAGCAGCTGGGCTCTTTGCTCTTGACTCTTTGCTGTTAGCGCCATTCCAAGAGGCCTTTTGTTTGGTTGGCTTTCGGTTTTGGGGTTTGTACTGCTTGCCTCTGTAATTACGAGTATCCGAGTATCTACAGCTCTTTTCTCGCTCTTCGGGGCGTTGCTGGAATTCTATAAAATCGAATTTTTAACGTTCAAATGTTAACAGAGCCGCAGGACAGGCCAAGTGGGTGCAATCCGAAACGCAAATGTCATCTCCTATTGATTTCCGTCATGTTAATGCTGTAAGCCTGCTGCTAGTTAACAGGCGCCCACCCCATGAATTGGCATTATTAGGATTGCCAAAATCATAGAAAGACGATTAATGTCGAGAGACGGAGATGGCGATGGTCGACTGTCAGTTGTCGCCTGTCTGCAACGGGAGCAAGCGAGATGGCGGAGGAGAAAGATGGTGCTCGGTGGGAAATGGGATGGAAGCTCGAAAAAGAACTTGAAACTTGGAGGTAAAATTACAATCCAACTCATTTAATTTATTAACAGGGACCGTGATCATTATAAGCGATATTCAAATAACTCAGAAATAAACATTATTTATGATTTTTATAAATATGTATCAGGAATAATCATTATTTATTAGTTTTATAAATATTTATCAGGAATAATCATTACATGTAAGCGAAAAAAATATCGCTCACAAATAATGGTCATTGCGTATTCCATTTTGTATCAATTGGTGTATTCCATTTGGTTTTCCGACTATTATAAGTGACTGATTTTTGGGTTCAAAAAATCAAAAATAATGATTATTTTCGGTCCCTGACATAAATATATTATCTTTGTTTATAATATTACATTAATTTATATTAAGAACTTCTTACTTAAAATTTACACAATCAACTTATTAACTAGTAATAATACATGTACCATAATTAAACCAAAATCAAATATTGCTTCCCACTTAGAACAATTCTATGATTTAAATTCGCAACTGGGGTTCAAGGTGCTCGCCGAACGAGTGTGGGAGCGAGACGACCGTAGAGTGCCGCCCATTCAGTGGGCAATTTAAACTCGTGTGGATTTCAGTGCGAGAAACGCAGCGACAATAATGGCCGAACGACCCACTCGACGGCGCTGAGCGCCTGTTCGCAAACGATTAAATTCAGTTTAATCATCCACTAAACAGCTACGATACCGTTTCGTTCGTTATTATTATTATTACATGCAACAAGTCGGGCGGGCACACACAATAAGAGGAATGTCGAAAACGACACACCAGAAAAGTCCGGACGCCGAAGAAGCAAACGAATCGAATCGCTCCGAGGCGACAGCACTTGAATTCAATGCGCAAATTGGATTATCCGGAGTATCGAAGGGGGATAGTACCCGTAGTACTCATCCCACATACGATACTTCCCATTCAGATGCTGAATGCACACATCTGTCCATCTCTCTAATCCCGCACTCTCTACGCTCGTCTCGCTCGCACCTGCGTGTAGCGCTTCTAACAGCGTTTCTATTGAGTTTCCATTGGAAATCTAATCGCTCGCTAGCCAAGCGGCATGCTGCTAAATCTGCTGGAGACCTAGTAAAAATGTTTGTTGTTTCTTAAAGAGCAAGAAGAAGCCCCACTTTGCGCCACTCGCTCGCACCATTTTGTGGTCTGTGTGTGACTATATGGGGATATGGTGCTCGTATTCCCATCCCCCATTCCCCGTGGAGCGGGAACAACTGCAACATTGTTGCCATGCTCCTCGCTCCGGAATCCGGATTCGGATTCGATGGGCCCACCACTCCCACTCGGCCAGCCAATCACGCTTTCAACGGCCGCGTTTAAATGTTGTAAACAGTTGCTGGCGCCTCTGTTCACCTGGTACCGTGTGGAACATTCGCTGAATTGAAACGCCGCTTTTCGTTTTCGGATTGGTTGGATTGTGCAAGCAACAAAGAAGCACAACTTCTTCAACCTCGCCGGTGGTTGGACTGGCCGGCTGGACTGCCACCTATTGAAATCGCCGTTGCCGCCGCTTTTAGTCGATGCTTTCAGTTTCTGTTCCCGATTACCGAGTGTGCGCTCTATCAAGCAGTCCAACGAAGGTATTTTCGATTGGAAAAAGAGGCCTTTGGGACTGCCCTAATTGCACCAGAATGAGGGGAAAAAGTAGGCCCCAAGCCAGGCTCAACGACACATGATTTTATTAGCCTTAAAATGGAAATGTTTTAAATTAAAAAGGTAAAATTATAAATATAAAAAACTATACAAAAATTTGAAATGTGAAGGAACGCCTGTTCTCAAAGAATATAACGACTACACCCAAAAAAATCGATACGGAACAAAGATCGATTTTACATTATTTAAGATCAATTTTAGTTTTAATAAAATTTGACCTGGTCGAAAAGAGTATTTCATGTAAAAACGATATGGGATTTGCCTGACCTGACCTGAAATTTACATGGCCATATTGCTTTTACGGGAACTTGCTTTTTTTGTGTGTAAGTATGAAAAAAAAAATTCTTCAAAGTTATAATTTCTATAAATATAAATTTTTAGAGAAAAACTGATAATGTCGTTTAGTAAAACGCACCCCATAAATCGATCTTTAAAAATCATATCCATTATACACCACTATTTAAACCTAACCAAGTTAAATAAATAAGTAACTATTCCTCCTATTCCTATTTAAAAGATACTCGACATTCATTTTCAATGCCAACTTTTTTTGGTTTGTATTTTTTGGAACTCTTTCAGTTCATTGCGCCTTAGAACTAATTAACTAAATACATTTTCCAGCATAATTTCACATCGTTAATCCGTTAGTAGTCCCATTAGTTTTGCACACTCAGAGCCAAGGTATCGCCGCTGACACTGGCCACACTCTCCTGGCCGCCAGAGGATGCGGATGTGGCCTGCTTCTCGCGGATGCCCAGCCAAGGCAGGCGGCGCTCCAGCTCCAGCCGATACTTGGGATGGCTGGTGGCATAGACCCAGGGATCCAGGCAGGACACCGATTTGCAGGCCAGACACGGTAGCATCGAGACGAAGGGTGTGATGAGCTGCTGCTCGCCAAAGCATCCGATGAGGGCCACCACGGAGTAAGGGGTCCAGGCCAGGATGAACAGCATGTAGATTATAAGGGCCGCCTTGGCAATCCTCAGTTCCACACTCATGCTATCCGCATTTGCATTGGCCGAAAGCGACTTCACGTTCATCTTTTTGGCCTGCTCCGCCAGCATCTTCTCGTGAACGCGGACGTGGGTGAAGAGCTTGTAGTAGGACACCAGGATCATGGTCATCGGAATCACATAGGACCACACGAAGATCGTTCGCACAAACAGCCGGTTATCGTCCGTGTTGGTCAGGTAATCAAAAGAGCAGGTGGTGAGGAAGCCCTCTTTAAAATAAATCAGAAAAATATTAATATTAAGATAGTAATATTGTTATTTCTACACCCAAAAAAAATTGATATTTAACGTAGATCGATTTTACATTATATGTATAAGTTCAATTTTAAATTGATATGCGGCCAGGTAAATTTGAACTGTTCGAAAAATGTGTATTTCATGTAAAAACGACCTGAACTTTACATGACCATATCGATTTTACGTGAACCCGCTTTTTTTTGTACACAGAGAAAAAAACGGAACAATATGGAACTGATATTGTTTCATATCAAT